TGCCAGAGTTGGGGTGCCGCTGCACGTGCGCACGTGCAGGGGTCGTTTCCAGATCTCGAGAACGGCTCGACTGATTGCGCTCAAATTTGGTACACAGTTAGGGACCGGTTAGTAGGGTGCCGTGCACAAGTCAGTTGGGACCCATTTTGCACGTGCGCACGTGCAGGATGCCGCTTTCAGATCTCGAGAACGGCTGGGCCGGTTGTGCCCAAATTTGGCACATCGCTAGAGACCGGTCAGTAGGGTGCCGTGCACAAGTCAGTTGGAGGTACCCCTCGCAATTTCGCACGTGCAAGGCCCACCCTCTCGCTCGCTCCGTTAGTCGCCCCAAAAGGCGTTATACTGGTAATAACGCAGCTAATAGGCTGATAGTGTAGATAGGCTAATAATGTGAAAAGTGGTCATGGTGTTGGTAGCTCGCAATGATATTACTTGTTGCTTCCAGTTATTCAGTGTTGATAACTGCTCACTTGAAATAATCACAGTGGTAGAAGTTTGCGTTGTTTCCCTAATCAGTACGGCCGTCCGTTGACTGCGTGTTCCGATTTGCTGAGGTGGGGTCCTAAGGGTCCCTGCCCACTGTTATTGCAGCACTCTGTTCTTCTCTAACCGTGCAGTTCACATGTGCAGCTGGTGCGCGCAGGCCGTCTGTCGGCCTATTTCCGTCCTTGCGAGTTGAACGGGCGGCCAAGTGAGTGCTGCAGCAACTGTATGGGGCTGAGTGTGGCTAGGTCCGTGTCTGTTCCGGGAAGGGGGTGGAGGCTGACTGCGGTTGCACTGTCTGGTAGATACACGTGTGCTGCGCGTCTGGGTCCGATTCGGAGAATGATGCTCCGCGTGTCCAGACAGACGCAGTGAACTATTATTAGGGTGTGAGTAGCTGTGTTGCAGATGAATTGAATGAAGATCAAAAGTCACGCGAGTGTCTGTTGGGTAGTTCGTTCTAGGCAACATTGCTACGCAACAATTTTGTTTTGTTTGATAGCAGTTTAGGAAAAACACAGATGGTACCGGTGTTGCTCTCAAAGGGTTTGCATAATTGGCTGGACCAAGCCGTTAAAACGGATTGACAGGTAGCTTTTTATCAAATAGTTCTAATTGGCGTCCTGTGTTAGCTGACTATCTCAGCCTGGCGCTGATTGGCTGACCGCGATGAGTAGCAATACCCGTAATCCCAACTCAAGTGTGTCAATGGTCAACTCCTTCGTTTCACTTTTTGCGAGCGCGGACCTAAAACATGCAATACAACAGTGTTGTCAGTGAAGACGATGTGCACTACGTACTGGCTTCTAGCATATTTGCTATGTCCGTAGCTAACGAAACTATGCTGCCAACGAACAATCAAAGCTTATGGCCATGGTCAGTGGTTCTGGATGTCATTTCATTTGGGCCTGTTGGGGCCCGAACCCTACCAATAACTTTAGCTCTTGAATACAGTCGTCATAGCGTCGCACAAAAAGAATAGCCTTGCTATTCCGAAAAGTTACCATTAGTCCCTACGAAAAACGCCTGACACCGGTGGGCGGTTATTTTTTAAAAACCTTTTCCAAACCACTCGCTATAATCTATTTAGCAATCGTATCGTCGTAGTTCAATCTAAGAGGCTCACCATCACACAGTAATTCACACCTGCCACGTCTCGGCGGTGTCAGCCTCTGATTGGTCGGCCTGCAATGACGTCATCGGCCACGCTCTTCTAAATAGCTCGTCTGGCACCGAGCGGTGTCGCCACTGGTTTTTGGCACGAGCTGGAAATGACATGTCTACTGCTCCCCTGCTGCGGATCGTTGGCACTCAGGCAGTTGGAGAGAAATTCCGAGTTATGTAAAACATCTCTCGCTAGTGGCAGAGTGTGCGTGGCTGGAAAAAAATGTAGTTGATCTGTGCCTTTCGTATGTTGTGACGAAGCCCCTGTATATTGAGTACGCATATATAGAGGCATGGCTGTCATGTATTCACGTAAGGTTGGTGCCCATTGCCACTATATATTTTTCCTGCCAGAAAGCCAGGTACAAAACTAAGTACAAAACCAAATACCTGCATCAAGCATGGACAATTTTACTCCCAAAACTGATTGGGCAGCATTATCCTTCCTCGGAGCTCTGCCTTTGTCTTCCAAGCGTTTTTAGTTGTTGCTGTTGTTGCTGCTATATATGTAGGTGTTGAATATTTTCGGTAGAAAAATATCTGTCTTATTAGGAAGTCTGTCTTAGTTGCGTCTGAGTTGCGGCAATTGTAATGCCCGGTCGGACCTCAAATAAACACTACCCGGCCGGTGAGCTTATAACCTGACGGGCTACATTCTTACTACGGAGGTAACTATAGACTATAGACTATAGGAGGCAACTATTATGTATATTACAAAATGCTTTTAAGTGATTGAATCAGAGCAGTCTATAAACAAATGGTGATAATGACATGCAGGTTCTTCTTGGCCTTCCGAAAAAATGCATTTTTGATTTTGACTCGTATGGACGGCTCAAATGATTTCTTCCTTAAGTACCTACTTATGAAAGTAGCATCGGCCATCGAGCTAACTCTGTTAATTGTTGCCAGTGATATGCTTTGCTTTGTTCACGCTCACCCGCATTGGCGTTTTCACAGCCGCTAGCGTATGAGGTCGATAGAACTCCCCGGCCCCTGATCGAGTTAGAACTTCGCGGAAAAAAACGAGCGTGCCCTGCTCGTTACAAGAAGAAGCCGATGATGCTCAATTTTGAGGTCATAAGTCGTTTACTGATGTTCCAGGTCAGGTCAACAAACCAAATGTCGGGAAAATCTGGACTCGCCAGAATTCCTTCAAGTGAGGCGTTTTGAGTTTTTTGGGGTCCCGACTTTGAACTTGGCATTTGTTTTTTTATCATCTATGATATATTAATGCATTTGGGGTAGGTCGAGCCAGGTCGGGTCAGGTCAACTGGTAGTCGTCCATCCCGCTGGCTATCCATAATAGGTGGTAAGTGTTATCCACCACTAACATCTTCGCAGCATTGCTTAGACATCCAATCTACGTAGTTCTCAAATCTTCAAATGAGTGCCAAATTCGAAATCAGCTTAACTAAATTACACCAAAATGTCGGAAAACTTAAAAAGCCGATCGAGGTCATCAAAGGCCTGACCTTGACCAGACCTTCAAGGGATCTTGGCACCTACCATTATCCACGAGACAAACATGATTCCACATTTTGACACGTTTCCTATCACAAAACATCTGGAAACGGACGGATAACGTGCGCTGACATACGCCAAATCACCGTTTTTGCCTGACATATACATACATAGAACATGAAGTCTTAAGAAACACGTTATATTTCACGGATCATTTGGGTCAGGTACATTAAATTTCAGGGTAGATTTGATTTTTTATTTGATTACCTCGAGGTGACTGAAAGTTTTGTCGGGATCAGCTGCTTTTTACGCGAGTTATTCGCGAAAATCGAGCGGAGGGTTCCATCCGACCCTCTGTAAGTGCTAGGGTTAATTTGAATTACGACCTTTTGGAGTTTCACCCAGTATGGGTACTCACTTATTATGGAGCTGAAATGCATATTATCCATTATTATCATAGACTGGCCAGAAAGGTGTGTTTTTGGCCATCCCGTTAAAAAGATGTGAATTGTGAAACAAAATAAACCGCAAATTTTAGTGCATTTTTTTGTCCCAAAATATTATTGACCGGGCTATTCTTTCCACTAACTATTGCTCCTTCACTGGTTGTGAACGATGGCAGTCATTCCGATTAGTGAGACCCTGAGACAATGTGAAAAATAAATGCGTTTCATAAGAAAAACAACATTAGGTACACTACCTGAACAAAAAAGATTAATTTTACATATTGCGATATAACAGTTACCAGTCTTAAAATTAATGGGACGGTTGATCTCACCGGTCATCCGATTTTGATATTCTTTCTTGTATGATGTTAAGTTGTAATTATTTAGTTATCGGTTACAGTTACTCTTATCTAATGTCTATGCTAGGTTATGTCTGTTAAGTTTAATGCTTTCAGCGCTGGTCTTGGGCATCTATTTAACGGCACTGTTAAATGAACCCATATAAATTGTTAGCCATAAACTCATCTGTAAGGAGACGACACGACACTGTGTTGTCAGTCGAGTGACAAGAATTTATACCATGCCAAACCAATTAACGCTTTATCTTGTTTCATCAACTCACTCTTCATCTCATCTTTGTAGTGAATATTCGAGCTTTTCTACGTCTGCACTTTTTCACCAAGCATATGTGAAAACGTATGAAACATGTGAGTAGTTTGGATTATGTGATACATTACCTCCACTTGCCTTCATTGAACGGTCTTGTATTCTTAGTTTGAACATTGTCAGACAACCTTATGCACAAATACAAGATTGAAAATAAAATCCCTGACTATTTTCCTTCAGCTTGTAAAGCAGTAATGACAAGCAATGACATTAAATGTTCATAGGACATCCAACGAATAAAAACGTAATGCGTGGATGTTCACATTAGCCGTTTTCACGACGGGCTACCTGGCGAATGCACTTAGTTTGACAAATTTTGCACACAATCTCTTTTTAGTGTTTTAATAGAAAATAACGTCTGGTAATTTGGAAAATGAGGTAAATAAGCATCTCGGCAGCCCAAACTTTTAACTTGAAACACACTGAACCTATTTTGACCAAATCTGCACATAATCTGCACCAAATGTGTACCAGATGGCCGTCGTGAAAACGACTCCTAACGTCTTTTTAAGGTGTTGTCAGTTGTCTTTTAAGTTGCCCGTTAAGTTCTCTGTATATTTAGCTTAGAACTGTATATCTGCTGTTCTTCGCCGTGCGTCTCGTCCTGGTTCCACCACCACAGATGCCCCCATTCCCAGAGCTACAGCAGACTCGCAGCTCCACGTGCAAGTGATTGAGGCTAGCCCGTCACCACGCCACTGTCGGGTCTGGGGTCAACCGCAGGCTCTCTCCGACGGGGGATCGTTCTTCTTTTCAATTGAGCTCAGCAAACGGCCACAGTTATTCGAAGTGTTCGTTTATTGACGCTCTGCGGTAGGACCAGCATGTGCAGACATAAAGTCGACGACTGCACGGCGAGCATTTCAAAAATTCGTCAATAGAAAAGAAGAACGAAAGCGGACAAGCAGCAAAAGCACACGTGCAACGACTGCGCGAGCCAGCGGCTACCAACACCGGATTGAGGGAGAGAGAGGCTACGAGAGGAGACAGAGAGCGAGCGACACGGCTAGTGGTGTTAGTGTTTCGCGGGACTCGGTTCGAAGGGCGACGGCCGGCCGTCGGCGGCCGTCCCTTCTGCGGACGGGCGCGCGCGGTCTTGTTAGTGAGTTGGGCGAGCGGCTGGGCCGTCCGCGCGGCGGGCTCCACCACCGAGGGAGACACCAGGTGAACACGTTCAGCAGCTCACAGCTAGCTCTACTTACGGCATGTTCAGCGCCTGCTGATGCGCAGTGCCTTGGACTGAAACAGAGGAGAGAACGAGTCAAAACTTATCCCTAGAGAAGAGGGACAAGTCACGATGTGTCGATATGTTACGATTAAACAGCGAATATAGCCGGCATTAGGGCTACATCTAAACTTTATCCTTGTTGAAGGTGTGGATACGTGCGACTGTAAAAAGATATTCACCGCGAATAAAAGAGTAAGGGTTTTAAGGTTGTGAGGTCGTGTCAAACCACACATACTTGAAGAATGGATAATTTAATTCGATTTTGATTTAGATCATATTTCATTGCGTTGTTCCCAAAGAGGCATCAATGCTGCATCGGAAGAGCTTTCCAAGTTCGTATCTTAGGTGATTTTTGCCATGGTATTACCGCCTATTAATTATTCGTTTTCAGCAGAAATGCAGTGTTGATGCGTTGCTCGTTGTAGAAACTGACATCCCGCATCCACTTGTCCATCATCTCCCCAATTACGCTCTCCCACGTCGAGGACGACATGGTCCCTCGCCGACCCTTGTCTTGATTCTCGGGGTGGGTCACTCGAACAAAACACGCGCAGTTTCGTGGCAGGTGGGCGCCATGTCTGACGACTATCGTACAGAACATCATATTCGTGTGTTCCCTGAGGATGGAAACATGCATATGTGGAAAGTACTTTTATTTTATTTTTTAAAGGCTGCCATTGTAGGAATGGGTTCGCTATGGTAGAGCAAATGCTTTCGGAGCTTCTCCAATGCCTCAGTCGTTTTTCGGCGCTGAATCGTTGATCATGCATTAATTTCAGCACCAACAACGCATTATGGAAGGCATCCTGCAGTGGTCTGCCAATTTCGCGTCCCGCACCGCTGCCTTTGTTAGTTGAAAACAGCTGGGTGATGCCAGACCGACCCGTCAACGCAGGCGGCGAACAGGATAACCAATTGGCCAAACGACGGACGCACCTGCCGAGCGTGGCTCTCACTCAGCAGCGAGCTAACCAGACACCAACTGACAGCTCCCAGCACAAACTGCCAACGACCGTCGGCACCCTGGCGCAGCCGCAGCGCCTGCTAGAGCAGCGGAAACTCAGTCGGACAACCCGCTGGTAAAGCTCACAGACGAGCTTTCCCAGCAAATGGAGGTTGTCTGTTTTTCTGCGCTGTGGCGGAGTGCCGGGTGGGTCGGTGGGACTAGTCAGCGGGCTGGAGATGGGGCGGCTGGAACGGTGACGCCGAGAGAGTGGCTATTTCAGACCGGAGGGGGTAGCATCTGGACGGCCTCAGGCGTGGCCCGCTGGCCGGCTACCCTGGGCTGGAAGCCGCGCCGACTATTCTGGGATGACGGCTACCTGTTGCCCTCGCGTCCGACAGCGGCCGCCGCCACTGACAACAAGGAAAATAGGTCGGTCCTGATTCATATTTGGAAATCGGTAACAGGAGAAGCGGCCGATTGAGAAACTTCTGGAATGCGCTCGCATCTTCCATGCCCTGGTTGCGTCCTAATGGACAGCCAATCCGATGAGATCATGACGAATTGGCATGCGTCGCTTCTTGAGACATGCGAATTGATATGGCTTAGAACGACTCGGCATAGCCCAAAGTCTATACCAATGCCTTGTTTGGCCTGAGCTCGCTGTAAGCATGTTTTCCTGTTCCGCTGCAGAGATGCCACAGGGAAACTTCGGGAGAAGCATCACTCGCTTAGTTTCAGTTTTGGTAGAACCGAATGATATTGGCCGATTCTCATACGAAATTCCTCGAATAAAGATAAGACAGTTGCAACTGCTCGGATCTCGCAGTGAAATGCGGCCATAGCTAATAAGCTGAACAGTTTGAGCGTTTATTACAGAATGATTTGGAATCAAATAGAAGCAACAATGCCTTAGCCGACAACCTTTACCTTTGCCTTACAGCCAAACTCAATATCCAACCAATGCATCCATCCTCTCTCAGCCTCGTTTAGTGCCCTATCGAAGCTCGTGGTCACAGCAGATTACCACTTGCCCTTCTCATCGAGATAGGAGCCACCGATCCGTACTTCAGCTACCCAGTCTTCCACCTCTGCCCTCCAGAAAACCACCTCTGCCTCAGTCGTACCCGTCTGGACACTCACCGTTCGTTAATCGGTGGCTCGTGCCCGCGGGCGGTCCGGGGCGGCCGCCCTGCCGCGAGCGCGCCGCTGTCCCTGGTGCGGCCCGGGTCGGTGTCACTGCCCGTCACCGGCGTCACCAGCACCACTGCTCTCGCACCACCCGCGCACCACCGAGTGCGGCCGCCACGCCAGCTGAGCGGCTTCCAGCTCGGGCGGCGCCGGACCGAGCCCGCCACCGGCGGCGTCATCGGCCGATGGCTGTAAATTTAGCCGGCGCGGGGGCGGCGGCCCGCTCCCGGCGCCCATTGGCCGGCAGCGAACCGACGCTTCCAGGGGCACCCGCTCCAGGGCCACCCAGGCGCCAAGGAAAATGCCTTAGGGTGCACTTAAGACGTAGTTTGGTTGTTTGTGCGCCGTTTAGCGTCTCAGAGCTCGGTTTGCTGGCGCCGTATCGTCAATGAATGACGTTTTGATATCCGTTCTTGAATGAGCTGCATTACAGGTGCCTTGCAACGTTACCTGGAGCATGCAGTTTTACTGTTCTGTCACAACGTTTGATTTATTGGTCTTGCCTTACTAACACACTGCTTTCAACTCACAAGGGTGCTGGCCAACAAACAAAGTTATGAGACGGCCGAGTGGCACCATTTTGCTGGGCGTGACTTAGTGGCCGCTAACGACTGCCGTTTGCTATTCCGGCCTCGCTGACGTCAGGTTCATGCACATGACTTCTAAGGGCTGATGCAAACTTGCGATGGTTGATGAAAAGTGGGTTGGCAGAAAGTGAATAGTCGTCAGCCGGAAGAACAGATGCAGGAGCAACCTTGACAGTCACGAGGTTATGGCTCGTCATCCCGGGTGCTCTGAACGAATGTTTGAAAACTCTGTTTTTATATCTTGACCATATCATTTCAAACCCATGATATGACATGATATGATAGCCGATAGGGGACTAGGAGGCATTAGGTGGATGTGCATTTGCTGGTGCAACGCCGCGAAAAACGGTTACTGAAGAGAGGTTGCGCTATTGGGACTGCATTCTTCTGTTGAAAAGTGGAGGAGGGGAGGGGATGAAAACTGCGGGCTGGGGGTGGGTGGTCTTTGGTCATTGATGAGGATGCATGCTGCTGAAAAAGGTACTAAAATCCCTGAAAGGCCGCTTTTTTTGCCTGCCGACGTGAACAGGTTCAGGGACTGACAGTATTGGATCCTTTCCGCTCAAAAGCCTTTGCTACCGGTCAAGAATGAACCTGAAGTGAACGAGTGCCCTCTGAAAAATTTGGTGGCATTAGAAAAACAAGTAACCTATGCGTATCAAACTATGAACTCATCAAGCTTGGTTCATACCACTTTTCATGCATTTGTTGGGCGACTTTCTCTCTTATCAGTCACGCCCGTCATGGTTGGCGTCCTTGACCGTCAGGCCGGCCCCGTGTGTGCCGTCCCCATCAGCTGTGCGCCGGTGACCGACTCTACCGCTTCTACCTGTTCTACCGACGGTGCCGACGTTCGCTTCCGCCGTCGGCACCGACGGAGAACGAACCCACAGCGCATGCGCCAACTTGCCCCGGCTAATTTAGACCCATGATCGCGTTACGGTGCCCGTATTTGGGACACAGTTGCATGAAAGCCAGACCTTACCGGACAATGAATGTCATGACCATTGGCGAACAGGTGGAAGCAGGTGCTGGCTGAGTGCTGCAACTTCAAGCTCATTTTTTATCTACGTGCCAGAGATTTTGTGAATTCCACTAAAAATAATGAATCTTAATATTGTTAAGGCGGAATCCTAGATGTGGCTGCATAATGAAAAACACATAATCTCCATCCAAGCATATATGTAAGTCCATATATGCGTATGAAAGGGGCGTTGAGCTTGTAAGTGTTTTGTTATGTAATAATTCGATGTCATTATTTATCACGTTCAAATAAGGATGGACAGAGTCTAACATTGAGCAAAATACACCAAACACTATCCGAACGACCTAAGCCAATTAAGGTTTAACCCTCGCCCGTATGGGGGGGGGGGGGGGTCGAACGGACCCCCCCCATGGTTTTTCGCGAATAACTCGCGTAAAAAGCGGCCGATCGCGACGAACCTTTCAGTACCCTCGCATTCATCAATTTTACACCTACCCTGAAAATTTCATGACCCTGACCCAAATGACCTTTGACCTGTGACCTACTTTTCGAGACCATGTTTGGCTGGAATCGCGATTCGGCGTATGTCGGCTCGCATTAGCCACGCGTTTGCAGTCTTTTCGTGGTTTCAAGCGTTTAAACATGTGATATGATGTTGCCCCCATGCATTAGGGTGGGTGTAAAGGTCACCTGAAGGTCAGGTCAGGTCATTGACCTTTGATGACCTCGGTTCACTTTTTCGAGTTTTACATGTTTCTAGGCCAGTTTTTGGAGCTGAATTCGAATTTAGCAACCATATGAACATCTACGAAGTAGTTTTGGTGCCTTCGTAACATGTTACGAAGCTGTCAGAGGCGGTTGCCACCTACAACGAATACCCTTACTGGTTGACCTGACCTGACCTGACCCGACCTGGCCTTAATGCATGAAGATATCATCTGTGATCAAAACTAACATGATATTCGTGATCAGCAGCCCGAAAAACCCCATAGCAGCCACACTTTACGACGTTCTAACAGGTCCCGATTTTCCCGCCTTTGGGTCATTGACCTGACCTGCAAGGTCAACCAATGCCCTAGGACCTTAAAATTGGGTATCATCGGCTTCCTCTCGTCACGGGCAACACGCTCGTTTTTTCCGCGAAGCTCTAGCTCGATCAGTGGCGAAACGGCAAGGGGGGGGGGGTCCAACGGACCCCCTCCCCCTTATACGCTCGCGGCTGGAAAAACACCAATACGGGCGAGGGTTAAGACTACCTTGAACTATCCGCTGCTGGGCTGCACTACACTACTCTTCAGGTCAAGGACAAACGTTTTCCAACAGTCGACCACTGCCAACGTGTCGTGTGATTCCGCTACAAGAGAAGGGCTTTTTCTTCCCCTCACCCCCCCCCCCCCGGAATCCAGCACCGTCACTTGCATTGACAACTGCAGGGAAAGGGGACCCTCGTACCCCTGTAGAGACCATTTTCAACGAAACCACCTATGCTATTCTACGTAAATAAATTACTTTTGGTGGTTGGCCCTCCTCCATTTCAAGTCTTGGTTGGCCGGAAGGAGGGGCTTGTCAGCGCAAATTGCTTACGCAAGGGAGCTTTAACGTGAGTAATGCTCTCTTGCGTAATTATTTCACTATGTCAAAGGAAAACCCATGTCAATGGAGGGTCTTAATTAACTAACAAATAAAAAAACGTAAGCAATGGTTTTTCTTATTTAAAGTTATTCCTAATTTGCAATGTCTATTGCTGCTTTCTGAGTGACCTTTACGTTATCAGCATCAGTTGATTGCACACTGAACGATAGATTACATACCTGGCTAATAAGGCACTTTCATATCAATCCCTGCAGCGATGGGCTGGTATGACGTCATACTACATAGTGCTCGCCACGCCTCGCCTCATTTTGGTTTGATTACATACCTTGCAAACATTTGTTCCTTTGAGCCCTTATAATTGACGCTCGATAATGTTTGTAAAAGATTGCCAGCCTCGGATGACCAAAGTTTTGCAAGTAAAATCAATCTATCACACGTTTTGTTACCGTTGTTTTGGTTTGTTGATAGATCTATCCATCTCAGAAAACAAACCAGTAACGACCGTACCGTTTTACGGCGCTTATCGCATAGGCCACAACAATCCGTGGCTCATATCCTATTGGAAATGTTGAAGCAGGCTAACCACGTGGTCAGGGCGGCGAAATGGCCTAGTCTTTTTGTTGCTTACCATCGTACTGATTGCGGTGCCATGTGCCGATCGAATTGTTCGAAAATGTGTCCTAAATGGTTTTGTTAGTAAAAAAGATTGTTCTGTTTTACCTCAACATTCAACAAAAAAAGCAAACAAAAATAAAATGAAGATGCGTCCGAGGTTCGGGAATGTGTCGAAAATGGTATGATACCAGAAAAAGTCACCGCAAATGAACTCACCTCTGTGCCGATCTTTGAGGTGATAGATCTAGGTAGGCCCGCAAGAAAAAACAAAACAAAAATAGCAATAAGAGAATAGAAGAGAAAATAGAAGACTGCTGCATACCTAAGCGTCAGCCAAAAGTGATTCGAAGCATAAATGCTCTCAGATAGATGCGAAGCTGCAATCCAATAGGAATCGATTAAATTAGCTTTGGAAACAAAGCAAAAGATGTGCACATTGTGCAGCCCTTCGAGTTAAAATTTTCGAAACAAGCATACACAGGAAGTCCGGAAGAAAAGCGTTCACCAGCTCAACAGCCATACAATCCAAAAGGTGCTTGATGGCCTCGAAATGCCAAAATCGCCAGAAGGAATACCAAATTGAGCTCTTCAGCACACAGACGGACAACGGAAGCATGCAGGGTCCCCGCGCGGCGGGGTCAGGGTGTCGCGGCGGAGTACTTGCGTACCTAGCTGCTGTTGCTGCTGCTGCTGCTGGGTGGCCGACGTGACCTTCTGCGAGGTCTGCGTGACCTTTTTGTGGCTGTGCTGCGTGGTTTTTCGGCTGACCGCGGTCATGTCGCTGTCGGCCAGGTCGGGCAGCTGCTGCTGCTGCGCCAGCTGCTGCTGCTGGTGCGCCAGCTGCGTGCGCTGGTTGTTCTGCTGCGTGGCAAGGTTCTGCATCTGCAGCTCGGTTGGCACCGGCGCCTGGATCATGCCCTGCGCCGGGTGCGCCGACGTGGTGCTGCTGATGTGACTCTGCTTGACGGAGCTGCTCTGCTGCACGGTGCGTTTGGAGGTGACGCGCCGGGTGCTGATGCTGCCGTCGGCGCCCTGCGTCTGGCTGTTGCTGACCGACTGGCTGACCTGCTGCTGAGCGGCGGCCGCCTCGCTGGTCCGCTGCACGCCGCCAGGCGTCTCCTGCACGGCCTCGGCCTGCTTGGCGAACTGGTGCTCCTGCGTCTGCTGCTTCATCTGGCCGCCGGGGATGTTGGCCTCCATGAGCCGGGACGCGTCCCGCGACTGCTCGTGGGCCTCGCCGCCCGGGATCGCATAGCTCTGCGAGGACTCGCTTTGCGAGCTCTGCTGTTTGGTGATCTCACCGCTGGGCGCGATGTTGGCCACCTGCTGGTCGCTCATGATGGCCGGGCTGCTGTGACGGTCGGCGGCGCTCTCTGCAGCACGTTCTGTCACTGTGTACGGGGCGCGGCCGGCGCGCGGGCGGCGATCAGTGGCGCGGCGCGGCCGGTCGGGAGCTGCGCGCACGGCCGGAGGCGGAGGACGAGTGCTGGCCGACGCCGGCGGCACCCGGCCCGCCGGTTGGTCCGAACTAAACCGGCACCGCTCGATAGCGCCGTCAGCTCACAGGCACAAAGCACCTTCCGTGTTCGCAGCTGCTCGCCGTGCAACCCGAGTGCCGACTGGCGTGCACCGGGGTCGAAACCGGACACGGCGCCGGCTCGCCAACTTTAGAGCCGACGAACATGGACAGTTGGACGGAGACACGCGCAGGATTGTCAAAGAACACAAATAGATCGCCGGCGGCAGCGACAGCGGAGGCGGATTCGACGGCCGCTGAGCCGGTAGCCAGCGGCGCTGTCCGGCGGCCACGCTGACCCCACGGACCCGGCCTCCCCCCACCTGACCCCCGGTCACCGCTGCTAACCTGAGCAGCGATCAGAGAACCTCGGTCGGAAATCAGGCTGTGATCGCTTTGGAGGCGTTTGCGAAGTTTTCTCTCAAAGCACTCTGACACGCATCGTGAGATAAGCACTCGCTTTGGGTATACGGGGTTCAGCTGAAAGGGTTCAGATAGAGATAGGATGAGGAGAATCGTCCGTCCCCGTGAGCTGGCACTCGTTCAAATTCGAAGTCGGGACGACGAGACACGTCGGCCGCTCCCGTTCGGCGCGCTGCCAACGGTATTTCCCGTGATTAGCGGTCCGTACGTTATTTAGCGGCCGCGACCCGACTGACACGGCAGCGGGTCCCATGACTTCTGCTTGGGACAACAGAGCGCGGCAGGAGCCATGGCTCCGGATTGAGACAACAGACACAAATGTGGTGGCCTGGGCCCTGGATCAGCCGGCGTGACTCAAAAGTCAAAACAGTCCTCTCCACTGCATCCAGATGAAAATGTACCAATGGCATTGGTACATTTTCAAATCATGATCATTTGTGAACAGTTTTTTAGCATTTTAGATTCGCTGAGCCTTTCATGCACACGGGAGTCGTGACCATAATCATACGTTGCGGTGTATTTATCGCAAAATTTTCGTACCCATTGAAGGATGGCTGAAACCACTTCCCATCAGATTTAACAGCACAAGCTGGGTGGCCCTTTCTACACTTTCCTGGTCAGTCATCACTATGCCTTTGTCACGATACCACGCCACCGTGAGTCCGCCTTGCCAGCTCAGTTTCCGTGACCCCGTGTCCGCCCCGGTCATCGGCGCTCGATGACGCCTGGTCCGACCCCGTGACGTGTACCCTGACGGATGGCGTCGGTCTGAATCGCCTCAGGGCTCATTTCGCAGTAATGGCTGTGACGACGGACGGCCCCGCCGCCTTCGCTGACACCGGTATAGGATAGCTATGGCTAAGCGGAGCGTTAGGGGCGAACCGTGAGAGGGGGCTGCAGCCTACGCCCGACTCTGATCCGACAGACCCTCAGCAGCCAACGAAAACCGGCGGCGGGGGATGGACAGCGGCAAAAACGCAGAGCCAGCAGCCCACATCGGCTGTAGACACAACAGTGGCGCGGTTTTTGCCGGCTTTGGTTACACCGTGTTGTTGCCAACGACCGTGTACCGTCATTGAACAGTGAGCACCTTCCAGAAACAAACATATGAACTGCGGAGAAATTCATATTGCGAAACTTTCAGTAAAAAAAACAATACATTATCGAAGCGGAATTGTATGACCCTAAAAGACGTTTGGATGGAAGTTGGTAACTGTATTAGTAAGATGAAATAATTAGTTGAAATAAATTGCCTTCAGTTTATTTATTGATCATCCTTAAGATTTAATCGTGATTCTTTTTTTTACTACCGAGCACCGACCGTATTCCTTTTTTTGTCCTATTTCCATACACCTCTTTAGGTTACGTAACCATCATATATTACAAAATGCACAGTCATACTGGGACGAACATTGCTACGTAGCACTATGCAGAAAATGCTTACTTTAGAAAAAATATGCACAGATGATGGTACTGAACGGCACCGTAACTGACGGCAGAAAAGCCGCCGCCAGCAGGGCGTAGGTGAAAGAGTGAAACGTTTTAACTTTCAGCATCATATTTTCAGCGATGGTAAGCGCACCACCGGAATAAGCGACGTTTGGATCTAAAAGATTGGTTTCAAATCGATGATTGGTTTATTCTCAAGTGTTTCCGCCTTTCTGCCTATTGTCACTTTAAATTGTATTGCATAATCGCGCTGGTTTACCATCGTTTCAGGTCCTTGATGAATGTCCTTTGCAACTGTTTCCTCCGTTTACCTATTATTCAAAATTGTCGTTTTTTCAATGACCTCATCCCTGCATTGGTAGCGGAGGTAGCTTTCCTGACCTGTTGTCCCAGCCCCCGCATTCCGGTGAACAAACAAACTCTGAAATGGCTGACGGCCGGCTGAGCCAAGAGGCACGTCAGAGGGCGGCGGCCGACCAGCGACGGCGCCGACGTCAGCGGTCTGGACGGTCACCGCCAGGGCGCCGTCCGGTGACGGCCAGCGCTCACCCGGAACTGTTCGAGATAGGGCCCGACGATGGGCTGCCCAGCTACGGCCAAACGAGACTGGGATCAATTTGTTCCATTTCGTTTGTGCTGCTACTGCCGAACTACTGCTGATAGAGGTTGTAGTATTGCAAATATAGCGACGATGTCCATTTTACTTGCGTTTTACGTGGAAAGTTAGAGAAGGCTTCTCATCGAATGGCGTACGTTCAAAGCGATGCTCTTGAAAGATGGTTGACATTAAGAAAAGAAGCTCGATATGGTTCAGAACACTAACATTTCCAAAACGTATCCATAGACCATTTGGTCGTTCTGTGACAAGTGGGAGACGAATTTTGAACATTCACACAAACCATTTTGGAAATTGTTGGACCGCTTTTTTCGTCCAGTAAATAGCGAAATCAATAGAGGCCATCAAACGTTGCCGTTTGGACTCGTGAATAGGACTGCGTGAAATTGAATAACCCTCTGCTGTCTTCCTGTTGCCTCTTTCCGGGCGTTGTGTGATGTCATGCGTTGGCGTATTATTGCCTAGATTTGTTACGACACTTTGTCCTTATTGATGGATAAATTTTACAACCGAATTGAGAGCATATCGTTTATAATAAGTCACAACATCTTTTTCCCGTTTTCTGGGCATTTTTTTCTGAGCCCAGTGAGAGATACTCTTAAATTTTAGCCAGTGAATGAGGCTATTCGGATGCCTGGTGGATTACATAATGCATGACTTACACACAATAGCAATGAGCAATCTGAATCGCACCATGACACACAACAGGACATATATTCCCAGGTCACCATCCTGCTTGAAAAGTTTTTATTCGTCAATTTCATTATTTGGCGTATTAAACTTCGTTTATACATGTGTTGGGACTTGCAGTTGATTCGTTCCTCACAGACTATGATAATGAAGCGAGTTGAGCAGATTTATAACACAACCAACCACTACAAGAGTTGTAGGTACTTTCTTTCGAAAACTTACTTATAAGTTATGAAAGCTGTCCGGAGTGTTCATTGAGCAAGAGAACACGGCTCTTTAAGCTCGTAATTAGTTCCGTTAGTTCAGCCGTCAGCGAATCGTGGGCGTTTTCTGTCGAAGTCCTATTAAACACGCTCATCTTATGCAAGGGGCACTGGACTTGGACACCGGACAAGGCTGCCGGTGGTACCCCACGCCCTGACCCGGGCCCCGCGCCCCAGGGTCCGTCCGTGGGCGGTGGGGAGGGGTCAGGAGAGGGGGGGCCACAGTCGAGGACGGTGGCCAGAGCGGCCGGCAGCAGCGGCAGCGCTTGGCACCGACCCCAAACAAAATACACCCGGTAAAAATAAACTGGCTGCTGCCGGCGCCGGGAATGCGAGCCGAGGGCTCCGAGCCAGCCCCGGCCGCCGGCGCTGCGGTACCACTAGCGACATCTCTGGAGAGAAATGGGAACAGTGGACCGTGTGGGTTGGGAGGGGAATGATAACGTCTTCATTTAAACCGCTTGATAGCAGTTGGGATACGTGCATCATATTTTTCCTTTTGCATGAATTGTCCTGTGCTGCCCATGCGTAAGTCATAGCGAGGGCTGGATTTTTAATATTCTGAGAATCGCTTCATGGCTTACGACTTATCAGAATATCTAAATCAATATGCGACTTCTGGGAAGCACGATCAATGTTCATGGTCGCTGGGTAAGCTATTCGGCGACTGGCGTTGATCGCCCCTATCTGCACATGTTTTATTTCATTTGCAAGTTTTGATGACTAGTTTCGAGGAAATCATTCGCTGACGTAGTTCCGACAAACGATTACAGTCCTCGCCTTGTGTGAAGCAGTCAGGAACCTCAGGGTACCCTCATTTACCTACCCCAGGCAGGTGCCCCGCTTTTCAGCTCTACATATGGTAGGACTGAATCAACTCTTCAGAAAAGAAGCATATTAGGTGTTTGAATTAAGTCGAAGGGAGGAGTGGTAGATATGTCACTAGCTTGTCGCTTTAGTAAAATAATGCTTTGACAAATACTACATGTTTTATTAAAGCTTTATTGCAAAGGCTGACCGAACGGTGAAAAAATGAAGCTTGCGAAAAACTGAAAAGTTGGCAGCGAAGCGATGGAGCCACTGGAGCCCTAGGAAGGTTGCCATGGGAACACAAACAAAACCACCGGCGCCATTTCGTCTGTTTCCGTTCACTTGTTGAATATCTGCACGCTGTGAGCTAGCGCTGTTTGATCGATAACGTTATCGATCCAACGGCTAAGTGTGCTATCCTCGTGGTAATAGCCAAATCGAGACAGAACAGTTTAGGTAGCCATACCGTGCTGCGATCAAGATGAACAACCTGTATTTGGGAGACGATCCTGTGGTGATTTGTCATGGTCTTCTCTCTGCTGCTGTGCTGGAGCAGGGCCCAAAAGGTGAGGCGGAAACTATTGTTGAGCACGAACCAGTGCGTTTTAAGGACGTAAAAGAGCTCTCACTGAGCTATCGCAAGATTCTGCGCATTGATAACCTGTGGGAATTTACGTCTCTGACGAAGTTGCAGCTAGATAATAACATCATTGAAAGGATAGAAAACATCTTCTACATGCCCAATCTGAAATGGCTGGATCTATCGTTCAACCGCATCGAGAAAATAGAAAACTTGAACCAGCTTATCCACCTTGAAGATCTCAGTCTGTACAGCAACAAGATATCTGTGTTGGAGAACTTGGACAAACAGCAAAAGCTTCAAGTGCTCTCAATCGGTAACAACTGCATCGACAGGCTCGAGAATGTGCTGTACCTGAGGACATTGGGGGCACTGGGCTCTCTGGGACTGGCAGGGAACCCCGTGGCAGAGCATCCCGAGTACAAGAGCTACATCGGAGCGTTCTTGCCACACCTCACCTATCTGGACTATCGACTAGTGCAAGACGAGTGGCGTCAGCAGGGATTGAAGAAGCACAGCTACGAGATCGAGGAGATGGATCTTCTAGAGCATCGAGATGAGTTTGAAAAGGAGAAGCAGAAACAGCAGCAAGAGCAGGAAGAGCGATACAGGGAGGCTTTCGTGGAAGGCTTGAGTGAGGGGCAGCTGTTTGACGAAATGTTTGACGGTGATAAAGATGGTGACCATTTGTATCATATGCAGGGCGCTGAAGAACTACGCGAGACGCTGAAGACACAGGTGGTACCCATCTGCAAGCAGATATTCGACGTGGGTATTGAGAAGGAGCAGCAGCGAGCGGAGGAGCTCAGTCAGCTCATCAGGTGTCTGAAGGAGGGCCGCGACTCCGATCAGGAGAAGGCTGTGGGTCGGATGGACGAGTTTCTGACGGACAAGGAGACCCTGCTGGGAGACATCGCGGCGGCCATCGAGATGGCCGAGGTAGCCGGCGTCAATGATGAAACCGAGGCGGCGATCGACACTGCCATCCAGGCGTACCGGGACCGCTGCCAGAGTCTCTGGAGCCAGCTGATGGGCAGCGAGGTGGTACTCAACGACGGCTTAGAGGAGGTCATCCAGGAGTTCGGCAGGAACCTCACCGATATGGTGTCCAGCATGCTGGAGGCGACCCAGGCGCTGTTCGCCCAGGTGCGTGACCTCGAGGCCGGCTACACGGAGCAGGTCACCGAGCTGGCGCTCCATGTCCTGGAGAAGGTCATCAGGAACGACGAGGACGTGGACATGCCTCCGGAGACCACCGAGCTCTTCACCGACAAGGAGGTGGTGATGTCGCTGGTCACCGGATCGCACGACTTCCACCTGCAGGTGCTGGACGGGAGGGAGGACCGCATGACGTCTCGCGTCAAGACATGGCTGCAGAACACCATCGCGAACCTGCTACAAGAGGAGGAGAAGAGGAATCGAGACCGAGTCATCGAGATAAACCACTTCCTCGACAAACAGCGCGAGGAACTGGATGAGTTTGAGATACCGCGCGTGCCAGAGATGGAGCTGGATATCGCACCGTAGTTCGCAATCGCAGTTTCTGTCGACTTTCGAGCCATTGTAGACATTGTATCCAGCGGTGGGGCCAGGTTGGCTGTGGCAGGACGTCATAAGTGACTGTATAGCCATTTAGAAATGACTACTCAATGTGTGTATGGTAGATACGGTATGCAGGTCTATGTGTCGCGGTTACAATGCATTGCAGTGCGTTATGAAATAGCCAATCAGAGGGCATTGCTACTGCATTCAGCATCAGAATCACTAAAAACGACCAAAACGAAGTGCAGGTCCAAATAAATACGCTTCCACTATTTGATAAGATGGATGTAAGGTGTCGATTTTCTGTATGTGCTGCTCGATTCGTTTCATCCCTAGCTAGGTGTATGCACATTGTATTCGATAGCTTTATGATAAGCATATGTGAATATCTTCATAAATCGTGGTATGCTGTTGCGTTTCATTCACAGAATGACATGGGGTTGATATAAATATGTTCGATTGACAACCTATGCTTCCAAGTCGTGCCTAATGTTTTTTTTTCTTGCATTTAAATTTAGCTCGAATGTCTCAATGCACGGATTGACAGAGCTTGAACCCACCCTACACGGAGCTGTTACACAGGCCCAGACCCCTACCGTCCTATTTAGATGACAAGGATTAAAATGCGCATCGTAGTCGGACACGGCCTGCCCCATTTAGCTGACATGAACTGGCTGCGTCTGCTCCCACCAATCGCAGACCATCTCTAAAATTTTGGGCGCCGGAGCGACTCGAACCCGTGCCCAGGACTCACTACCGGGAGTCCAATGCTCTACCAACTTAGCTATGGGAGGTATATTGGCTGCATTATCAATATACGCTTGAAAAACTAAAATAATTGCTTGTTAGTCAATATGTTAAGCCAGTAGCGGCGGAACACCTTCAATTAGGGGGGGGGGGGCAACGCCGACGTTTGGTCCCATTCTTTCCATGCAACGCCCATAGGGCTTATGTTAAAATGCCAAAATCAAAGGGGGGGGGGGCAAGGTGCCCCGGTGTCCTCCCCGTTCCGCCGCCTATGTGTCAAGCCGCATAGGAGTTTATAATAAACATGGCACCGGTTTCGCCTCGCCGCGCCGTCTGTGCGCCTGATTCATGCTGCGCCGCAGTACCTGTATTTCGTACAACACCTCATAGATGGCTCTGCCATCGGTGCGCCTGGGAGGATGCTGCACCGCACGACATGCTATTTTCTTATGCGACGTAACTGTCTCCCGAAATTGGTGCGGAGTTTATGGACTATTCGTAAGTTTTAAATCTAAACCATGTCATTTTATACATCACTGCATGTTTGTCAGTACCTACACTGAGAGCTATGCTTATTGCTTATGATAATCACGAAATGAGTCATAAATATGTCAGTTGCATGAAACCTGTCACAGCGATTCGACTAATATTAGGTATATGATCTGATTACCTCTTCTTTTGTCCTGATTTTTAGCAAGAGGTGTGCCAACATAATATACAATTACACCAATTATATGAAGATTGCAACATATGCTCTCTAACCTATATGCTAATCTCGACTTGCATGTTTAGCTTTCCTGTTCCTACCTATGTTTATATTACATACATTGATATTGGGCAATTGAAAACTTTGAGATGGTTGCAACAAATTTCGACGGTAGGGAATGATGATCTTTTCAACAAAATTCAAAGTTATATTTAAGACAATAAGCACCAACCTATTGAAATCCAGAGGCCAGAGCCTTTTCAAATTACCTACTCCTGAACTTGATACGGCGATATTCATGGGTCAGCATGTCCTGAGCCAAAATTAAAATCAGTTGTGCGAGAAAGTTCTTCAGACTTGTGATGATAATCGGTTTCTATATGTTTGTTGAATGGTATCCTTCGTTGCGCCGTATTTTCTATCGCTCGACTGCTGAAAAAGCCATGTCTCTGCTGCTGGGATGCTGGGACTGTTTAGATGCTGCCGAGTGTCCACAGCTGTGGCATCCGGCTGTCTTCAGAGACGAGCGGCCGGACGAAACTTGCTGTCAGCTGGGGTAGCCGGTAGAGCAGACTGTCGTCTCGAAGAGATGAACACGCGAACACCAAGCCACCATGCTGCGAAATCTACGCGGCGCACACTGAAGCAGAAGCGGCTACGATGGAATCGGCCAGCAAATACTGCATCCAACACAAGACAGACGAGTGCAAGGAAGGGCGCAAAGGCGCGGCAGATGAACTGAAAGCGCATCAACAATGGCAGCCATTCACATGATCAAATTCACACACCAAATGATGTACGGCTCATAGCGGTGCAGACCTACGAAGGAACATTTCAATGTTGCCGAAACTAAACAAGCTGCAAGCTTTGACGCCATGTTCGTTGATAAAGCGGGTGACGTGCGCTTCTGAAAGCTGATATAGAATACGGATGACGTCTTACGATAGCCCGCTGAAAACGGGTCGTGGCGGGAGCGGCGGACCGCGCGGTAAGTGAGGCGTTAGAGGGCTACAAAAGCACCGGAAGATATTAGTGGAATGGCTGAGACAGACCTGCATACCATGCGTGGCAGAGTGTGTTAGTTCATGCCAAGGCCTGGAAGCTAAAGCACTCTAAGCGTCGCTCACTTACCTTCTCCCAATGAACGTGTTAGCTGAAAATCTGGCCCAGGGTCAATAGCCCTATCCCATCCTATTGTTATTAGTTTTTTTACATATATTTGTTTACGTGTCTATCCAAGTGAGACAACATTTTAAGGAGCTCTTTAACGGTGATGGTGAAATTGAACAAGAAGAGAAAATACGACCTTAAGTGGGATTGTAAAACTCAGAGGATTTCCCATTGTGTCACTTCTTTTCATGTCATTGAGCCTTCCTCTGCGAGGCCAGAAAGTTGCAGGACTCCTCTGCAAATATGCGGAGATGCAACTTGTCAGGTTTATTCTACAGTCTAAAGTGTCCCACACTGTACGACTAACCTCGCTACAAGAATGCGTTGTCTATAGAAAAAAAGAAAAAGGTTCATTCCGAGAACAGAATGCGCTTTGAGGAGCCATGCATCCCTGTCCTCTACCAAGAACGCAAGCAGCGAGTGTTTGTGAACGTTTATTCAGTCCAGTAGTTCGCCGAGCTGCCGCCGGGCGGCGCTGACGGCCTGCCACGTGAGTTATTTATTTGATTAGTACCGGCATAGACGGACGTCAGGTCGACCCGAGGGCCGACCTGGGCCACGACAGGTCACCAAAGGCCAGAGATGCGGAGTCAATCACAAGCAGTCACGAGGCTCGGCGCGTATCACGAGGCGGCGCGGCGCCGCCGTGCTATTTACATCACCGAATGCGACCAGGTCGCTGTCCAAATACCACGCTCCACGCACACTCTACACGTAACATGTTATCGACCGAACACACCTTCACACGAGGTCACCACAGCAGCCGCAAGCACCGAGCGCTAGATGCAACGTCTACGACTATGTCTAGTCCTGACTAGAAGCTGTCTAAAAAGTCTAAGCCGCAAGCGAGCGTTCCGTATCGTCTTTGTTGCCAGCGCACAGTGCGCAGAGATTCCATCGTTCGTGAAAGTTTTTCCCACGCCGGGACGCGATCCGCCGGCCGCCGTCACCGCCGCGGAGATTTCGGACAGCCCCTTTGTCACAGTATCGTTCGACAAGCCGCTATTGTTTACCAATGATTCAACCAATCATCACAAGCTAGTTATTTGACCGACCGCCATCACAACGTAATCACCATATCGGCCGCCGTAAAACGTTCGTCACCGCGCAGCGCAGCTATAAAAACGTCATCCACTGCGCAACGAGTCTGACCAGCATTGGAGAGGGCCTCCCGCCGACCGGGAGGAGGCAGTGGGACGACGGAGGGAGAGAGGGAGGAGTCTAGAGCTCACCTGCGACGGCCAGCAGCGCCTCGCTGCAGACGGAGCCGAGGTGGTTGGTGGCGACACAGCAGTAGACCCCAGAGTCGTCTGGAACAGGGGTGGGCAAGGGGGGGGGATTCATCGTCATTGGCTGCGATACAAAGTGTCATTGGCTGGGGAAGGTAAACATCGAATAGATTTGGCAGCTAAACTGGAGCGTCACCGGTTACTAATAGCGATTTGGGATTTCCATCGGCGTAGGGGATCGGTATCAGTAACTACAGACGTAATCGTATCATATTTGTCGTAGAAGATTCTCTTACTATATGGGTAGTGCTTTCTTGGGTAGCCACAACATACAACACGTATGCACACATCTCATTTACCGAAGAATTTAGAGTGTCCGTCATTTGTGCCGTCTTTCTGGCTAATGGAGTGGCTAGCCTCGCATGATGACGGCTCCGTGGCGTTTTATGACCATGTGTCACATTATTTCTCGGAATCGGATCATGGGGCGTCAGTTACGGCTGCCAGAGGCAAATGATGACGATGGGGATTCGAAATTAGCATATCGAGTTGGCTCCTAACACGGGAAAGGCAGCTGTGCCAAGTTCACCGCAGCTAATTAATCAAGTCATGAGGTACTGGTGCTCTTCATGACAGTTGTCCCTTAGCTTCTGGCAAGCATTGTTCCGATAAGGAGAGCGTTTCCCCCTGAACCAAACTCACCGGGATGAGCTCGCGGCAGTGAGAGTGTGCACACCCCTCCGTCCTCTGAGATGGCGTAGGGCGCGTCGGGCCGCGGCTCCAGCTGCCGGCCGTCCTTGTACCAGGTGACCGAGGGTGGCGGCAGGGCGTCCACAATCAGCCGCAGCTGGGTGACGGCTCCCGGACGGACCGTGTGGTCGGCGAGGGGCCGCAGCAGCACGGGCGCGCGCAGCAGCGCTGAGTCCGCTGTGGAGAGAGAGGGTGTCAGCGCGTGGTTGGGAGTGCGTGGGATAGGGAGGAGAAATAATTGTGCGCGATTCGCTGGAAAGTAACAATGTAGAACTCGTTTATGTTTAGTAGAGGCAATAAATGCTAAGTTGTGTTTTAGTTTGGTCGAGCCTTTGCACACATGGAAACGAAGTGCGACCCGAATGAAACTCTGGATTTCATCACAAGATATCTTGAGTGCCAACTCACGTTCTTTGGCTGCATCACCACCAACATTGAGGGCGAGAATAGACAGAGACCCGAATGTTACAAACAACGTGCCATGGTGTTGATGGCCATATCAGTTATTGCAAAGGTCAAACGGAAAGTAAAAACGAGAAGCCAACGACGCAAACGATCACAACAGCCATCAACCAGTGCAAACATTGCCCAGAGAATCGCGGTCATTAAACAGCCCTTAAATTGGCAGTCATTCCTAAAATATGTTGAGCAAGTGAACACTCATCACAAGTGGACGATGAATGCTTGATTTTTTAAAAATCCTTCAGAATTACAAAATCGTTTCGAACAAAACACACTCCATTAATTAGGGTATCATCAATCTACCCCTTGCGGCCTCTAGCCGCTGACGCAGCCAGTGCAAACGCCTGTCAACAGCTGTAGGTGGATGCAGTTACCCGTCCGCTGCGATCATGAGCTCCAAAATAGCCGGGGACCGATCCAAGGGCGCAACGCTACCGGTCTCCGTATCAAAGACAACATCGACCCCGCCTGGCGCGGAGCCATTCAACACTGCCGTGGTCACAGCGCCTCTCCGGGCACTGCTACAGTCAACAGCTGGTCTATGATCGGTGCCAGAGAGGCTAGGGGTGCGGAATGGGAGACGGAGGGCTCGGGGCATGCAATCGTGACACAGCACTTGGGAAGACGGCAGACATTACGAGATATGTGGCGTTAGCATAAATGTTGACTAAAAGATAACCTCGTCCTAGTTGAACTTTTCTCACATAATTAGGCACTTTCCCTGTTATATCCCTTCCCTAGTCGATTGTTATCTACACCGTGTTTCTGTTCTGCTCTCCGATCTCACCATTCTCCTTCGGCGCCTTCTCCGCGGGTGCCGAGTGCCGTCCGTTGGCCTGTTTGGCCCGGCCGTTCAGACGACTCCGCTGCAGGGCGCTCTCCACCGCCTCCGCCGTCCACCTTCCACCGCTGTCCACCGGGCCACGCTCGTCGTCAGAGGGCGAGTGGCTGCGGTGGCCGGCCGAGTTCACGGAGGACGCCCTCTCCTTCTCTCCCTGAGGTCGGTCCCGTGCTGGGGGAGAGTCCACCGGACCGTACGAGCGGCTCGCTGCAGAGAGAACAAACAAAGTACGTGTGATTGTACGATAAACACTAATGGAACAGCTTTTGCATGAATTCTAAGCAATTTAAAAAGAAAGGTGGAGAGCAATTCTTACCAGTGGTGATTCTCTCCGTTCTAAAGTGGGACCCGGCTGTCTTTCCACCTCGCTGCGGGTGATCCTCCTTCAGCAGCGCCGGAGGCGACGGAGACCGACTCTGGAACATCGCAGTGCGTGGATGTTGATGGTTAAAGAGAGCTTGCTGTTTGGTCATTTACTCGGTTAGGCACGCACATTGATGTTACGGTATAACGCTTGTCCACTGAATTAATATAAAACTTTCTGAGACACCAACCGTAAAGATAAAACGCTTAGAGGAAAACATTGGAACATAACAATGGCATCTGTGGTAATGCTCGAATTAAGTCAATGTTGTTAAACGTGCCTTATGTATCTGCAGCTTGCACAAAAATACGTCAATTTCGCTACGTTAACCATCGCTTCCCATTTATTACACCGGTCCGTGTTGTCTTTCAGTCCCACCTGGCTGTGCGCGGTCCTATCCGGCCGTCCCGGCGCTGCTCCCCGGCCGCTGCTCCTCACAGTCTGTGTCCGCGTCACCTCACTCCTCTCCTCCACACTGCGCTCCTCAGAGCGGCGCAGAGACGAACTCCTGTCCTCAGAGACGCGGTGCGAGGACAGCCCGCTGTCCTTAGAGACGTAGTGGGAGGTTTCCCGATCCTCAGAGGCGCGAGAAAACAACCTGCTGTTCTTCTGTGTTCGCGGGAACGAGTCTCTGTCGTTAAAGTTCAGAGGCGTTTTCTCTCTGTCATTTGAACCCGGCGAGGGTCTGTCCCTATCCTCAGAAGATCGGGTGAACCTTTCCCTGTCCTGGGAAGCTCGAGAAGACTTCTTCGCCGGGCTCTCAGACGGCGGGGACGTCCTCTCATCAGACAGTTTGACCACCAGCTGCGCCTTGTAGTGCCGCTCGCTCGGCTCCGGAGTCTCCCTCCGTTTGGGAATCGACTCCGGCTCGGGCGAGGGTGAGTACTGCCTCCCGCTGGCCGGTAGGGCGCGCTGGCCGCGGCGGGGTCCTCCCGGGTCGGGCAGGTCCGACAGCCGGAACTCCCTCCGAACCTGCTGCGACTGCGACACCACCTGGTGACTGATCTCCTGGTGCACTCGCGTCGTGCTCGACTCCTGGCGCATCGACACCTCTCGGCGCATAGAGCTGTCCTTCCGCGTCGAGGTATCGTGATGCGTCGACACCTCTCTTGTCGACAACTCGCCAAAGCTCTCGTATCGCGTGGTCGTCGCCGAGTCGTCTGCTCGGCGGGTGGGTCGCACCAGCGCGCTGGCGGAGGGCGAGTCGCCGTCTCGCTCTCGGCTATCACTGCGGCGGGCGGGTCTGGGCGGCGGTGACCGGGCGCGGTACGGCGGCTGACGGGGGCCGTCGCCGGCCGGCCGGGCTCCCTGACTGCCGCGACGGCTCACAGACGGCTCTGTCGGCCGGTCGTCGGAGTCGGCAGGGGGCGCGGCGGGCCGGCGGACGCCCGGCGTGGAACGCTCCCACTTGTGCGACGATACGGACTTTTCTACGATCTCCTGGTCAGTCCAGCGGCCTGACTTTTCAACCACCTGCAGGGCAGAATTGAGCAGTCAGCAGGGAGTACGGCACTCAGCAGTAACTGATCGGATTGGGGCGATTGAACAAGCTTAGCGCTCTCCGTTGGCATAACATTAAAGGAACAATATGTGAATCAGCTGGAGTCGCAAATCAGAGTTATTCGTGGACTGTTGATAACAAAAAATGTTATCGCCCTTTGTAACGCTGCCATATGTGTTTCAATGAGAAGTGTGCATTTGCAATAGCCTTAAAAACTTGGTTTTAAACAATTCGCTTCAAATTATGTGCCTAAAATATGCAACACATACACCCTTGTTAGTCATTGACGGTCGGCTCAGTAATTATGCTTCTGCAGCCCATTTCGGAATCATTTTCATCGCTATAATTATACATGTAGCGTAGGGTTCATACGGGATATTAAAGGGACCCTCCCACCTTCAAAAAAGTTAATGAATTGGCATGAAAGTGATGTCGCTCGGTTCAGAAAGAGCAAAAACGAATATCTACCAAATTTCATCGAAAAATATTCACCGGTTTTCAAGATATTAGACTTTTACTTTTGTTTACTTTTTGGGATCTCCGCTGTTCCTAGCGACTTTATTTGAAAGTGCGGCAATTGTTGCGCGCAAAGCAGCATATACCACCGCGTGCTACAAAACGTTTTAGTCAAACATTTAACGGACGTTCGAAAGCCTGATGACGTCATCAGATTCCCGTAATGGTTAAGAGATAGGGACCACGCTGGTCCCACCCTGCAAGTTAAGGGAAGAAATTTCTTGAACACCATAAAGCTGCGGGGGTTGCGACCAGGATGTGGTTTCTGAGCCTGGCCGCAAACTTGGCTATCTCAACTCAAAACTAATGTTAAGGTGGGAGGGTCCCTTTAACCCGCGACCGCCTGGGCCGGGCGAGGGTCGGATCCGACCCCCCTCCGTTTTCCTTGAATAACTTATGAACCGCTTACGCTATCGACTTGAAACTTGGCATACCTTCTCCCCCATCAATTTGACGTCTCCTGTGCAATTTTGAAGAAAAAATTTCCAATTTTTTTTAAGATATATCGATTTTAGTGACGTAACTACATGGCGTTTTCAGTCAAAAAGTGGTAAATGTTTAAAAAATCGCCAAAAATCAGGATTTTAAGCAAATTGCAAATTAAGGACAAGAATAGACGCAGCTCAACGAGTTCTTTAAAATGGCTATCTCGGATTTTCCATAAAATGCGTTTTTCATCCCAAAAAATTCAAAAAACTATATTTTTTGGAAAACAGCTAATAAAATCAAAAATTTTGAGAATTTCCAAAAAACCGGAATATATGCCATAGAGCTCTATTAGAACATTAGATGTCCCAAATTTCAACTTTCTATCTTGATTTTTGACCCCCAATTGTAAAAAATAGTTCCAACATGCATAGGGCATGGTGACGTCATCAGCATTTTCGTGAATTAGAGGCACTTCTGAACATCGCATGTGAAAACAAATGGCACCACTAGATTCCTGGGACAAAGCTCGTCTAGAAAAGTGCATTTTTATGTCAAAAATAAAAAGTTGAAAAATTGACCTTTTTTCTTAGCCCTCGTTTAGTTATGTATGGTATAAACGATTTTTATGCTTTCAATGCACACTTATCACCAGCACAGTGACTTGGGGTCACATATAACCATTACCATCGGATTCGGCGTGAAAAATAAGCCATAAAACATGTGTCGCTCGCCCATGTAGCAGAAAGTGAAAACCGTGACCTTTCGTGACCTGACCTGACCTTGACCCGTACTTAGTATGACCCCTATACGCACATGGTACCTTCACTAGGTCTTTGAGGTCATTTTTGGTGAGTTTCGAGCAGCAGCTGTCGATTCCGCTGTCCGTAAGCCTAATCATGCAAAACCCGAGAATTTGACCTTTGACCTGACCTTGACCCGAAAGGTGACCTCAATCTTTAAATCTTAAGGGTGCTTTGGGAAGGTCTCGTAGAGACCTTTCGAACGCCGCCTCGTGGGGCTCGATGCGACCATTGGTTCTCGAGATAACAGGGGGGGGGGGTCGGATCCGACCCCCCCCCCCCCCGGCTGTCGTGGGTACGGAAATAGCCCAGGCGGTGCCGGGTTAATAGTGACTGGTGAGGGGCAATCGTCAGAGCCGTCTGCCTTTCAGTTATATAAAATGTTCACCCAACAAAATTATGTCAACAGAAATTCATTACAAAAACACAAACCATAATACGATAAAGTTGGCAACCATTCATGCACATAACATATGAAAGGTTAATGGTGTGAAGTGCTTGAGCGAGGAACATAGCGAGAATAGATACGTGAAGAATCATTGACCTTTTCCTCGAAAGTGTAAAAACAATGCCAAAAGTTATATTGAATGCGTTGAGCTTTCGGCTACAGGCCTTCGTCAAACCAACAAAATGACACAATTGTGTCATTTTGTTGGTTTGACGAAGGCCTGTAGCCGAAAGCTCAACGCATTCAATATAACTTTTGGCATTGTTTTTACACTTTCGAGGAAAAGGTCAATGATTCTTCACATATGAAAGGTTAGTTGAGCTGTGAAATCACTCCTGCCTCCTTGTGTTTGCCAGGGCATAAGGCACACATTTATAATGTGAGATGCCGTTGTTTTACATCATAGAAATGTCAGTCGTTTCTCATAGCCACTCCAAACAAAACGTGTTAGATAACATAAGAACACCACAACACGCGCACACGTCACGAGACTACCTAGCTAGCCGCGGGAGTGGACCTCCTCGCACCACCTCTGGCGCCTCCGACACCGATTCAGCCGTACAGGATACGGGGGAGGATGTGACGGGCAGGGAAACGGTAGGACCTTCGCCCGGCAGGGAGGAGGCGATCTCATCATCAGACACCGAGGACTGGTCCTCCTGGTCGTGCCCGGACGCACTGCCGGAGGGCGGCGCGGCGCGAAGAAGCAGCGGAGAACGGGGTTGGATAGCCCGCGCTGGCAGCGGTGAGTGCAGCGGCGCCATGCTGACAGCTCCGGCCGGCAGCACGCTGGTCGTCGTCTCCTCCCGCATCATCTTCTGGCTGTGGAACTCCTCCTTGACGTGGGTGGTGGTGTTGCCCTCCTGGGAAGAGGATTCGCGCGCCTTGGACATGGACTCGGACCACTGCTGGCCGCGACTGCTGCTGCCCGGTGCTGGCGCCGGTGCCTGAACTGGACGGAACGGGCTGGACGTGCGGTGTGCCACGTCGGACGGCGTCCACTTGGTCGCCAGTCGGGACTCGTAGTCGCTGGCGTCTGATGCCTTTCGATGCACGTTCAGTGACGATGGCGGAGTCTGACCAACTGTTCTCCTGTCCAGAGAGCCGGTGTACCCCTTCGTCATGGTCTGACTCTGAGAGGCGCGCGGAGGGGCCGCCGGTGGCGCCACGTTCTTGTGTGAGGGGAGCGACACCAGTTCAGGCTCCGATGTGTACCCCCCGGCGTCTGAGGTGTAGCCACACGGACTGCCTCGGCCTCGTGATGAGCTGGATATACTGGAGCGCTGCTGCCACCCGCGCTGGAAACTGGGCGCTGGAGATCCTCGGTCTGGCACCGGAGAGGTCACAATCGGCTGTGGTGAGGCTGGTGCCAGCGCCAGGTGCGTCGGCCTGCTCGGTACCGACGACGACATAGTCACTGTCCTTCCGCTGGCGTCCGTGAACTCTGTTTTCTCCATGCGCTCTTCGAACATCTTCTCGACGCGCATTTCGACCGTGGTGGTACCGCCCGACTGTTGTCGGTTGAACTGGCGCGACTCCTTCGCCGCCGTGTCGTGGAAGCCCCGCACGCCCGGACCGTCCAGGGACTCGTGTGTGCGCTGCTTGTCACAGAAGTTCTGCTGGTTGACGCCAAGCTGCGTCAGGTTGGTGTGAGGGATGGAGACGGGCTGGGTTGGCTTCAAGATGGGCGTTGGAACGCGAGCTATGGCCTTCTGCTGCTGTTCTTGCTGCTTCAGTTGTTGTTGATATTGTTGCTGTCGCTGTCTCTCCTCTTCTTGCCGTTTCAATAGCTGATATTGTTCCTGTTGTCGTTTAAGTTGTTGTTCATACTGCTGTTGTTGTTTTTGCTCTTGTTCTCGTTTTAATTGTTGCTGATATTGCTGCTGTTGTCGTTCCTGTTCTTGTTTCAGTTGTTGCTGATACTGTTGTTGTTGCCGCCGCTGCTGCTCATATAACTGCTGCTGCTGCTGCTGCTGCTGCTGCTGCTGCTGCTGTTGCTGCTGGTATAAACTTTGCTCATTGGTCTTAGTAACCGTCTGGGAGCTCCTGTAGTCTGTCTGATCGGTTTTAGAGATGCGCTGTGGTGCCGGTTTCGGAGGAGCTACCGGCTTTATCACAGGCTGAGCAACTGGTGGAGGGTGAACGATCGGTGGCGTCTTCTTCAGGAACGTGCTCTCGTTTGTCATTTTCTGCATGCTTTCTGAAATTTCGTTGGCTGTTCTCGTGATCTCGTTAGAGACCGGCGGCGGTGGTGGTGCAACAGGCTTCGGTGGGGGCACCGGCCTCGGTGACGCCATCCGCCTTGGCGGTGGTACAGGCGACACGGACTGGCGGGTCCATCCTCCCTGCTGTGCCCTCGTCACCTCCTGTCTGACCTCCCGCCTCTGCCACGATCCATCCCGCTCCCTCTGCCAGTTGCTGTCCACTTCACTCCTCCCCGGAGCCCTCTCACGCGGCGCCCGAGGCACCTCAGGCGCTGACATCCTCCGTGGCGGCGCAGAGACTGATCTCTGGACAACCGTCGAGCCTCTGACTGTCGTCCTTCCGCGGGTGATCGGCAGTCCGACCACGGGAGGACGCTCCGGAGGCGTCTCCCGGACTGGCGCCGGGCGGTCGTACACGGACGGGGGTGTCACCGAGCGGCCGCGCCTCTGCCGGCCTCGAGCCTCCGGCAAGCTCACCAGAATCCTGCGACGGTCGATGTACTCGTAACCGTCCGGCCACCAACGCGTCGGGATGCGTTCGTCGAGGTCGCTGTGGTAATGCGATCCCGAGAAGCGTCCGGGGATGAATTTGGACGGCGTAGGAGCACGGACCACTTGCTTTAACCTTGCTGGCTCTGGGTAAGGTGGCAGTGGCGGAGGCGGCGCAGAGCTCTGTCGCTCGCGCGCCAGACGCCTGAACGTATCCTGTGTCTGTTGCTGCTCCCGCGTGTCCGTGTCAATTCTCCGCCGCATTTCTCCCACAGAACTGGCGGAGCGACGAGGCAGCGCGGCGCGAGGTGAACCGTACTGATCAGAGCGGGTGGCCTGCGAGGAGGTCCACTGGGCGCTGCGCTGCTCCTGCTGCCACGTCTGCTGGCGCGTTTCTTCCACCGGAGTCCACTGTTGGTGTCGCGCAGGACCGGCTCGAGCAACATATGTGTACACCACACCAGGGGGAGCTGCCACCGGCTGGGTCTCCTCGTACTTCTGCTCAGCACAAGACGACCACTCTCTTCGGTCGGTCATCCAGCTGGCGTTGGACGTGGTCTGAGACGAAGCCATACTGCTTACTTGACCACCTGAGTAAGAACGCTGAAGCTGAGACGATGGAACTGGAGATACGGGAGCTGGTGACATTGGCGCACGGACAGGAGCAAAACCGGGCGGACGATCTGGTTTCCAGGTTGAAATAGCGTTGGACTCTATCGACTTGATTATCGAGGAAACTCCGCGAGGTGGTTGCTCTTCGTCAGGGGTGGACGTGGGGACCGGAGAAACCGGCGCTTTCACTGGCGCGATGCTGAGCGCCTTTTCCGTCTTGTATGTATCTGAGGTGTTCTGCATGGAAGATGGAATTTGATATTGCGGCTGAGGGGAAACAGGCGCCTTCACTGGCGCAAAACCAGAGGGCGTAGACGGAGTTGACGAATCTTGCCTTTGATAGCTTTGCTGCACGGATGAAAATTGTTCATCTGTTTCGCTTGTCATGGATGGACCCTGGTTTGGTTGAGATATATTTTCGACCATGATCGTCTCAGTGGTGTACTGAGGTGCGTCGTGGGAAGCCAAGGGTGGCATGTTAATTTTTCTTGTGAGCGCCGAGACCGTGAGGTGAGCCGGCTTATGTGTGACAGATGTAACTCGAATGCCCTGCGTTTTGTCGTCCTTGTACCATGGCGCCGAGTTGACGGCTGGGCTGGATACAGAACTTGGCAGGGGTGCAGAGGAAGTCAGACTCTGCGAAGGGACACCCTGATAGCCACTCACGGGTGAGAGAGGCGACTTTGCCACCGGAGGCCGTACTGGCGAGATGGGACTGCGGCCCCGCACAAATGCTGGCGCCTGCGGAGACAAGGGCGATTGAGCAGGAGCGGTGCCGACCGCGGCGGAAATCTGCGCCTCGCCTCCAAATGTGGTCATGGTGCTCTGGGAGGTTTGAACCCCCATCCGCTCCGCGTATGGCGCCACGACCGGCACGCGGAACACGCCCGGGGGTGGAGCTCCGGTCATCTGGTGTGGGGCTTCTGCAGGCTCGGTGCTTGGGGGCAGTGGCGGTGGGGGTGGAATGGTGAAACCTGGGGGAGGACGGACCCCGGGCGCAGCGCCAGGAGGACGGGGTTTCGGTGCCGTCTGAGGTGGTGTTGTTGGAGCTTTGGCGAATTTATACAACATAGGCTCAGTGGGAGCGTGGATAGTTAGCTCTGCCGGAGTTGCGTCGGGCTGCCAAGGTGCCTCTGAGTCTGTGGTCTGGTAGATTCCATTTTCTGAGGAGCGATTAACAGCCGCGAATACGGGATCATGAGGCCTCTCACTGGTTGGCGGAGGTCCACCGAGGTGGGGACCTGACGACATTAAGCTGTCGGGAGTCTGAACGGCAACATTGGCTCGAAGCGAGAGATCTCCATGGATGTCTGTGTAAGGCTTAGCAGGCTCCAGCACCACTTCAGGTGCATTAGCAGCTTCTTGATCGGGGAGTTCAGGCATAACTGGAGATTCATCCTCCGGAACGTCTTCTTCAGTCGGAGCCTCATTAGTGGAATGCAGCAGTTCCAGCTCTTGTTTCGAGAGCGGCTCTTCTTCGGGGTGAACATCCTCCATATGCTCATCATCGTCACTAATTTCTCTTCTCATTTCTCCACCAAATCGAACGTGCTTTTCATTGGAAGTAGAAGCTTCAGTGTCAATTTTCTCATTAGTGACAGCTTCTTTGTTTGCATCGTCCTGAGTCGTAGATTCAGTTGGAGCATTTTCCAGAGATGGTTCTTTCTTGATTAGAGGCGGCATTTCTGAATCTTCGAAATCTTCAGAGCGAACCTCTTCTCCGTCAGATCGTAGAAGAGGCGAATGGATCCTCGCTTTCTCTTCTTCGGCTTCCTTGGCCTCTGGGAGAAGCTGATGCTCTTCTTCAAGCTCTTCATTGGCATCTCCGTTAGCTAGTTTAGGCTCTGATTTATTTTCATCTATGGTGGGGATATCTTCCGCATCCACTGAAGATTGTCTTCCGGAATCTTGGAGATATTCTTCCTCGGATTCAGACATTCCAATTACTTCTTCAGCATGTTTGGATTTTATTTGACTTGATTCATCGCTAACGTTTTCCTCCGCGTCCGGCTTTGCAATTGGTTTGGCATCTTTTTGTGTAGGGAGAGCGTCATCCATCTTTGCTTCGGTGACTGGCTCCACGTTTAACTTCGTATCTACTGCTTCAGCAGGAGCTTCCTCGGATAGTTCAGTTTCTGGCATAGCCGCATCGGACCGTGGTTTTTCTGCTAAATCCTCTTCATCAGACGTTGGATACTTTTCTTTCGAGGCGTCATTTGATGCCTCAGCTTCTGGAATAACCGTTGAATGCTGACCCGGTTCCTCTGTCATCTCTTGCTCCTCATGCTGTTCATCCTGCTCCCCACTCGATGGCGGTGCTTTGATAATGAACTCTGCTACTGCTTCAGTGTCTATATGGTCTGACTGGTCTCCACCTGTCTCTTCTTCGTCTTGTTCCCGAGATTCTTCAACTTGTGCCGCTTCGTTAGGTCGTGTAGATAGTTTCACTACTTGGGTTACCTGAACGTCCTCCTCTTCAGTCATTTCCCCATCGGCATCGGATTCCGGTGCAACCTCTCCTCCAAGTCGCGCGGTAAATACAGCTGGCTCTTCAGAAGCATCTGCATCCATCGGCTCATCCTCATCAACTTGTTCTGCAAGTGCAGGTTTGTCCTGAGGGCTTGGCTTCTTGGGTTCCTTTGAAACCAATTTGACCTCAGCTGTGGGAACCTCTTCTTCTACGTTTTCCGGAGACTCGGCTTCTGGACTCTTGTCAGGGATATCTTCTTCCATTGCTTCATCTGGCTCGACCTCTTCCTTTATTGTTTCGTCCACTTTGACGTCAACATTTTCTGGCTTTTCAACGTCAACGGGCACGACCCGCTCCCGCAGCCCCTGAATCTCATCTTCACTCGTAGGTCCTATTTCGGTATCAGTTTTATCAACTGGCTCTTCTACGATATATTCTGCATCGGGCTCTTCACGCATTGGCTCATCGGCGCCGTCTTCCGACTTCGGCTGGGGCTCGGGTTCTTTCTGCTTTTGGTCTGGCACAGGCACATTGCCAGAGTCGGGCTGTACATTTGGTCTTTCAACTTCAGCAGTTTGTACATCTGGTTCCTTACCTTCTGGTCCATGATCGCTAGGTATGGCCTCGCTGCTCTCCTCTTTGGCCAACTTTTTAGACTTCTTTTTCGAGGAGGACGAAGAGCGCCTCTTCTTGTGATGAGATTCATCGCCACCAGCTGGTTCTTCAGCACCCTCCGGTGCAGCAGCGTCTTCAGAATCGGCAACGCTGTCCATGCTTTCCTGAGACATGCTCTTGTGTTTCTTGGACTTCTTTTTCTTTCCATCCTTATCGTTTTCCTTATCTTTGTCTTTCTTCTTTTTCTTGTGTTTGTGGGAGTGCCGTTTGGTCGAGGATGAGGAAGGGGACAGGTTGGCCTCCTCGGTGTCGATGGCAGACTCGCTGGAGGCGGGAACCACCTCCTTCGTTTCCGTCACCGTCGGCTGAAGAAATCGTAGCGCATCATCGCGATGGTCACATAGACAGGTCATTGACACATCACGTTTTGAACATACTGGAGAAGTGATTATGCTGCTTTGATCGAATATAGATAAAGAATTGAATCGACTTAATCTTTAAGTTGTATCGTGATAAGATACGACGGCTACCCCTATAGACCGATCAAATCTCAAATATGTCATTTATCGGTTCTATAATATATGTCATACATCGCTCTATATTACCACCATTTTGTTTTGTTGGGTTAGGCCCTTTCGGTCCGACAAGACCATTGCAGGGCCGGAAGGATGATAGGAATTAGGGGGAGACATTGGTCTGGGCAGGCACCCTAGTGAGTGGCGCCGGGGCTGAGCCCGTCCAGAGGACAGGCCATCCAGCCCCAAGGCACTCACTGCACCCGGCTACGGGGTGCGCTCCCTCGGGAGCAGCGGTGCCGCTCCAAGGGAGCAGCCCGCATGAGATAAAGTTGCCTGCCCAGCCCGGAAGGGGGTTGTGGCGTGGAGGAGAAGGATTTCAGTATCCTGAGGATAGAAGCACGGACAGGTGATTACCACCACCACCATAAGCTTCGTTATGTAACATCGGCAGACGGTTCCGTACGCACCTCTCCGTCAGTAACGTCATGTGATATGACGCGTCTCTCGATGACGTCAGGCATGACATCGGTGACGAGAAAATCGGCGATCGAGGTCGACTCGCCGCCGTCGTTTTTCGCTGAGCAGCCGTATTTCCCTGCATGGTCGTGCGTCACTGAAATGAAACATACGACATCTCAGTTACTATAATGTCAATCGGTGTGTGGTGGTGGTGTGTGTCAATAGAATACCCATACGTAAAAGTTCATCTCAGCAAGGCATCGAAATACCAACAGAAGAGGGATGGGCTTTGTTTTACGCATCGATCTGGACATTCTTATTAGCACCGTCCACAGACCTCTACATACACCGTCACAATAATGTTATGCCTTGAATAATGCACAGCACAGCAGTACATGGAGCAAAAAAAAAAAATGATTGGAATGGGAAATGGTCATTGGTCAAGTATATACTGTAAAATTACGCTACTATAAAATTAAGTAGCGGATGATTTTTCAAGGTAGGCAGTCACATAGTAAGGCATTTGTGGCTGTTGGTAAATCGGTATTTAATTGTTACAAATGCAAGCAGTGCGCTTAAAGTGACAGAAGCTGGTCACACCTCGTGGACAGTCATCTCCGAAAAAAGAATGTGCCCAAAATGTACGGAGGTCCTATATTATCTCCATCACGAGACTCAGCCCAATGCAAAAATTCAACAGCATTATTTGGAAATATGCGGGTATAAAAACTTGGACAGTAACTATGACCATTATGTGCCTATATATTGGATTCTTTACGAGCTACTTTTCGTGTCAAAGGTCAACGACCTGCCGGTCATTCCAGAATTCGTATTTCAGTTAGCAAAAACACGTTTCATTTCTCGGTCTAGATTTGGTGCTTATTTGTTTTTGTGCTTATAATTTCCGGTATTTTTCGTCACAATCATTCATGATTTCCGGCATGACTTAAATGTACCTTTACTGTTTTGACTTCAAATTCCTCTGTCATTTAATGTAGCTATCGTTTCTCAAAGAGTTATCAAGCACAGCACAATGGCTCGTCTGGACATGGAGCCACCGAATGACCGAGCGGCGGCCCCCAAGCGGACCGCCCTGGGGGAGTACGTCCCACCGCCGGGAGGTCAGCCGTTGACCGCGCTGGCCCGGCCCTTTCCCGGCCCGGCCGACTACCAAATCCCCGACATGAAGCTGCACAAGCCGGCGCCGCCCGAGTTCTCAATTCGTCTGAAGGCGGGAGATCCGACGGCCAGGGAGGTACGACCCAGTCCCGCGTCGTACATGACCAAGATGGCAGCCTGCAAGAAGCCGATCATGACGACGATCAAGTCGCGGGTGATACCACCCGACTATCGCTGCTCACCCGGGCCCGTGTATAAGGTGCGCGTAGGTGATGTGGACACAAAACCGGGCCAGGTGACTATCAAGGGCCGGCACCTGGCAGCCACCACGGGTCACCCGTCACCCCTGGACCCCACCTCCTACACAGAGACGCCGGCGCCTGTGTACTCGGCGGTCACGGCGCATCTGCCCGCCGCGGCCCGGTTCAAGTTCAACTCGCAGCCGCCGAGACGTGATAATACGCCAGGTCCCGGCCCGGGGAGGCTCAACATGGAGCGGCCCCTGTCGGGACCCGAGTACACGATGCGGCCGCGGCCTCGTCAGATGGTGTCATGTATGAACAACCCTCCTCCCGACTGGTACTTTGTGCAGGACGTGCTCCCCGCCGTGCACGCGTCCCAGTTTGGAGAGAAGCCACGGCCTCGCCGGCGCTCGCCAAGACCGGCCCCGAATGCCTACAAGCTGCCGCGGGCCATGCGGAGTGCGCCTACGCTGACGTTTCGTCCGTTCGAGTCGGAGCTGGAGCAGCCGACGCCCGGGCCCGGCGCCTACTCGCCCGTGATGCCGGCCAAGCGCAGCGCGCCGGCGTTCAGTATTCGTCTGCCAGTGAAGCCCACGTACCCGAGCCAGGATCGGCGACCTCTGGGGCGCGGGCCCGCCTCCTACAACACGCGCTCGGCGGTGGTCGAGAGGCCCGCCTTCAAACTTACCTGTCGCCGAGCGGATAAGCACGAGGACTTCCCCGCGCCCAACGTGTATTCGCCCCACGAGGCGCCGGGCACCAACAAGGGCTACTCACTGCGTGTGAGGCATGCGGACCCCAAGCTCATGCAGGCGCCCGGTCCGAACAAATACCTCCCCGAGCGACCCCTACCCCGGGCGCCCGCCTACACCCTTCACGACCGGCAGCGCAATCTCAAATACAAGGAAAAGGAGAGCGTGCCGTCCCCAGCCACGTACTTTCCGCCCTCCGAGTGCGGCCGTGCGCCGTTCCAGCGCACAGCCCCAGGCGCCAGTTTCAAGGGTCGTCAGTCGAGGTATGTCTTCACCGGACTGGACCGTGTACGGGTACCGGAGCCCATGTCAAAGGAGATGGACAGCAAGCGGGTGCCGCTGGCGTGACCCACGCGGGCGGACCGAACGATGCACGTGCGCCATGAGCGTGGTACGAACGCCGTGTGCGCGGAAAACGAGTGTGATACGAACGAAATACAAATGCGATGCAAGCTTTCTGATGTCAGTGGAGGCTTCCTACGCCGGCACTGGTAATGTGGGCTGCCAGACGATTTATATTGCGTTGAAAATGTTGATTCGTAAAATGTTTATAAATCACCCTTCATATTTACAATTGCACTCTTCCCTCTACGATGTAGTGTGGGCATGGATAATAAAAATAAACTGCACAAACGCTTTCGATGGACGATGGGTTCAATGAAATTTCCACTATCACCAGACTATGGAACCAGACCAAGCTACCTCACATTCCTAAATCCTAGGTTGAGACTTCAAACCGTTTTCAGGCGTCAAAAGAAACGTTCAAAAATCTTGGAAACAAATCATTTTCAGCGCAGAGACAAAGCGGTGCCGACGAGTTGCGGAGAGCGGCCCGTATGATCGAATACAGCCGATATTCTCCACAAACACTGGGGCCGCGCCCGGGCCGCTGATGGCAGGCTTTATGTTCTGAAACTCGTCAGGCTTATCTTTACCGGCAGCGCATACATAACCTCTGCGGTCAGTACGGCCAACGAAAACATGCCTCTCAGCGGCGAGAACAGCCTCCTAGCAGCTCTGCGCCCGACACCGGTAGACGGTGAGGGTTAGTATGTCGATGGCTGGTATAGAACTACTCAGGTGAACCCAGCTCGACAGGTTGGGAAGGGCGGCCCGCATACCATCGTGTGTGTGGATTAGCCGCGCCAGACAGCGAGGATTAGCCGCTCAGTTGGCTGGCATCGAGTGTTGTTAGTGGTTTCCAAGTTACGCTTCACTTTGAGACGAAGCTTTCCACGGCTGTCAGCTATTGTTAGTTGTTATCAGGTCAGTCAGATTCGTATTTATTTTCGGCGCCCTAACAAAATACCTTAAGCTGGAGCGTGAGGTCGGGCCCTGAAGCTCAATTAACATATTGACTGAGAATACCACTATACGCACACATAACTGAAAACACACCACCTGCGCCTGAAACATCACGCACTTGGCGCCAAACCCACTGAAAACAACCACTCATCACTTCGGTACCAAACACATCTGTCAGACACAGCTACCCCCCCCCCCCCCCCGAGACTCAATGTCAGTCCCAGATCCCTGTCCGGCCCAAATCCACTGACCGTTCTCAATGGTGAGCGTATGATGATTCTCGTTCTGGGAGATGACGACACCGTTTTCTCCGTCGCTGATTGGTCGTCCATCTCGGGTCCACGTGACCTTCGGCGGTGGCAGGCCACTGACCTTGACCTCCAGGACGGCCTTCTGACCGGGCAGCACGACCTGGGCCTCCAGGCGCTGGTCGAACGTCGGCGGCTCGATGATCTCTGCGGGGTACAGGAAAGGGTGAAATGTTTTTTTAACACTTGTGGCTGAAGTTCTGTCACTTGCATCCATGCTATGGAAGCATTAACGAGTGCTAATTTGTTTGGTAAATGACGCGAAATTTAAACAGGGCACCGCAATGTAAATATCACGATTTCGCATACCTACATAGTCCTCGTTGTCTAAAACAAACCAATGCATTGCCATCCCACTCACTTCTGACGAGCAGTTCGGCGGTGCTCTTGGAGGTCCCGGCTGCATTCTTCAGCTGACACGTGTACTTGCCCTCGTCCTGTTCGCCGGCCGACTCGATGGTCAGGGTCACGTGACTGTCGTCAAATGACGTCACGGCACTCGAATCAGCGTCCAGTTCCACGCCGTCCTTGAACCACGTGATCTTTGGGCGCCCTGTGGACCGGTTGGTGATGTTAGGGGAGGAAATCACGTGACCCGGCTATTCTCATCTGCATGGTGTCCCTTTATGTGAAAGCACATACAAATGGCGATGAAGACGTGGGCTATTGGTGTTAACATTCCCTTCCCAGTCTAAGCGCTCGTAATTATTGCAATTAATATACAAATACCACAGTCAGCCACCCGATCCCCTCCCGTCAATATCCCCGTCCTGTACAGGACTGCACCAGTCTCCGCTGTCTTTCTTTCATGATACCCGATGCCGCGCTGACCAATTGTTTTCCGCGGCTGGCCCCCGTCCAGGACTCCAGGACTCCAGTGGTCAGTGCCAACCGCTGCCACCGCCGACCGCCGAGTGAGTATTTACACATAGGAGTGGGGGCTGCCTTCCAGCGCGGGGGTGGGCGTGAGGATATAGATCAGCTAGAAAGACGTAATTGGGCTCCTGTTGTGATGTGTGAAGACGTTTTTGGAAAGCTGAACGATTCGTTTATCTTTGGAGGGATCTGGGAATTGTCATTGGTGTAGCTCGTAGCCAATGATCATAGCAACTCCAGCCCAAACAATACACAAAAAGCTGTTTTCCTAATATTTTTTCCTTGAAACTTAAGACAGTTTCGTTCTTGCTCAGAAATCATGAATAGCTCGTTCGAATAGCACTTTAGTCCATTTTAGTCATGTAAAGGAAGAATGTTTTAGTATCGAATAGAATAACGGCTTTCAGCAGCCAAACTGAAACCGAAGCTGCCGCTAGTCCCAGTAACAGGTTGGTTTTGGCAAAGACTCTGATTGGCCCCGGTATGTGCGCTGGGGGCACTAAATTAGGCAGCGTGGAATGAAGTGGCAGGTTGGCATAACACCTCCAACAAAAGGTTACCACAACAACCATTGGCCGAACGCAACGTTGCGTCATAAAATACATCAATAAAACGGAGCTCTGCCATGGCGACGGTGTCTAAGAACGCCCATGAATACCAAATGAAAGTTGTGTCAGCATAATTTGCAATGCTTGATGACCGTGCTGTCATCGAATGACATCAATTATCATTCAAAACAAACGTCGAATGACACCAATTATCATTCAAAGGCAAATAATATTAAGTTATGTTTGTTGCTGCGAATTCAGAACGAAGGTAGCATATCCGGTAGTTGAGCGGCTCCTCGTGTCCCAAGCACCGAACGAAATCATTTCATAGAGAGTGACGCCGCTTACACTTTCCGGTAAAGAACTTAAATGTGTACCTATACAACAAGTGACCTTTCTTAGGCAACCGTTTAATATGTTGTCATTAGCTTAATATCAATTAGTATTCGTCAAACAATAAATGGCAGCTTCGTGAACATCTTTATCCCTGATCAGGCAAAACAATGTTTAAACACCTTGTTATCAATAGCACACCTGTATAATGCATTTTGTTCTGTAATATTGTCCCGTAAAAGGCACGTTGTTCTGCCGTTTATCGGCAACAAAAAGCTTTACAGATGACGAGTTCTGTACCGCCACATATTGTAAAGAAAACAGACTGCAGTTGCAAGGTAGGTACGAATTGTGAACACTTCTCACTCCACACTCCACATATGTCAATCCTACCGGTCCTATCTCCATCGCCCTCCCATGGATGAGATAGTAGATGAGCGTTATCTCACCCATGGCCCTCCTACTTACCGCCAACCTGTGTGGTACTACTCGTATAATACCCGCCGAGGGTCAACGCTCCTCTCCTAACCTTCATTCACATGCTCACTTCCCGCGCAGTCTCACTCTGTGTCCCCCCGTTTTCCAGGTGTCGCCCACCTACGTTATTTTCTCAGAGTTTCACTCCGTCTCACGTGAGTAAGTACGCTCTCTTGTAAGTCTCATTTCGTCTTACCTGAATACTCTCCTCGGAGCACACTCCGCCACCCACCTGTATGTTTTTTTGTGAGTCTCGCTCCGTCACCCACCTGTATCCTTTTCTGTGAGTCTCACTCCACCACCCACCTGAGTACTGTCCGGTGAGTTTGACGCTCTCTCCCTCGTGCACCACGGTGCCCTGCAGCGGAGTGGTGAAGCGCGGCGGCTGCACGGGCCGCTCGCCGTCCTCCTCCGCCGAGTCCTCCATCCTGTGCCGGCGCGCCTCCTTACTCCTCTCGTGGCTGGACCGCAGCACCTGCCCGACCGAGCCGGCGGCGGCCAGTGAGCCGCCCGCCCGCCGCCGCCGCCCCCGCCCCCGCCCACGAGCCAACACAAACTTCCGTCCCGCCGCCCGCCGCCGCCCGCCGCCGTACGGCGCGGCTGGACGGTTGGGTGGTGGGCCACCCGGGAGCCAGGGTAATCGGCAATGGCTATCGGTGTGGGTATCTAACTGGTCTGGGGTACACGTGAGCTATGATCATCTGGAAGACTAATCGACCAAGGAGATTGTTAAATGAGCCTGATTGAGTCTACCAACAGTCACGAGACCAATAAAATTTCGCCAAGCCGGAATCTCACCGGCTATTGTGAGTTGTCGGATTACAGGCTGAGCAACTGCAGACCAGTGTGTCTCGTTCTGCGCCAAAACCCACACCCAATGGACGACGTGACCACCTGGTCTGCTGATTGGTCTAAGTGCGGGACACTGCAATGCATCAGGCGTGCGACAACAAACAGGGACGGAAGCCGTCCTCTGGTTTTAAACGCGCCAACTGTGTGCTGATTGGGTTGGGCCTGCTGCTTCATGCGTGTGTTTTGCAGGTTTGTTTTGTGCCGGTTCTTTTGAAAGCAGCTGCCAGCACATCTTGGCAGCGTTTCAAATCAAAAGTAGCTCATAATTCAAAGGAAAACCAGCAGAGCGATGCTGCAACATGGGCTTATTCAGTGTATAATAGATCGAGCAGCCATTTTTTATTAAGTGATCCCCAATCAGTTACTAAGCTGGAAGACCACGTTACTTACACTTATTTACCTAACTCATATTTCTCTAGTAAACTCCGCCGCGCCCCTTCTCTCCCAGCCGCCGAACCCACCTGTTTCTTGCGTCCCTCGGCCACTCCGGAGTGAGTCTCCTCCTCGCTGTAGCGCTGCTCGGCGCTGCTCCCTCGGCGCTGGTCCCCGTTAATCACCTGGAAAACCGCAGATGGGTGTACCCAGAGCCGCCGCTGGGCGCCGACCGCCGCCGGCGATGTAACGCCGCGGGGGCGAACCCGATCGCCGCAGTTCGGCTCTAATGAGGCCCTCGGAGACTGGGACGCCTGCCAGGTGGCTACAGGGAGCGGTGCGAGACGTCTACATAGGTGGGTGGGAGCGAGCTACCAGCACGGGGCAAAACACGAGAGACCGTCCGCCGAACAGATGCCCCACTTTGATATACTTGTGAACGTGCTACATGACCTCATGTTGAAGGCAGTTAAGAATAGATGGGAAAGCTTCTTGCGGGAGCTATTTTTCCAATTTGTTGGAGTCGTAGCAGGAAATCAAATTTACCTCTAACCGAGGGCTTAGCAGCCACTCTTGATGTGCCCAATAATACGAGTACGTTATGCTATTTAAACCAACAGTAAAATCCAGCGATGTTCTATAACATGGCGCACATCTGGCCCCAAATATCTGGATCGCGTTAGCTTCCCAGCGGCTGCCAAACACCAGGCCAAGATCAATGAAACCTGCGCCCGGATAAAGGTCGTTCGGCTGGCACACAAATTGGTATCAACCGCTCGCCCCGAGTTGAGTTTCATGCAGTGCCAATTATCTGAAAATACGAGCAGGTGGCTTTCGCATATTGGACTTAAAATAACACGGCAGCATGACTTTTTTACATCCCCGCACAATCATTACACCGTAAGTATGCTAACCTCAGTTTCTTCTCTTGTTTCCACATAAGTAGTTTTCTTTGTTGATTTTCGAGACTTCCGTCCGGTAGAGCCGTTGGAGAAGTCTGTGAAAAAAAAACGGCAAAACGTAGTTGTATGAAAACAAATATGGTTTGGAGTGATTTTATTTAAATATAAAAAAGCGTGAAACAGAAAAACTAAGCGTTTTGAACTATTCACTGCATTTCCTCCGTCACGGCGTTCCCTTCGTTAGGCTGCGGGCTGTATTGCGGCGCAGCATAACCCCTGTCGGCAGCTGTGCCGCACAGCACTGCTGTACTGCGGCACAGTCTACCTCCCGGCTCCCGCGGCGGCGGCAGCCCGGAGTTTCCCTTACCTGCTCCGGAAAGATGGGCGGCACACGTAGCCTTTCCTATGTCATTTTCGGCCACACACTTGATCTGGCCGCAGGGCACGTGATCGCCGCACGCGATGCGCAGCACGTGTAGCTGTCCGTCCGATGAGGTGTTGAAACCGGCCGGCAGGGGGCCGTCGTCTAGTAGCCACTCAACCTGTAACGCGGCGAGGAAAGAGGCGCGCTGTGAGATCGGTTGATGACGGGTGGGGAGGTGCAAAGTGGTGTGATGAATCTGGTGATGTGTGAGCATCAGTGGGTGAGATTGATGGATTGTGTACGGCTGCGCAGGGAAAGGGATGGGGAGGATTTCGTACCTATACGGCCACTGCGGGTGAGGCGGCCGAGATAAGAGGACATGCAAGTGGCAGCATCTAGCCCCTAAAAATGTCAAACATTTATTTTTCAGATAAGATCTAGGTCTAAGATAAGTACGGTTACTGAGAACCAGACTTATTCTCATCACCCTTTTTATCAAAAGCGAACGCAAAAATCTCTTTTTTATGATGCATTGTTGGTAGAAGAGCAACCTTTTTTATATTGCGTTCCTATTTGCTAGTTTGAATTCCTAAAGGCGTCTGTTTCCATATGGCTGAATATAATCAATCATTGTTTCAGGTAGGCAGAATCCCATCCATAGTCAACCGTCAAAATGGGCTGCCAGGATGAACAACGTCTTTCACTCACTCGTGAAACTCACACGGCTCCCCTATACCCACCGGACCTGTGACCTTCCCGGAATCCGCCGGGGCGCGGGTCGGACGCACCCTCTGACCATTCGCCTCTAAATCCGCGGCGAAAACGAGGCGGGAGGCGCTTGGAACGGCCGTTTCGGCACCGGTTTACCGCCCTCCGACCGCGGATCGGTGGCGCCGAAAATTGGCCGCGCCCGGGCACATTCCTGGCAGCCCGCGCTGGACGGCGGACCCGCCCGACCACGGCCAGCAGTGGCCTCCGTGGGGTGTGGGAGACCACCTGTTCACGTCCTCAGGGCGCGTCCCACGGGTCGTGGCTGAGGTGGCTAAGGCAGACCGGTGCGGGTTCGCGGTGGGTGACACCCCTCCCCTCCCAATCAAGGAGCGCTGCGATATCTATTCACTTTATTTCAGGGTGGTTGTACTTCGTCCCGTCATCCGAAATGGAGGCATTGGCTAGCGGCATTAGAAAAATATCGCTCATGTCCGATTTTCCCAGCAAAAGAGAAATATAACTGCGCTCTCAATAAAAATCCGTAAACCTTGTCAGTGTCCGCGTCATAATAAATTCTTTGATATCTGCTTCAGCCTTTGAATAAAAAACTTCACTCTCCTATAGAATCTCACTCTTTTCACTCCCACTCTCTTCTCTGTGGTTTAGCCAGCGAGGACCGGGCGCCCGACTGGCGGGTGTTACTGTTTGGCCCGCGGCCCACAGTTTACCCGAGGGAACAGGTGGGTGGAGCAGGCCACCGGACCACCCCCTGAGCCGGGCGCTGACACGGGGACGTCCCCTCGACCTCGGGTCACTCTGGTGTCTTCACTCGGAGTGAGAGGTCACCGACAGTTCGACAGACAAACGGAGGGGCGGGGAGGTGTTTATTTTGTGTTTAGTCTAATGGCATACATAGCGTGCGCTGCCAAAAGAACGTCAGATGAATGCACCATCATGTAAAAATACGCTACCAACTAATTGTACTATATTTCGTAATGACATTTTAGCTGTCCATAATTATTCCTGATGCACATTGGTTACACCTTATCTCATTTATTTGCATTAAAACTGCCAACGTTATCAGTTATCACGTCTTGCATCCTGACGCAAACATAATTTCTAAACAACAACGAGACGAGGAGTGGTGCCTCATAGCGTGAAATTGTGAACAGAATAATAATGAAATAGGATACTGAGTCACTAAAAAGGTCATTAATTTTGGGGCTGAGCATCAAGCAACTGTGTGTCTTGGAGGACTGTGGGCATCAACACCCTGTAGCTATCTTAGCGGACAGAGATGTATTTTGCTACTTTGAATAATGTTCAGATCAGGCCAAGCGCAACATATTTAGATGTTTGGATGCATATTGTTTGACGATAGCATTTCAGTGATGTGGGTAGCCAATGATCCTCACGAATAGTGGCTCCTAACGGTTTAATGGCGTACGTAATTACTCGTAATTACTTCATCTGCGAGCAAATATTTCATTTAAATTATTTTACTCTTCATCGATAAAATGAACGCAAAACTTTGTAAACGATTAGTACTCAGCTGTCTTCGGGCATGTGTTTAATTAGTTTAATTAATTGATTCTGTTTTGAACGGGTTTTTGCCATCTTCAACACTATGCATAATGGCACCCACTGCAGCACTTGGAATTTGAAATACCTAACTGCCTAATTTAACTCCAGCCATTTAGGTACGAGTATGTTTGGGGTCTGGGACTACGACCTTTGTAACGACTATCCATGGGCACACTTCCTCTACTTTCAAATCTATTTCCTTCTTACAAGAGTGTTGTAAGATATTTAAATCCGCTGATTCGTAATAACTTATATTTAAAGTAAATTTGTAAAAAGATGCTGAAAAGCAAGAGGCGAAACAAAATCACTCAACTCCTCTGCCTATTAACCAAAATAATGCGGCGGCGTTTGCAACTTGAAAGCAGCAGTAAATTGTAATGGATTTACACGATGCAGTAGAATACTTCACCATGTACGCCAGAGAAGCAGCTATAATTTCACCTAAAAGATAGCTTCCGCCGTCCAAACTATCAAAAGATTTTTTTACCAAGTTATTTCAGACCTTATTATATTGTATAATGTATATTGCAACAGCTACCTGAGCAAAAGCGAAAACTCATGAAAAATGTCGGCAAAATGTTCGGCGAGATTCACTAGCATAGCATCACCTCTAAATTGGGGCTAAAGCAACCACCTTCAAAGCACGATTCACCCAATCCACGAAACAAACACATCCGCATGGCCAAACAGACGTCACGCGCCCCAATCACCGCTAAAAGCACTGCCTACCGTGCTGTGTCAGCCGGATCGTTTCGCTCCAACCGCAGAGTGAGTGAGAGTCCCTCCAGGCAGCTAATAGCGGCGCTCTTGGCCCGAGCGTTAGGGGTCGCTCCCTCCCCCCCACACACACCAAGAGGGCGTGGGAGGGGCGGAGTGGGGAGGTCTCACCGACAGAGTGGGCTCCTGGAGTCGGTGGCCAAAAACATTGGCACGGGATGGCGTCGGGACGCTTCTCCACCCTCGCCCACCACAGTCACCGACGGAGACTGTGTTGTGTCACCACCCAGCGGTTCAACATCGGAGGAGGGGAGGGGAGGGACGGTGCAACACCCCAGGTGCCGACAGCTGGTGTACTTCGACTCGACCTGACAGCTACCCAGGCTAATTGGCGGCGTGCTTCGGGGAGGGTGCTCTAGTGGTGACAGATGGGTTGGTCGCACACGGGAGATCGAATCTGCGGTCTACGTCTGAATGTTTGTGTAGGAATGGGGTGGAGTGAAATGTGGAGCAGGATATTATGACAAACTGGACGTTTATAGGCTTTGGTGGTTCATCTTTCGAGTGCTGAATGATTTGAAAATTGGAAGTAAGGAATAAAGAAGTACACAATGCATGTTTGTGTGCATCGATGTTGACAGCAAAATCATGTCATCTTAGAATCACGAACATTTTGACTCGTAATATCGTTGACGGAAATGAAGCAAGCTAAACCCAACTCGTGCACAACATTAACGTCCGAACACCCATACCCCAAACCCCTCAACATGCACCCAGCTGTGGCTTCCCCAAGCGTGACCTACCGTGGGCTTCGGCCAGCCGTTGATGATGCACTCAAAGAGCACCTCGTCTCCTGGTTCGGCCTCCTGATCGACAAAAATCTGCACAAACGACGGCGGCAGACGGCGGCGGAGCGAGCCCCTCCTCCCGGGAGTCTGCTGCTTTTGCTGCTGCTGGGGCTCCGTCTCCTGCTGTTTCTCCTGTCTTGTCTCCTGGTACGTTTCCTGGTGTATCTCATGCTGCATCTCCTGCCGCGGCTGGGACTCCTCCCGGCGTTTTTGTTTCTGTTTGGGTTCGCCCGGCTTGACGACCACCCGGCTCAGGCAGCGTGCTTCTCCAGCAGCGTTTGAAGCCAGGCAGAGGTAGGTACCGGCGTGCTGGGGCAGCAGACTGGCGATCTCCAGTCGGCACACTCCCCCGGTCCGTGTGATCTGCAGGGGAGGCGCCCACGGGCGGCGGTGAGCCGTGCACCCGTGGTGGGGAGGCGAGGGGTGCCAGCAATGCGTAAGGTGAACAGTTCAGGCGTGCGAGGGTGCGAATCGTACCTAAGTTCAGGCTTAAAGAGGCGTGACCCAGCACCGGGACGTAATGACTAATTTGCTACGGGATAATCAATGTCGCATTCTAAACCGCGGGGAACAATGCAATAAACTAAGGCGCTGGATGTCATAGTGATCCCACGAGTGTTTGACATTGTAGTGCAAACGCACGACTGAAGTGCAGTGTAACCGCAGGCCACAAGACACAGAGACCAAACGATACCAGTGCTCACTTTGCTCATCTCCAAAATCTGCATGCGAACCAGTTTGCATTTGAATGCATTCGTTGCTCTAAGATTGACTTTATTGTCTCGAGCTGCCCAAACAACTATACCTTCACGCTCTCGGACGGCTTCAGTTCACTGCCGTCTTTGAGCCAGATGACCAGTGGTTCGGACTCATCAGCCACCTCAGCTTCCAGCACCAGTGGCTGGCCCTCCGTGGCGTTAATGTTGCTGAAACTCCTCACGAACTTGGGCTTCACGGGCGGCTCCTCGTCGGCGTCTTCAGCTGCGCAGAGAAAGTGGAATAGTGCGGTCATTGCTTTATTGGGACCAGTGAAGTCAGAACAAAGTAAGCCACACAAATGACTCGATCTTTTCAGCATATCCTCTCATGTCTGAACACCTCCATCCCATCTCCTTTCCTCCCTTCTCTTCCCACCTCTGTTCCCCTTGCTCCCAACTCACGCGCCACATCCAGCCGCGCCTCGGACGTGGCCTCTCCGGCAGAGTTGATGGCCACCACCGTGTAGGTGCCGGCGTCCTCGGGACGGACGCTGTTGATCACCAGCGTGCACCGGTCGCCGTGAAACAGCAGCTGGGAGTTCTTGGACTCCTTCACCGGCTGGTCGTTGTGGTACCAGATCACCTGGTTGTAGAACGGAGAAGGGTTAGGATATATGAACATTGACAAACTTAGTAGAATGATTTTGAAAATTGGGTGACTTTCCTGCCAAAAACGATATGGATATTACCTCAGCATCGACGTAGCATCGCAAAATAAATGAATAATTGAGCATCGATGAAAATAAAAAAGACTGAAACCTTTTGTGGGTCTTGTGTGAACCGCTAGCAATCATCGTAATTAACCGCGTGTGACCCCCTGACCTCTATGTGACCCGACTGACCTCTGGCTCCGGCTGACCAGTGATGACACAGTCGAGCTGAGCCTGCCGCCCGGCCGGGACCGTCATGTTCTTCAGCTGCACGGGGATGCTCGGCTTCACCGGCTCCAGGTCACTGGCCATCTCAGAGTCCGAGGTCTCCGTCGGCAGACGGCCCTGGATGGAACAGGGGAGGGAGAGGTGGCGGCGTTTGAAATTGTTACGTTGTTGTTTTTACGCACGATAGAAAAAGAACGGTTGCAACGTTATCTGCGGAAAATGAAAAATATTATGAACTTTTATTTTTCCGAAGTGCACCTCAGTTTTAGAAAGCAATACTCGTAATTTATCAAGATAAGATCGGTAGCTTATTGGTGCGAAACTTCAATCACCAATGGAGGCCAACCGACCGCGTCTGTGGCTTGTCACACCTGTCCGTGCTTCTATCCTCAGGATACTGAAATCCTTCTCCTCCACGCCACAACCCCCTTCCGGGCTGGGCAGGCAACTTTATCTCATGCGGGCTGCTCCCTTGGAGCGGCACCGCTGCTCCCGAGGGAGCGCACCCCGTAGCCGGGTGCAGTGAGTGCCTTGGGGCTGGGTGGCCTGTCTTCTGGACGGGCTCAGCCCCGGCGACTCACTAGGGTGCCTGCCCAGACCAATGTCTCCCCCTAATTCCTATCATCCTTCCGGCTCTGCAATGGTCTTGTCGACCGAAAGGGCCTAACCCAACAAAACAAACAAGTGGCTTGTCTTCAAGCAGTTTACTCACTAAACCGCTGGATAGCATCCAAGGAGCGGTTTTCCTTCATCACACCAGAATGCGTCTCTCCCGCCCGGGACCGACAACAGCAGAGACCCCTCCCCCCTTAACTTGCGGCCTTTCCGTCATCGCCCGCGGGCCGCTGGCACTGCGCCCCTCCCCTCCCCCAGAGGAGGTGCCGAGTCTCTGACCTTGACTGAGACGTTACAGGAGCAGGTGGCCTGGCCGGCGGCGTTGTTGGCCACGATGGTGTACGTTCCAGCGTCCTTGGGGAAGGGCTCGGCGATGGTAAGCGTGGCCCGACGACCGTCGAAAGTGAGCTGTGGGAAGAGAGGGTAGGTCAGATGGGCATGTCGCCATTCTGCGGAGGCCGCCTCGGGTAGGTCAGCTGGGGAAGAGAGTTTGCCACTCTGCGATCAGCGGAGAGGGGGGGGGGTGAGACAGAGGGTGGAGATTACGGAGATGTCAGCGCCGTTCGGCTCATTAGCGGTTTGATACAATGTGACAGCCGGTGAGGGTGGGCGATGGAATCACGATCAAAGACGGGCGCCGCTCAACGGATGGTGACACTGATTGGACGCTACCTGTCAGATCGCGGAACGGCTGGTGGGGCGATTGGTTGAACATCTAACGGCCGAGCTTTGATGGTGAAGAGCAGTAACAAATATAACCAAATAGTCAAATTATTTGTTTTTTTTTCAGCCAGATTTTCCGAATTATTTTGGTGCTATTTGGCCTATGAGGCTTCACGTCGGCCGATGCATTTGGCGCGTTACAATCGATGGGGCGATTATTCTGTATGCCGTTCACCGCGTCATTCCATTGATACTAGTGGGGCTCGTTTTACCACACTCAGTCAAATTACAGTCACCATCTTTCTTCCCCCGTAGTCGCACCGCCCCTGACCTTGCCGAATGTCAATGTCACTGCCACCGCTCCTCTTGTGTATTCGGACCCAAACACGCCCTGCCGCCGGCTGGGAACCCTTTCCTAAATATACACCCTGCCTTATGACGTCATCGGGCCGACTGGCTCTGACGTCATAGGTCCGACTGCTCTGAATGTTCCGGAAAAGTCTCCACTGTTAACGGGTAGGCGGTGTTTGGGTGCCGTATTTGAAAACTTGTAACCCGCGTCCTGTTTGGTGTTTGGTTGAATCGGGACGGTTTGATGTGTGGTAGACTGAAAAATAACCCTCGACAAATATTGCCCTGGATCGGATCAGGATCAGCAATCTCATCCGTTGAGCGCCGAAAAGGGCCACAGGTGATTGGCTACGGCATACGGTTGAAGGAAACACGTCAGGAAGGTTTTACGTCACCCATCCACCCAAACATTAAATGATGCAATCCCAAAGCAGAAAACAAATAACCATGACCGAAGGACGTGGGCTACAACACACTACTGACACTCTTCCATCTTCGCTCCATCACTGTTTTCGTCGTGTTCCTCACCTTGGCATCGACGTTGTCCCTGACCGGTTTGTTGTTGTGCAGCCAGGTGAGCTCGGGGTGCGGCAGCGCGCGGACGGCGCACTCCAGACGCAGTTTCTGACCGGTCCGGGCCATCACGTTACTCAGCGGTGTGGTGAACCGGGGAGCCTCCGAGGGCGTCCGCGCTGTGGGGAGGGGGAGGAGGATTGAAACGGGGCAGCCTTTGTTCTTTTCTCATAATGAGTCATCTACACTGGTGGAGCCGTTGTATTATGTTTCATGTTGTTTATTTCGGAACTGGTTATTGCATTGCCCTGGAACTGGATGTGATTCATCATGGATGTCATCGGGTTATCATGCCCGTTTATAACGAATATTTGGAAAGTCGATACAGGGGAGACAAGTTCTCCATCTCCATCTCTATCCCTATAGCTGCCTTTACCACCACCGTCCATCTCAAGACCGAGACTCACGTTCGACTTTGACCATCGCGCTGGTCTGGTCGGCTCCCAGCATGTTGGACGCCCTGCAGACGAACTGGCCGCCGTCCTGCGGCAGGGCCTCCTCGATCCGCAGCTCGCAGCCGCCGTTGTTGTACGTGATGACGTAGTCTGGCGAGGCGTCCACGCAGGTGCCGTCCCTGAGCCAGGTCACCACGGGCAGAGGGTTTCCGGTGACGGTGGCCGCCAGCAGCAGGGGGCGACCCTCGCGAACACGGCAGTCGGTCAGCTGCCGCGTGAAGATCGGAGGCGCCAGCTCCTCCTCAGAGGCCGCGTCTGTGGGAGACGAGGGACAGTCAGAGGTGGTGGTGCTGCGGCGGGGACTATGGAAGAACAGGGTCGGGTCGGGGTAGAAAGGGGAAGACACGAATCAACCGGCCGTCACTGGTCGTCTCTTTAGCTTTACGCTAACTTCATAAATTCACTCATTTTCATCTTACTCCGATAGAATAACCATTCCTTCAATGCTGCTCCGATTGCCATACGATCACCTACCTAGCCTCTGACATCGCATGCATCTGATACCTTTGATCTACCGCCTCCACCTCTGATACGTCTGATCTACCATTTCTTTCCTCTGATCTACCACCTCTACTCTCCGATTTACGCCCACCTCTACCCTCCGATTTATGTTCACCTCTAACGGTGAGCCGACAGGAGCTCTGCGTCACGCCGGCGCTGTTCCAGGCGCGGCAGGTGAAGGTGCCCGTGTCGTCCACCATCGTCTCCTCAATGGTCAGCGTGCACAGGCCGTGCTCGTGCGCGATCACGTAGTCGGGATTCGAGTCGCACGACACGCCGTCCTTCTGCCAGTTCACCTTGGGCGCCGGCACGCCAGAGACTCTATGAAACGAGCGAGGTTAGCTTTTCAGCAAGCAAGGGCGTGTCCATTATACGAAGCAAGAGGTCTCTAGGAATTATGATGTGTCCGTTTTTACAAGAGCTACAAGCATAAAAAACTGGTGATATCCCAACGATCATGACTGCACATAATCCAACTTTCACCAACTACCAATCCCTGTCTAAAACCCACAGTCCACAGCTCCCAGCTCCTTGCAGTTCGTTACTACAAACCAGACCTGTATCTTCCCAGCCCCTAGGCATCCCCCGTCCCCACCTGGCCTGCAGTGTATGCCGCACTCCGTCCTGGACCGTGTGGTCTCTGAGCGGCTCGGTAAAAGTCGGCGGCGCCGGTGGCGGCTCGTCGCGCTTCGGTCGCTTCGGTGGCGACACCTGCTGTCCGCTGGGAGGGGAGGCCCGGATGACCTGCTCCTCCCAGGGAGCTGACTCCTGAGTGCTGGCGTCAGACGTGGAGCGCGGCTCCTCCTGGGTCGAGCGGTCCACAGTCACCTGCACGGGAGAAGAGCAGAGATATTTAGTAGATGCGTCGCTGGATGGATGGCATTATCAAGGGACTTTTATTGGGTACCATTTGAGCTTGAATAATATATTACGATAAAATATTGATGGGCGTTGAATCATAAAAGCAAAGAACAAACTTTAATGGAAAAGTCGGGAGCAAACCCAAAAAAGCGACAATAACTGCAAGTGATCAACAGGCAGAAGCCACGCCATCTCTGCTGAATCTGTAGGTATGATAATCGGGTCTTCTGACCTTTGTAATCTCGGTGACTGTCTCCGTGCAGACATCCACCTTGGGTACGACCAGCGGGGTCATGGGACGCGGCATGTCCTCCAGAGCCCGAGCGGCCACCTCGGCAGCTCGGCGGGCCTCATCCGCCGCTGCAGTGGCCGAGCGAGCTACCTCCGCTTCCTGGATCAGACGTAGAGGACAGCGTGATCAGTGGGACATTCAGTCACAGACTTTGTAGAGATTCAGTTATACGAGTTTGTACATTTCACCATATAATACGTTGTCACCTTTTAATCTAGTTCACAATCCCCACCCTCAACCCTGGTTATCAAATTATACGACGCTCTGCGCCCTCTGACCTGTTTGGCAGCCTCTCTCCCCTCTGACCTCCCTCGACCCTCCCTCTGACCTGTTGGGCTGTCTCTCCCCCTCTGACATGTAGCGCGACCTCTCCCCCCTCTGACATGTAGCGCGACCTCTCTCCCCCTCTGACATGTAGCGCGACCTCTTTCCCCCCTGACCTGTTTGGCGGCCTCCCTCTCGGCGCTAAGCTCGTCCTTCTCTCGCCGGAGCGAGTCGTGCTCTCGCTGCAGCTGCTCCAGCGACCCGCCCAGTGTGGTCAGGTGGGTACGGATGGCCTCGAACGACTCTACCATCTCCTGACTGTCCTGGGTGACGGACGCCAGCCGGCGGGGCGGCGACGCGCCTAAACGGACGAGGACAGTGACAGCGTTATTAACGGCAGAGGGACAGTCAGGGTGGCCGAGGGACAGTCAAGACAATCAGCAGCTTTCTTGCTCCCTGTTACTGAAGTGTTGAGAGCAGGACATTCTAAGAGGTATTATGCTGTAACAGTAATCACGGCCCTGATGAACATGAACCATGACCCGGGGCTGGTCCATAATTTCTGCTTTATGACAGCCTTGACCCCCCCCCCCGCCTTGTAACTCACCGTAGAGCTGGTGAGCCAGTCCTCCGGCCGTCTCCAGCCTCTCGGCCTGCTGCTGTGCCCCCGGCGTCAGGAACTGGCCGATGTCGGTCCGCAGCTGGTGGGCTTCCTCAGGGCGTCGGACGCACGACACCTGCCGGGCCACGTCGACCAGAAGACGGCCGCCCGACTTGTACCAGTCCTCCGCCTGAATAACAGCGGGTAATGGGGCGATGTAGGTGGGTGGTAGGCTCAAAATGGACACGGTTCTAGGTGAATATATTAACAAGTCCTTGATTGCATTCAAAAGCAGATTCCGATAAAAGTGAACTACGTTAAAAGTAAACAATTTATCTGGGGTGAAGCTGTTTCATCAATATATTCACGATTTTATTCGCGCCGAACACAAATACCGAAATAATAGTTTTTCATCTTGTCAGTCTCCCGCGAACCCACCTCCTCCAGTAGGGTGAAGTACTGGATGGCCAGGTCGGTGAGGTGTTTGTTTTCGGCCACCTGTCGCTGGAAGGCCGTCCAGCGGTCCTGGAGGGCCTCCAGCTGCGACAGCGCCTGCTCCCGCTCACCAGTGGGGCCACCCAGGTACTCGTGCGCCGTGCTGACAAAGTTCTCTATCTGACGACCCGTGCCCTGAGTGGACGGGGAGGAGGTCAGATTAAATGTGAGACGTCGTCGGGATAACACATACCTCACATGAGATGTCATGACGTAAGCAGATACTTTATTGAAACGAAATGAAAAAGTAAGAAGGATCAAATACTGCAAAAGAAATAAAGCACTCCAGAGGTTCTTGGCACCCAACTTGAGCGCAATAACCTTGGAATGGAATGGAATAAAAGGGTTCCTTTATCTTGCTTGTCTCGCAACCATAAATGAAATTGTAAATCAACAACATACAGATAATTGTATTATCAACCCATTTAAGCGTCTTAATGTCATGAGCTCGTCCCCAAACCAGCCGTCAGTAGGTATCTCGCATCCCGCACCTCGATGGTCTCCTCGAAGGTGTTGAAGGCCTGTTTGGTCTGCGTGGCCTCATGCAGGCTCTCGCCGTAGTGTCCGCGGGCCCTGGCCAGCTGGTCGCTCAGATCTGTCAGCTGGCTGTTGATGGTGCTCAGCTCGGCGTCAAACACTGCTGAGGTCACCTGACGCTCCAGCAGCTCCTTCCGCGTCGTCTGCGCCGACTCCCACTTGGTCTGGGGGGGGGGGGGGGAGGTGTTGGTCAGTCGCGGTAGTTAGGTGTAGTGGTCAGATGGAGGTTTGCTGAAGGATGGAACATGGTATTGAAGAGGAGAGGACAGATGGATGCATGTAGCAGTGCTATGATCAGCACTGATGTAAAAATGCAACAACAAAGTACGTTACTCATCTGTTTGTCGGTGACATAACGGATTACGGAATAAAAGAGATCGTGTCACAGAGCAAACGTGCTGTTAATTTATAGCAAACCGCCTTTCATGGCCAAGGTAACAAAACATCTCAAATGGGTGTAAATGAAACACAAATTAAAAAGTGTGGTCTTTTCACTGACGCTGATTTTTAACGACACCATCACGAAAAAGTATAAGTCTAAAGCCATAAAATATTGGCATGCAATGCAACAAACACCATAGCAATATCAACACTGCACAGTCACGGCACTCCATGCACCTGTTGAAAAGAGAGAAAAAAAAAATGAATGGAAAACGATATCGCTCTCACATTGTTAGTGTCACACTCAGCAACGAAAAAGACGGACCAGACAAGCTCAACAGCGACAAAACCACGCAAAATACAACAGCGCCGCCAAATGCTCTCCGGCTCTGAACATCGCCCGTCCTCCAGGGCGAGCACCTCAGCGGTCGCCGTCACTACCTGGTCCCTATCTAGCACGGGTCGCGAGCGGGGCTTCTGGCGCGGGAAGTAGTAGACCAGCACGTGGGTACCGGCGGCCACGCGGCGCCGCTGCTCCGTCGAGGGCGTGTCCGTGTTGGTCTTGGAGCTGGTCGCCTCTCTGGCGCTGTTCTATAGGGATAGCGGCGGACGTTGGAGGGGAGCGTCCAAAGGAGAAATGTTGTGGTTCGTTTCCACGTTTGAGAAAACAGGTACTGGCCAGATGTTATTAACCACCACCAAAAGCAAGTGCTTCCTTTCTACCTATCGAGGTATATGACACAGGGCGAGTTCGCTGAGGATACCTTCTACACCATCTTACTTAAAAGCAGCAAAACACGATAAGACAAATACCTGCACCAGTGCACCATCCAATTACGTTTCTTAGATATGCATATTTTGACACAGTTCCGCAGCTGCCGCCGCGCCCCTGACCCGGCCACGTACCGACTCTTTGTCGAGTGCCTCCCTCAGCTGACTGATGTCGTGGTCAGCCGCAGACGGAGGTTCCACCTGTCTGAGACGCTCCGCCACACACTCGAGCTCCTCGCCGGCCAGTCTGGGGGCAGAGGTTGCCAGGGGTCACACGGGGGTCACCAGAGGTCACCGGGGTCAGAGGTCACCGGGGGTCATATAGGGGTAATCAAAGCTCATTCAGGTCACCGAGCTAAATTTGTTGACAAATGACACATGACTTGTAAGCCGATTAGCAGTTTAAATATTGAACGTTAAACCATTCTGTCGCTTGCCTTTTTCAACACTTTTTGGGGTCTTTTTATGCTAGTATCATTAACGGCGGCACTATATTGCTCCATTGGCGGCTGCTGGAATACCTGAAGAGCTCGTTGAAGGCGTTCTGCGTGGTCTCAAGGTCCTTCAGCGCCTGCTGGCACTCCTCTGTCTCTTTGGGTAGAGGACGGGAGGAATCCAGGTGCTTCCTCTTCTGAACGCTCGATTCCACCTGTCACACCAAAACAAGTTTAGCAGAACAAATTATGGTTCGAACTCCGAACGAAATGGCAACAGCGCAAAAAAAAAATCATATAGACCGCATTGCCTACTTTGAAATTAGTACGCAGAAGTTCTTCAAGTCGGCTCAAGGTTAAAAAGACTAAGACCTCGCATACCTAATGTCACTTGTTGGATCAAATGTAATTAAACAGAGCCGTAATCGTTAACTAAACAGAGGGCTACGATTACGGCTCCGTAATCGTAATAAAGTTCACTTCAGCACATACGTCTTTCAGTTTCCTGAGGTAGGAGACTATCATCTGCAGAAGGTTCTGGTAGTCCGTCACACACTTTGTGAGGTGGTTCTTCCTGGTGTTGAGCTCCCGAGACAGTCGCTCGGCAGATCTCGATGTTTCGCCGGCTCCTAAAGCGTGTAAATGGAACAAAGCGAAATGTAACAAATTAATCGGATCATTTCCTAGCATCATTAACTAGGTATTGTTCATTAGGAAATGCTGCATCTTAAAAATGCTACTTTATACATTTACAAGTTACAGCAATGCTTTACGCACTAGCAATGTTAATCATCATGATCTCAGCGGACGTAAAACGATAAAATAACACGCTCGTAAGACCCTCTCGACTGCCAGCTGACCTGGGTTCCGTACCTTTTTCGCAGACCTTCTGCGCCGTCTGTTCCATCTGCTGCACGTCTGCCTGGGCCTGCCGCAGCAGGGGCAGCACCCGGTCCATCCTGTCCTCACACTGCCTCTGGCGCTGGTCCAGAGACAGGCCCGTCTCGCGCAGGATCGGGTACAGCTGTGACTCCAGGTAAGTCACCGACTCCTCCACCTGGGGAGGGGGAGTAAGGCGTCAGAGTGCATACATAATCCAGTCAGTTCAGATACTCGCGCAAACACTCTACACATGGCAGAGCCCTTTGAAACGCGAGAAGCGGAGGCGACAAACATGTGAAAGAGATCATGAAGAGATTCCTCAGAAATGATAAGCTGTGGTCTGACCAGATTGTTTGCATTGAAGACTGTTAAAAAGACCATAAAAAATCGTACACACTTCTGCATATGCCTGCTTCAGGTTTCATTACCACTAGCTGCGAAACCTTACACTAAGTAGATAAAAAATACTTCAGCTAACTACTTGACCATACTTTGGAGTTCGGAGACGAGTCGCACCCACCTTCCTGGCGTCTCGCTGCACCCGCTCCCACTGTCTCTTACTACCAGTCTCCCTTTCTCTGACTGACTGTATATGTCTCCGTCTCCCTACTCTCACTGCCACTGACCCAAGTCCTACCCACCTTCCTGGCGTCTCGCTGCACCCGCTCCCACTGTCTCTGCACCCGTTTGATGGTGGTGGTGGTCAGCTGAACACGCTCGTAGTTCTCCGTGATCGTCAGATGACCCGCCCGCAGCTGCTCCACGATAGCCTCCACGCACGAGCGCGCCGCCGCCACGTCCAGGTACGGATCGCGCACCTGTGCAGAGAGTACGATCGTGGCGGTGGAACGGAACTTTCATTCAATTGAAATAATTAAACTTCGTAAGGCATATCTTTTTTGGGGTTAATATAGTGTTTACCGTATTGATTGTCATAATCACAAAAACCACGACGGTGAAAAATGCTTCAATCTTATAGGAAGATCGCTCAAATCACAAGATATTTCGCCAAATATCACTTTAATGCTACCAAAATGCATGTACTGCAACTCTAACATCCCGCCTACGTTGAACTTACCTGATAGGACCTGTCGATGAACCTCTGTCCGACGGCGGCCAGCTGGTGGTACTGCTGCTGCATGTTCATCCACTGGTCCTCCAGCTTCCTCAGCTGCTCGTCACTCAGAGAGCCGCCCGACAGGGTCGAGTTGAGCTGCGCCACAGAGTTCCGAAGCGGCTCCGTCTGCTGGTGGAACCGCTGGTACACCCTAGACAGGTCCAGGCGGCTGTCTGTGGGCGGAGGGGAGAGCTTGTTACAGCAGTGGGGGGAGGGTCGGCCGTCAGTGGCGGCAATCCCGGCAAAGGTCAGATGAAGCCGGGTTGTGCGGATTGGCCGTCCGCGAAGGACGTAAAATGTTCTTTTTGTTTCACTTTCAAAGAGTCGCAAAGAGACGTTAGCGCAACTCGGCTGTCGTATAAAAATATGTAACCATGGAAGATACATGACCTAACACAACGCGGAAAGACCAATGCGGTCAGCACAGATGACCTTTGACAGTTACGCCATACAAATTACGACAGTAAAGATTCCTACAATGGAATGTAAATCGGAATACTTTACTTCCTCATGCTCAATGCGGACGTAGCAATTGCCCAAATCAATTCAAACAATGTAGGCATTGTCTAATGACGGATGCACGCATTGCATTGATAGAACTGCAATGTCGTCAAACATTATATTGCGCTATAGAAAGACCGAGCACCCTGTGTGCTGTGCAGCTGTTCGGAATACTGATGGCCAATCTCAGGAGTCCGCATAGACTAAACTGGTCAGAAGATACGTGCACGTAATGTGTCCACCAGCCGGTTGATATATTACTTGCAAATAGAGAAGGAGATAGTGTGCCTCTCCTGGCTGATTGTTTTGGGGATGAGTGATGACGTAGACCTAAAGCCCATTGCACACGATTGTGCAGTATTCGTCACGAGAAACATGACAGTTCTAAGCAAACACCCGATTAATATGCGCATATTTACACCGTGCCGGGCAGCCCATGTCCATTCCAGTGGGCAAGTGAGACAACTACAACACTTGGGCAATGCAAAACAGGGGTCACGGCGCTTCGTATAAGTTGATAGCATGGCGCAATTGGACTCTCAGAGGAACCGTTACTCATGACTGATTTCAGATGATGCTCATGACTGATTAAATGCTCAACGTTTCTAAACCTTTCCGCCCATTAGCAGCCATCAGAAATAATGCGATTTAAATGGAACCGCTCTTAATTTTGGCATTCATTGACATATTTCGTTTGGCTCGCTATCACCGGCCGCTGGCTCACGTACCGATGACCTGCTGCAGGGCGGTCCACTGAGACCGCAGGTCGGCCGTCTTCTCTTCCAGCTCTCTGGCCTGGCCCCGGTCCATGTGTCGCACCACGTCGGCCACGCCGAACAGCAGACTGTCGATCTCCTCACCCTTAGACTGAGGGAGCGAGCATGAACAGACGGTCACTCGCTGCTGACAGAGGTCATTCCACGTACAATTTCTTATCCACCAAACACAAGGCATACACGATGATATATCCGGTGGTACTGCTAAAACCATCCTCCATCACCCGCGCCATGATGTTTTCGCCCGTCCTCTGCGTTCCTCATCTCCCTGGGAGGCCCCAGGTCACTCACCATCACATCGCGCTGCATCTGCTCGTGTACGGTGACAAACTGGTTCACCTGACCCAGCGAGGTGCCCAGCTCATAGTGACTGCGCAGGAACGAGTCAGCCGTGTTCGAGAGCCACCCGTACAGCTGCAACACAGACGTAAGCTACAGGAAACGGTGGAAGGACGGATATGGCATCGAACGGTACACATGGATGAGTACACATGAAACCGAAAACCTGATGCATGGCACGCAGAAATAGTTGCAGTGTCTACTTTTACGCGTCAAACGAACTTTATGACCACGAAAAAGGAATCACGGTTAGGAAACAATGCGTACGGTCCCTTCCGCAAGGACCAGCCTGACAACATTCGCGTTTTTGCTGCGCTATTTCCGACTCGCTCCCCTCACCAGAACCTCATGCAAGTTCAGCTCATCCATCATATTACACTCAGCGCCGCACGGCCCACAGAGCGGAGCCGACAGCGTTTTTGCACAACTACCCGCCGGTCACACAAGTCTGCATTGTAATTCCACGGCGATCCCCTGCCCAGCGCCGCCGTCATCAAAACTCACTATCGGCGCATCGGCATTCATGATCATGTCACAACGGATCCCGACTGCGCCGCCCTCGCCACCTACCAGGCTGTACTTGTCGAAGAAGTCGGCGTGTGACTGCTTGTGCCGCTGCTGCGATTGCTGGATACTCTGACAGCGGGTGGTGAGGGTCGCTAGCCGCCGGCGGAGGTCGTCCAGACACCGGGTCACGCCCTGAGGGACAGACAGAGGTGAGAGGGAGGGGAGAACGAGGGGAGGGGGATGGCATTGGCGATTAGGCTCCGACATAACTCAGGCACAGTCTAAAGGTAGGTGGGAACTGGGAAGGGAGGGCGTTTGAGGTCGATTCATGATTCTCCGATTACTCCCATTATGTAAATCTATTCAATTCTTAAAGATGTAGCGTAAAGACTATCAAGTAATATTGTTAGAGCATGCCTTCGTTCAGCTTTCATGTGACTTAGTCCATGAGGCAAGCAAACAGCATTCGGTAGGTTCTTAAAAACTCCTGAAGCGCCTTGCACGACTGGCAATTACACCGATACAATACAGTCTCTGCCTATCTTATTTGGAATCGCAGAGTGCATCACGAAACCACATGCAGTGTCAAGTGTCAACATGACTCCATATGCACAAATCAGTGTGAAAACTCGGTGTTGTAACAGCGGCCGATGTCTCCCGATTCTCAATCATCTCCACGAACGTCTCACCCTCGGCGGTAAGATTATACGAGTCGGACACCACCGAAACCGGGCACTATCACGACAGCCATCAGAATGGCGATTGTCTCTCTCCAGTGTCCAGCGACACACACGATCACAGTCGGGACCATTGTGCAACGGCGCCTTGCCTCACGCATCATTCCTGTGCATGGGGCCGCGCTCGGTACCCCTGATGACGTCAGAGCGCGAATGAGACTCACGGGATGGATATAACACAGTAACACACATGACAGTCGTGGCCTAGTGATGTCATCGGTAGGGGGGTGTTGGGCAGGTCGGGCTCGCTGTCATGAGGGGAGAATGCACGAAGGGGTGGACACTGGAGAGTTATAGGGGCGACTATAAACGGAACGATACCTTAGATATAATGACTGTTGGTTAAGAATGGCGGTAGCTGTTGAAAGTTGTCACGCAAATGTCACTGATGTTGACCCAAGATGACATGGTGGTCGTAACTTGAAACTGGACCGCCCCGGCGAGACAGTTATGTGGTCGATTTCCTTCATGCACACGGTCGGCATTCGTCTAGTGAGCTTCCCTCGGCATCATTAGGGAAGCTGGCCATTGTGTACCAATGCCGAGGGCGATCGAGCAAGTACCAATTCGTAGGAACATCTGCACAGATCTCTTTTTACTTTGCGCTATAGGTCAGTTTTCGCATCGTTTCATCAATTGAACTTTCTGTTATTTGCAAAGCCCTATGTTTGTCGTACGATGCATGCTAAAATGCATCGGTGGAAGTCAATACTCAATTAGCAAAGATATGTTTGATGTTTAGCCCTGGAATGGAATACAGCGTTGTTCAAAACAGCAGATAGAAATAAAAAATTAAATATCAAAAAAGGAATAAAGCTGGGACGCGAAAAGAATGGCCACGGGCACTTAAAAACGTCAATGGCACTCGGGAGACGGGATGGTTTAACGCATGGAACAAGCTCACAGCTGCCGAGTTCCACCATTACTGCCCACTACCCACTCTCCTCCAAGTCTCCTCCAAGTCCTCCCGTCTGTGCCCCCCCCCCTCCCCCCCTACTCACCTCAGTGCCCGGCTGACCGTGACCGGCCTCGGACAGAATCTGCTCTCCTCTAATCAGTGCCGGCTCAGCGGTCTCTCGCAGGGCGCGCGAGATCCGGCCCAGGGTGGCCCCCTGGTCGGCCGCCGGGGCCGCCTGCAGGTCCGCCTCCAGCTGCAGGAGGCGGTCGGAGGCCTGCAGGGGGTGAAACGTAGTGGTTAGATGCCTGCACCTGCAGTGGGTGGGCTAGGGATGAGGCGCCTACAGGAGGGGAAGTAAGGGCAAGACTCCTACATGTGGGACGTGGGTAGGTAGTGGCACAACACCTGGATGTGGGGTAGGAAGCGGTAAAATGCCTGCAGGCTGGACAGTGGACAGCTGGTTGCCAAATGCCTGCAGCTGGGGAGGCGGCGGTAAAACGCCTGCAGGAAGAATTCCATCGACAGAGACGTAAATAAGAATGATGGGAAGGGCCGGGAACGCTTTTGGTCACCGCCTCCGGCGAGACAAGGTAGCAATGTTCAGAGATGGAGACATCTGTAGTCAAATGCCTCAGAATGTATGGAAAACCCGAGAAGTGTTGGAAACACACGAGTGATCACACAAAATAATGTAAAGCATCTGGATGAAGCAATGCACGGGCGATGTGCATATGACTAGGTACCTACAGTCTGAATGCAGTGTGAGTGATGAGGTCTACTGCAGGGACTGAGTGTCTGTCCGGAGCTGGGGGCGCATGTATCGCAGTTGTCAGCACCTCACAATGGGGTGCAGTTGTTTGGTCGCGACATGGAGAGATGAATAGGCCGGATCTGGGACAGGTGGTGACGGGACGCTGAAGTGGTGATATGGGTCAAGTCTTTCTGAGATTGATGTATTGCTGTGCATGTGAATAACATTTAGACACGTGCCACAGATTTATTTGCGAGGAGTTTGCAAAGCAGCACTCCTAAGGACCTTGACTCGGTGACATGTATTGTAATGTAAATTCGTAAACACTTAAATGTTCTTCATTTCATGACCTTACATTTCTTTGACCCTTGCGCCGCTTGGACTCCTGCAATTAGGAACCCAACCATCGCACTGCTGTAGAAGTAGTGTTTAAACATTCTATCTAACTCGGCTTTAGAGGTCAGAACCAGGTAACGGTAAGCGACGCTCAAACGGCTATACTCGTAAATTACTGAGAAATCGGTACTTCGGTCATTTGCAGGTCAGGTCAACGGTAAGCAGGGCGCGGTAAAATGTACCCTTTGACAGCACTTCTTAATTCACGAGGTCTAGCTCGGCGACAGTCTTAAGATACGGTTATCTAGGGAGTAGACGGATAATAGGAGCAGGATGAGCTTGCGTAAGCGCTTACACTGCAGCTCAGAATATTTCTCGCTTAGGATAATCCCGGGAGAAAGTTTAGATTAAAAGTTTAGCGTTAGTTCTGGTCCATTGGAAGATACTGGATAGCGGCAGGTGGCAAAAAAGTAGCCCCTATACACATATCAAGTGCGCAGAATTTAAGTTGTTTCCATTTGATGTTTCGGAACTTTGCGATTGCTCGCCACATTCGTCATTTATGCATTATTTCTCAAGCGTACCGACTACCGAATATGTTTTGGGACATTTTCTTCGCGCGTACATCGCTTTGATCAAAGGGAGGGATCAAGGCCAGGCAACATACCAATGGACATTTTTGACGGGTCATTAGCGTTAAGCAATGCATAACGTGAAAACGTTGGCATTCGAACACAATCACGTGTGACACAGTGAACAGTCTGATTGCGCTGCTGGCTATTTTGTAGCTATTTAAAGAAAGACAAGTGAGAGGTCATCGATGTCATTGCACAACTTTATTGTTTAGCTGTTGGGTCTAATGAATGGCAATTAAGCCCAGCGACCAAGACGCTATCATCCATTCTCTGATGCTAATCAGCATATTCATGCAACTGGACTGTCACCTGCAAATTATACCCTATCCATGAGACAATGGATTTAAGACAGCCTTTAATACTGTGAAGACGTTGAAGTGAAGACTTGAGCCTTTAGCAATTAAAAATCGTTCTTTTAACGCCGAACCTCACCAGAGATGGGAGGCGGTTGACCTACGTATTCCTTTCGTTAACGCCTTAAGTACTAACTTTTCATTGTTTAATGTTTAGTGCATTATGTTCTACTGCATCTCCATCGAAGGTACTGTTAACCGCAGACGAACAGGGAGGTTGCTACTAACTGAACCCACCCTTCAGTGTTCATTCTATTCCCACTAAAATCACCAGTCATTCTGGCATGGCGCTTGATGACATTCGCCCGTCGCACCTCGGTGCTGATATTCGGAGACCGCCGACTCAGAAACGCGACTGCACCGTCACCGTATTTCTGCACTGAAGACCCCTGGCCGACGCTTTGTGTTCGGCGCCGTGGCAGGAGTGGCCTTGACACATCATGAACGTAGGGAAACCGTCACGCACCAGTGAGCGGCAGCTGTGAGCTTTTGACCACTGAGAGGTCATCCCGGACTGACCGGCCGAAGGCTGCAGCTAAGGCAATTTGGTCTCACAAATCACAGTTTTACGCCATGCACCTCGCGGTGATATGCATATCACCCCGGCGAGGTTGCAGCAGTCACTAATCGAGACACAATATGCTTTTGCTACTGTCCCTAAGTTCAACCTCGGCTGAGATTCAGCTTTTCGCAATATACCAACTACAAATATTTCCCTCTGAGTGATCGAGGGTGTCTTTGATCCGCAGTGCGCCGCCGTGCCGTGTTACTGTTCCCAGTGGTGAAATGACCGGGGCACGAGTCACGGCCGTTACGGGCACAACAGTCGGTGCCGCCGGCACACACCATCGCTGAATAGATGAGACCCAATGGTGGCGGACGGAGGCACAATGGCGTGCGCATCTCAGACCCAATCGATTGGGAAACTGCTGGTAGGTAAGCGAGGTCGAGATCTTACTACGAGATCGCTCAGCAGGTAGTTGAAAGCGCACGAATTTTCGTGAGAAGTGTAAAACGTTGGAGCACGCAGCAAAAGCGATATGCAAAATGGTGTAAGTATAGAATAAAAACGGCCATCTCCTGTTGAATTTCTGTTGAAGGAAGTCGCTTTATACCATTCACAGAAGATCCATAATTAGATGGTCTAGCTAAACCATTATAGGCGCCTCCTGGTTACTCATTTTAGCTACATTCACAAGTCACATTTGAGCGGCGTTCGAGACTGACCTGCTGGGCGAGTCTGAAGAACTCGGCGGCGGCGGTCAGCAGGCCCGCTCGGCGCTCGGCGGCCCCCACCAGCTGCGAGCACCTCTCCAGCACCGTGTAGGCCCGGGTGCGGGGCTGGTCACGGGCGAACGTACCGCTCTGCACCAGACCCTCGGCGGCCCGCAGCAGGTGCAAGCCGCGGTCCTGGATCGACTGGGGAAGAGAGAGAACAACGGCGGTTAGGTGGGAGGAAAGAGAGAGAGAGAGAGAGAGAGAGAGAGAGAGAGAGAGAGAGAGAGAGAGAGAGAGAGAGAGAGAGAGAGAGAGAGAGAGAGAGAGAGAGAGAAGGAAGAGATACATACAGACTAGCATACAGACACGACAGATATACAGACACACAGCAGTACAGACAGACAGACAAACAGAGTCACCACTGTTCCTTAGGTTGGGTATATTGGCGTTCCAGCAATGCCTAGCAGAGCTAGCTGGTGGTAGACTACCATATCAACAAAATATGTCAAGACTGAGAATTGTCAGCGACTGAAACGAGATAACGAGTGACGAGAAAAGGCCGGCACGCGTCCGGGTTCGCAGATGAAGTTTCAGAACTTTTACTCAAGTTACACCAGGCAGATTTATTAACATGAAACAGAAATCCTGAGTTTACAACATAGCGGAAGCCGATGCCCTATTGACTGTTGGGAAATCGCACGAACCGGGAGATCGGAGCAATTGAATTTTATAGGTGTAAAATATGGCGCGCGGCCTCTCCTTCCGATATCGCCTCCTCACGCTCTGTCTTAGTTTCTCGGCCTTCCATTTATCATCCCTCTCCGGCGTCCCATCTCGCGATCATGGCGTCTCGCTAAGGAGTGTCGGCGGTGTCGTGCCATAGTGGGCCGTTTCGAAACGGCCGGGTCAGTTCGACCCTTGCCCGCTGCTCGAATGCGAGCTGCTCTCCCCCAGAGAAAGTTCAACAAACAAGATTACATGCCGAAAGAAAGCACGACCACGGGTGGAGAGTGTGTTAACGCTTTAAGTCATTATACAGCGTAAGTTATGTTGTTTATGCTAACACGTGTTCAACAATCGATTAGCAGCATGTGCATCGCATTTCTAGATCAGATGTAAATATCTGAAACTACTGTCGCGACTCGACACATTGCCGAGTGACTCGCATTTCTGCCGCTCTCGACTCCATCCCAATCATCAAACCGGTCTTGCCTCGCTCACTGCCAAGATAAACATGTGCACAGCGCTCACTCCAATCCGATCTAATTGTACCGCCAGTCACAGCCTCTGGAGGGCGGAGGGCGGCTTCGAGCGACCACCACCAGCCGGAAGAGAGGGCAGTTTACGCCCAACCAGAACGCAAACGCAATCGGAGAGACAACGGCGGAGCGAACCATCACCCGAGTCTCCGCAGCGCGCGCTTCAAAAGTGAATGTGTCTCGCCGCGGCTCGCAGTGCGCTGTTCCATATCTGGCAGAGGACCTTGAAGACGAGCCGAGCGGTGAGCCGTTTCACCTCTTGCAGAGCGCACCCATGGAAAATCGTCATTTCACCGTAACGGGTTCGTTCGAGAGGTCTGTGACGGTTTATGGATGCACATTTGCATGCGCCTGGGGTTGCACGTGGAGGCGTGACTGTGGACATTTCTGATGTGAGTGTCGAAGTCCGTCAGGTCAGCCCGGTAGCATTGGCAGGGGAGTGGTGGTGCATGGTCAGTGGTTGGATGACATGTCACCATTGCACATTGTCCCCAGAAGAAGCCAGCGGGTATGTCACGTGCTATCCAAGAACGTGACTCATACGGCAGACGCTTCGAGCATATCAATGAGCAATGTCATCGAGCATGCATGGATTGTGGTGCCAATTAAGATGCGCTTATATAATCGGTAAAAGCGTTTAGTAACGTAGGAAGTTAAGATAAAATGTAAACATTCCTGAGTCGTACCGCTCAATCTGTTTTGACAGCTAATGCAACTTTTTCGATTTTATCACTTTCATCTTTGATACGACACCTTATAAGAGGCACAAATAAATAAAATTGATTATGGATAATTAAATTGTTACGCCCAACCTTACCTATGAACATCACAACTATTTCGTAGGACTGCAAACAAGTAACGTGTGAGTCACTGTGACCCATATTCGTGATTCTGCCGTTACATACCTTGGCTTCAGTCGAGCCGAGACAGTGCAAGTGGTGCTCCAGCCACACTACAAGCTGGCCGCCTGCCTTTCTACCTTTCTGTCATGTCTGGCCGGAATAATTCAGTGAAAACACCCACACCAATGTGCTTGCATTGCGCCACGAGCGGGGAGCGCCCGCGCCTCGCATCCTGCCTCTGTCCGAGAGCCACTTCGCTGCCCGCTCTGTTCTCTTCGCTCTGTGCTGATCTTCAGACCGCGCGCCAGTCACTATAGCACTCAGGGCAACCACCATTCGTAGCGGCACGCCGTGGTCGCTCTTTGACTCGGTTATTTGCCAGTCATCGCACTGCATGGATCTGTCTGACAGACGAGTCGGGGTCACCCGGGATGTCTGACCCGAGACGGGAAAAGATCGGACAGTCTCACTGGGAGCGCCCTCTTATCGCCTAAACAAATGACCGTGCTTGGTGGGGGAGGTGCTAAGGGTAATTTTAAATGGCGATCAAATTTGTACATTTGTGTGTTACCTATATATTTGTAGTGTTCAAATATATACATAGATACATAGATATGTCTTGTTAGTGTTACGTTAGTTACAAAATGCATGGCGAGATAAATGTACCAATCTACGGTAGGATACCTGTCTTAATTTTGACACGTGACATCATAAAAATTAGCACACCTGAAACAGAAGTTCAAAATCATTCGCGGCAATCACAACATCTAGTAATAGTGGGCATAAATCAATTTTTGTTTACCTTTTCTAGTAATTATTTTTAAGCATATACTGTTTTATTTTGAATGAACATTTATTAGCGGTATAACTCAAAGTCATAAAGAATTACAAGTTGTTATACAGGTTACAAAGGTGCCTTCTTTTGCAGCACTCAATAGCTCAGTAAATTAAATGCATGATACCAAATATTAGTTATTTACAGCGTGCCCATAAAATTTACAAGACAGCTAGCCGCTAGGCGTACATGATGACTGAATAAGAAGACATGCTTGCTGAAGAAGGAAATCCTAACAAATATCGACCTGTCTTGAAATCCGACGATATTTGAAGGCTAACTTTCATAACAAGCGCACGCAATATTTTTAATTAAGCATCCGACAATGTTGGTTTTTCGCTGCACCCTGGCTCTGTCTCTCGTGGCCACTGCATTCACCGACTGTCCAGGCTCTCCTTGGAAAGAGTGGAATGGCCACTGTTATCGCCTGTCTGCCTCACCCGCCACCTGGCTCGAGATCCGAGACGTGTGCAAGCATCCGTTCAAACAGGCTGATGTTGCCAGCGTTGGCAGCTGGGAGGAAAATCGTTTCATCCTCGAGAACATCCTCAAACAGCAATCAGCATGGCTGGGCTTGCGCCTTCGCAAAGAGCGACGTTGCTGGACAGATAAGTCGCCAGTGAAATTCATGCATTTCAGAAGCAATGTGCCTTTGGACGACGTCACGGACGCGGTTGTGCAGCTAGCGGGTACTACAGGCCACTGGGAACTGGTCTCCCCCTATGGGGGCAAAAAGCTTCACGCCGTATGCAAAATGCCCTCGTGCGAGTGTAAAGAAGGCTGGGTAAAGCAGAAAAACCGCTGCTACAAGCCTATAAAGTGTCCACTCAGGTGGCTGGACGCCCGTGAACGTTGTCAGCGTATGGCGCCTATGACCGACCTCGCCACAATCGACAACAGCTCTGAGAATAATTTCCTCGTAAACATGATGTCAAACAAAATGCCGTTCTGGATCGGCCTCAATGACCGTGAACGAGAGGGCGAGTACCAGTGGAGTGGCGCAGGCGGCGAGACGACCCCGGCCTACAGGAACTGGGCGATGTCTGAGCCCAACGGAGCCAGACACACGGAGGATTGTGTCCAGGTAGGTACATCAGGACAGTGGAGTGACCATAAGTGTCAAGACCAGCCCAAGTCTTATGTCTGCCAGCAGCCCATGTGTGGCAACAGGGCGCATCCTACACATCCAGGACAAGAAGGTGGAACGGTGACTTCCACTGATGGAGGTTCTCCTCGCTGTCCGAATGGGTGGAGGCTCGGTGGAAACAAGTGTTACAGCAAGCCCACTAGTCCCGAGTCGTTTGATCGCGCGGAGGAGTTATGCAAGGAACAACATCCACGATCTCATATTGCAAACGTCACATCTTTGCCAGAAAACGACAAAGTATTCCTCCAGGCATCTGGTTCGCTGCCTGTTTGGATAAGACACTCCGAAAGAGGTTCAAGTAACTGGCAGACGGGCGTCACCGCTGCGTCGTCCGCACGGTGCGCAACACTACAGAGCAGCGGCCAGTGGAGCAGAGAACAGTGCGATGAGAAGCATCCCGGGATATGCGAATTATCATCATGTGTCCCAAAGTGCCCCCAACACTGGCACTTGTTTCAAGGTAACTGCTATTTCATAAAGGGCATTGGAACTCTGAAACATGCGACCGAATCCTGCGAGAGCGTCGGCGGCCAACTGCCCAGCATACTGAGCCAAGATGAGAACGACTTCATCACTGCTCTGATATTTCGTTGGCGTCGCAACACGAAGCATGCGAGGACGTCATGCAGACCCTTCGCCTTCATCGGCGCTTCACGCGCAGACAAAACGTCTCCGTGGTCGTGGTCGGATGGCGCAGACTGGGGCACACCGCTCTGGGCCCACGGTGACGGTGATTGGGGCACATGCGCTGCGTTAAACTCCGAAGGACGGTGGAAGAGCTTCGACTGTGAGGCCTACAAGTTGATGTTTTTGTGCAAGAAGGACCCGTGCCGAGATCACTTTGGACCCTTGCATAGTCCTAACCGCGACACTTCTAGCCACTCACCGACCCATCCGGTAGAAACGTTGACCACTGCGGCTCCACAACCCAAACCGAAGATATGTCCAAATGACGGTAGGCATTGGCATGAGGAAAACGGCGTATGTCTGGCGTCCTTCACGTCAAGTCCATCCACATTTACGAGCGCTTTTAAGACGTGCACCTACAAGAAGGACGGGTTCGCCGTATCGCTGCCGGTGGTGAGGTTCAAGGACACGCTGGAGGCGCTGCTGAAGCTGACGGGAGGTCGCGACGTCTGGGTGGGGCTCACCCGCCGGTACACTGCCGTCTGGTACTGGCACGACGTGGTGAGGGCGACCGACCTCCAGTGGCAACTGAAGCCCACTGCCGACACACGGTGCACCTCTATCGATGGCGACATGGGCGGTCTTGTTGCGCGCCGATGCTCAGACAAACTAATATTCTTCTGTGAGGCGAGACGTCTGCCGAATTGAATGAATTACTCTTTCGTCATAAATCTTATTGGTAACGTTTGAACATAAGTTAAATACCATGCTGTGCCTATTTATACCATTACAGCTTTTTCTCTCACCAGTTATGAATATCTGCCTTTGACGACCATGACATTGAACCGCGAGCATTCTTAATCAAATACTCGAAAGCGAAAGTGTAGAGCAAATCCTGTTTCAAAAAGGCATGTAGAAGAATGACTTGATTTGCGAAATAACGGTTAAAAAGCAATTTATCGTAGATCATGGAACCAACTACCTTTTATGCAAACAAGTAGAAACGCTGATAAAACGATATCGGATATTCCATTGGACAATTGTAGATACATCTATCATGAAATTATAATGCTTTACTATCGGTTTCAATAAGTTCGTGGGGTTGACTGACATGTCCAGCCAAGCACTCAGACCACCACCTGCCCATTGTCATTCCGCAGCGCTCCCACCCGTTCTTCCTGGTCTCAGGGTGGCCGTGTTGCACAAGCAGACCCATAACAGAGCCACGAACGGGGCGGGAGTCTTCTGCAACCCTCGGGCCGCAGATGAGCCAGAGAGAGCGTCAAAAGTCAAACGTAATTGGCGCCGCCACTACCGCCAGTATCGGTCGAGTTGGGCCAGCGCGGCGCTAAATATTAGCCCGATGACTGGCGCTCGGCGATTTATTGGAGCTGCGGCGCGCCCGCAAATTGGCCTGTTGCGGTCCGCTTGCGTCAGGGCCTCGCTAACTCATGACAGCAGTTGTGAACGGCTTAGCTTGTCGGGTTAGTGGGTTATGGGCCAGTGCGGAAGTGGTGAAGATGATTTCAGAGGGCATGATAGGAGTGTGGTTAAATTGGGTGCAAGTTTATTGCCTCGGGGGATCCATATAGCAATATCGAGAGGTGTTAGGAAAGGACGATAATTCTAGCTGAGAGCGAAGTACTTTTTAATGCGTGTACTTTATCTGTATTACTTGCACTGTGCAGATGTTCTACATCCCCGTGAATGAGAATGAGAAAATGAGAATGCCTCTGTTACTGCTTGCATTTGGTGACGACTGACGTGTACATTGTGCAAGCCATTATAAATCCGTCATTAGGACAACTTATGACCATTTTGCGTCAAAATTATAATTTACATGTGTCATCGTAATCAAACTTGGTAGTGCTTTGCAAAAAGAGATTCGCCATACATAGTTAGTAACTATACCAATGACACTACACACTTACACAGTCAACGTGAGGTCATGGAGACTAGCCACCTGTCCAGCACTCGCCCATCGTGAGATGGCCGGTGAATGTCTGCTACGCCGTGCTGGGCTGACGCTGATTAATGACGTGTCGCCGGGGCCACGTAGTTTGCTGCGGCGGCCACATAGCGGGGCGTCCACCGGCGGGTCGAGTAGGTGAGTGCCTGAGTCGACAGTCCGTCACATAGACGGTGGGACAAGGTCGCGGCACTGGGACAGAGGCAGGGGAAAAGCTAAAGGAGTGCGACGGGACGATGGTGCAGCTTACCATGTGAATTCAAGCGCAGCAACGCCAAAAAAAAGAGAAACAAATTTACCGTGGGCTTCCACGCGTTAACCCGCAAGTTGCTGGGGGGGGGGGCGTTAAACGCCCCCACTTTTTTCGCCGGGCCATAGCATAAAAACGACGCGCCGCAGGCGCGCCAAATTTTGGGTACCTGTAGGGAATTGATTGAAGTTTATTGTGACAAAGTTTCAAAAAAAAAAAATCGGTCGGAAAATGTTTGAGGTATCGAGGTTTTAATGACGTCATGATTTCTGAGTTTTCGACCAAAAACGGCATATGTTCGAAAAATCATATAAAATCACATAATAGACATACAGAAATGCAGTAAACGCCATTAGACTGCCAATACCATGAACAATCAAATGGCTATCTTCGATTATTGATTATCGTTCCGCATTTTCCAAAATCTTGAACTGAATCTCGGCAATTTCTCGTTACTACTTCACGACCATGATACATGCATTTCTTAAATTGAACTTTTTGAGCCAAACACGTACACATATGATAAAATGAATGTCACCATCGTGTTCTACGCCCCAAATTACCCATAAAACATGTGTCATAGGCTGCGAATATCAGTTTTGATTTTCGGGGATATGTGCCTACCCGGTTGACCTGACCTTGACCCTGACCTATGCTTGACTGACCCCTACATGGAGCTGACACTCTTGTAGGCCTTATATGAAGGATTGTGCACCGTTTTGACAGAGTTTATGACGAGAGGCGCCCATTGCGAAGTCCTGAAGTCTATGCTACTGAAAGCCCGCTTTCAGGTGTTTGACCTGACCTTGACCCGACCTGTGACCTCAAAATTCAACTTTAAAGTTCTCATCTGAAGTGTCTCGTCGCGTTCTTTCGTTTGCCGCCTCGTGCGCTTCGCTGCGCCTATTGGTTCTCGAGTTATCGGCTGGGGGCGTTTAACGCCCCCCCCCCCCCCAGCAAACGGTGGGTGGCGAAATACCCCAGCAACTGCCGGGTTAATTGCAAAAATATCTAATCGTTCTAAATACCTTGAAATACATATCTAATCTTTTATGGTTATGGACGCAACTTCAACTATATTTATAACTAACTAACTGGCTGATCTGACTATTGACTGCTCTGGTCGGCAGAGCCCGAGTGACCGATCAGCAGACACCTTACCGGTCATCAGACCAGTGACCGGTAAGTAGCCACCTCTGTCCTCTGACCACCTCTGACCATTCGGCAGACGTCCACTGGGTCGGCCCGAGATACCTCACTCGGTACCGCTCGTGATACTCAGACGCGTCGGTAGTTGAGAACTGGTCGGTACCTCGTGTGACAAATGGGGGCGGCCACAGACGTGTGTTCCGACTGGGTTACGGCACACCGAAACGTGCCGGACGGGGTAAGCGATGGACAGGGCGAAAGGAGACGGAGGGCTGGCAATCGCCACGAGGCACAACTGGGCTATATAGAAACATTACACCATATCACTTATGCCAGTGCTATAGAGTGTAAGGTGTACAAACGTAAGACGACGTAAATTACTGTTAAATAAGATTAAAAAACTGTTTAAGATGACCTCGTTGCATAGCCGAGGTAATCTTTTAGATGAATCGTTGAATGACCATTGACCACACAGTCGTAAATAGGTACACAAAAAAATAGACTAACGTAAATGAGGTACCTTTAACTTTGTGCTAGAAATGAAACTTCACCAACCAAAGGACGAAAGAGTGCGGACTGAGTGCCTAGCACGCACTTATTGTCGTTGCACTTACTTGCAAGCTAATGCTATGCCTACATTAAAATCAGCTTAGCCCACTGCCTAGCAAACGCCGCGTCACTGCCGCAACACTTTCTTCACTCACTTGCTAATGATACGCTGCTGCATGGTGGAGGCGGAATTCGAGACGCGTGCCTTGCGGCTTGTAAGTTGTATCCGAGGCTTCTTTCGCTCTCGTTAGTGGATTGTTCGGGCCGAGGGGTTCAGAGGAACGGTGGTAATGGTGTTATATGACAGTAGATGACTAGAGGGTGAGTTGTGTCATGTGACAGCTGGCTGAGGTAATGACTCGTGGAATTGGGCGCCGGGATTGGGTCCTGTTTGCACTTGTGATAATATGGTGACCTTATGGGACCGTAGTTACTAGTCCTCAATATTTGTACCGATATAGTAAAATGATGTCTTTAATTTCCGCATGATCAGCAATAGCCAGAAATAATTGAACTTGACACATCTTTTATGAATGCGGAAGCTATTTACCTATTTTAACTCATTTACAACGTTAGACACTCAAAAAATGAGATTTATTCAAAATGAAAGTAACTACCTAAGAAAAATATGATATATCTACACTTACATTTGCATCCTTCAATGTTGCAAAACATTATACATACATTTAGCCTCTAGCCGTTGGCAATCCAATTAATCGATGTCACTCTAGTCATGCTGATGGACGCCTTCGTTATGCGATTGCAACGTAACATTGCTGTGTAATGTGATGGGTGTTTGTTAAGTCATCAAAACTATGTAGCTGTTTAACAACCATTGAGAATGCTGTAAATGATGCTTCCGTATTTTTGTCGTTAACTTTCTACCTTGCACGTTCTCTCATCGATTTTTTGTGTGCAAAATGCCTTCTTGTAATGCGTCGCATATGTGGTCCGGCAATGGACGCGACGCGAAAGCACATCAGAAACACATCAGAAGTACTCTCCGATTCTCCCGGTCTGGACGAGTGCCTATACCTACCATATACTGCTCAGATATCTCCAAAGACTTTCTCGGGGGCAGAATCGGACGACCTTTCACACCGTTCTAGGCCAGCTAATCGACCTTGCTCCATCTCCCTACCGTGGGAGCGTCCCTCTGTCTCCCTAGTCCGTTTCGACATCTTCCCGACCATCTCCCCGTCAGGAGTCACCCTGCCGACGGCGGGAGAGGAGCCACCCCTACCGCCGCGACCTTCTGACCGGTCAGTCATGCCGGCCGGCGGACAGGACTGAGCCCCCGATCGGTCACCCGCTGCAGACGGTCGCTCCGTCACCCCGCCCCCGCCGTAGCCGGGCACGCCGCTGCCGTGGCCGTGCCGTATTTTGCAATGGGCGCATCTCGCTGGTGGCGGGCGGTGGCAGGGTCAGCGCCAGCGGCGGCGGAGGGCACCTTTCGCGACGGCTTTCTGCGCGCCGTATAAATGCTCCGCGGCGATGGCCGCCGGCAGTCAGTGCGGAGCGCTCGGCGGGGGTGAGACACGGAGACACGGAGGGACTGAGACACGGAGGCACGCCAGGAGTGCAGGACGCCACTCATGGCGGGAGCCAAGGTGAGACCGAGTACGACAGGACGGACGAGTCCTGGTTTTGGGGCCTCAGTGGGGCCTATTTTGTCCACAGAGAAGTCAGTGATACGATCATGGCTCTGGATTTTATAAACACATGTTATAATAGGTATTCTTTTTTAATAGTTATATTTACCTTTTTTGTAATAATTTGTTTTTAAAAAGAATGTCTAATATTTGACCTTTGCCAAGGAGTTCATTTTGTAGGGCACCTAAATAGTTCTTTGTGATTCTTTTTACATAGGTGTTCATTGAAACATTTTAAGACCCTATATTCATTTATTGCTCGACATTATCGCCATTGCAACACAATAGGTATACATGACATGCCTTATTTTTCTTTTAGTTGGCCAAATGATACAAAAGTAAATCACCCATACAAGGCATGATTTACTTTTGTAAGTGCAATCTATTTTGTTTTGCTTTTACAAGAAACGATTGGCGCTAAGTTTACTTTGATCACATAAAATGTTTTAAAAATCCAGAAACAAGCAAGCTATTCAGCATAGCTTTCCCTATGCCAACCTACACGATGAACAGATCAATTTTTGGTTTTGGTACATGCTGCATGATGTACATAAGAGGCTAACAATTTGAGATGATCTACTTTGGTAAATGCCAATACCTAACGGTAAATAAACAATGAAGGCGAACCAATGCATTATTTGTGTTTTGAAGACAATCTCTATTCTCCGTAAAAAGTCGCACCCAGGTGCCAACCGTCCTAAACCGGTAGAAAACATGACATGACATTACCAGCTATTGCACATGCATGACAGCGCTCAGGTTTTCCCGTAACTTGGTCTGCATCCGGCCACTGGTTGGCGACTGCCCAGCCGCATCATTTGCATGCGATGCTATCGGGCGCAATCTCGTGTGTCATCTCGTCCGCGTGTTGCGCCACGCGGCGGAGCCAGGACCGACAGTCGAGTGGCGGCTCACGATCGCGCTCTCTCTCCGCCCACAGGGACTACTGCTGGTGCTCTGCGCGGCTGGCTCCGTGACGGGGACTCTCCAGCCCGGGGGCCAACAGCAGCTCGGAGCGGGAAGCCTCAACGGCGTGAACATTGGCGGAGGAACGTTCACCAAGCCCGGCGAGCCACTACGACCGTTCCCGCCTCAGGGACGTCCAGCACCGCCGCCCGGCCGGCTACCGCAGCTGTACTTCCCGCCACCGACACCTGGCAGCGCACAGATCGCAATCGAGCCTGCCGATGAGTTTACGCAGCTGCCTTCTGGTCCTCCGATCGGCATTGGAGACCCGCTGCCTAACTTCATTCAGCCGGAATTCGGAGGGTGGATTCCGATGACTTCGTCGCTAGAAACTGAGCCAGCCGCGCAGACCGGAGGACAGAACTTTGGGTTCTCATCTGCATCGCTCAGTCAGCAACCAACTGACTTCGGGATCAGCCAGGGACCGTCTCCATCGGGCCTGCAGCCGCAGGCCGGTAACGGAGACAACGGCTCCTCGTTTGCTTCAGGATCATCGTCGAGTTCGACTCAAGAAGAGCTTCTAACGAACGCATGGTCGCAGGCACCAACAGGACAATCTGCAGGTGGAAATAGCGGATTGCCATCGTCTTACGTTCCGCCGACGCAAGGAATTAATGGCGCTATTTCCCAGGGTGCCAGTGTTCCTACCCTTTTGAAGCCACTGGACATACCACAGCCCCAAGAGCCATTCCAACAATTTCCATCACAGTCCTTCAGTGGAAACCCCGATGCTTCATCCTCGTTTGCATCTTCAAACGAAGGAGGAAACTCATTTCCTGCACAGACCATCCCTGCTGGTTTGAATCCATCTGGTTATCCCCAATCGGGAGGCATTCCGTCTCAGTTCCAGTCTCCTACCGATGGTGATAGTAACGTCGGTTCTTCCTTTTCCTCCACCGTGCAGTCTCAATCTGGAAATGAAGCAGGACTTTCTGGAGGAAGTGTAACAGACGGAGGATTCTCCCAATCCCCTCAGTCGGGAAGCACAGGTGTCAACTTGCCATCTTCGTACGTGCCTCCCTTTTCCGAAGCGGCCGGCTCTTTTTCTCAAGGAAATCAAGTTCCGACAGAGCTGAAACCCCTTGGACTGCCTCAGACTGGGGGATTCGCTCAAAGCTCATTCCAAACGGGGAACGGAAACAATCAGCCATTCACATCAGGTGGAGACAACTCATTGGTGCAGGGTGCGGTGCCTACACTACTGAAGCCGCTAGGCCTCCCGCAGCCAGAGGACGTATCTGAATTCACTTCGCAAACTAGTGGTGGAGGAAGTAGTGGCGGCCTACCTTCCTCTTATGTGCCTCCTTCAACAGGCTTTGTCGGCACGCTCACTCAGGGCGAAGGACCTGTACCTACCAGCCTTAAGCCAATTAACCTGCCGCCGACTGGAGGGTTTTCACAGCCTTCGATAACCCCGTCAGAAAGCGAAAACACAGACTCTTCATTCTCCTCAAATATAGCGACAGCATCAAGTTTTGGAGGATCATCTTCTCAAGGAGGTTTTGTTTCAACCGAGCTCAAGCCTATCAACTTGCCACAACCAGGACAACCACCAAGCTCTTTTTCCTCTCAGGCAACTGGCAGCAATACCGCCATCACCTCTTCGTCTACATTTGGTAGTTCGTCATTCCAAAGCAGTAATCCTTCTTTCCAAGCTCAGCAGTCGCCAATACCCACTATCCTAAAACCACTGAACCTCCCTCAAACAGAACCAGTTCCTACTTCTCTCAAGCCCTTGGGACTGCCTGAAACTGAAGATCAAACCGTTCCGACCCTCCTTAAACCATTGGGTCTTCCACCGACTGGAAAACCATCATCGCAGCAGACATTCCAAGAAAACACTGACCCTCTCGCTCCATCATATGTGCCTCCTACGTCAGAGGGCGAAGATTCGTTCTCTCAAGGGGGCTCGATTCCAGACGAACTGAAGCCTCTTGGTTTGCTTCAAACATCAGAACTCTTTCAGGCATCTCAGTCTCTTGCTGGGAACAGTGTAGACGCTGAGCCCGTCCCGACTCTTCTGAAGCCACTAGGCCTGCCGCAACCAGAAGAACCATTTTTGTCTCAGTTGGAAACGCAGGCAGGTGGAAGCACGTTCGGTGAATCCCCTTCTCAGCAACAAGCGTCGGCGGGAGGCGGATCTTTCATTCAATCTGGCATAGTACCCACCCAGCTGAAGCCTCTGGGACTACCACAGCCTGATGGATTTGTATCCACGTCTTCTGTTGAAACAGAGGGTGACAACTATGGATATTCGCCATCAAGTTCGACGTCCTCATTGGGGCAGAGTGAGCCTCCTCAGAGTGGAGCGTCTATTCCGAACCTCATCTCCGGAAACTTCCAGTCACAGGTCACTGGGTCTCAACTTGGATCTCAATCTGCATCAGGAGGTGGCACCTCGTCAGCGTCCTCCTTCGGGTCATTTGGAGGGGGCGAGGGCGTCTTCTCACAAGGAAGCGCCACTGGGGGATCTGAGCCAGTTGTCAACCAGCAAGGATCAAATGGAGGATTTGCATCTTATCCTCAGCCATCTGAAGGGTCGCCATCAGAGACTGGTAACTCGTTTATCGATGAAACGGACTCAAGCCCGCAGACTATTCCGACCTTGCTAAAACCTCTGGACCTGCCAATCCCCGATGGATATTCACCTGGATCCTCGGCAGAGATCGCAAGTGGCGGAAGCAGCTCTTCATACGGTCCAGTTGTACCGGAGGGTGGATCTTCACCCGTGACTTCGTCTGCTGGTGGATCATCATCGCAGTTCTCGCAACAAACAAGTACTGGTGCCACGTCTCCAACTGATAACTACCAGCCTTCATCGGGGAGTGAAGAAGGCTCCTCTGCCCAACAGTTTGGCGGGATCTCAACCCAAACCTCAACCGGCTCTGTCATCTCGGGTGCCGTGCCAACGCTTTTGAAACCGCTGGGTCTACCTCCGCAAGAAACTGTTGAGTCTCAGCAGCAGTTCGGACAAACAGCCTTCCAGCCCGCTGAAGCAGTCGGAACACAGCAGCAGAGTTCCGCTCCCACGGACGGTTATGTAGAAACGCAGCCTCCGCTGACCTCCGAAACTTTCGTGGACAGTGGCGCAGCCTCTTCGGAGGGTGCCGTGCAAAGTGGTTCGTTGGAAGAGTACGGCTCGCCAAACAGTCAGTCCTTGTTGGAGTCTGAGGGGAATACTGGCGAGGTCGGATCATCAGGATTCGCCACCCTTCCAACAGGTCCAGTACCAGGCAATGGTAATAGCCAGTCACCGCCTCAAATCGGTGAGCCAGTATACCAGCCAGAAATCGCTCTGGGCGTTGCTGCCAGCGGTGACGCCGGTTCTTCTGTGCCGTTCCCTCGGCCACCAGCTCAGAGCGAACCGCTTGGTCCTCCGCAGCCAGCAATCACCAGTCAAACATCGAGCAGCGGAAGTTCATTCGGGCCTCCAGAGTCGCCACCCAGTCTCGTTATTGATGAACAGTTCCTGACAGGTCCCTCTGGAGGACCGCTCACCGTTGCAGCCCCAGGCATACCCGTTGCAGCCGGCGGAGGAGATAACATTAGCGGCTTTGGAGTCAGCAGCACTAGTGGGAACGAAATCAGCAATGTCAGTGGCGACATCGGCAGCGGTGGAGACACCATCAACGGTGAAGGAGGCGACGAGGGCGAAATCGATGTTGGAACTGGTAGCAGTGGGTTCAGTGGTAGCAGCGGTTTCAGCGGAAGCGGGAGCAGCGGTGGATTTGGCGGCAGCGGAAGCAGCAGTGGATTTGGCGGGAACGAGGGCAACAGCGGTTTCAGCGGCAGTGGCAGCAGCAGTGGCTTTAGCGGCAGCGGAGGCAGCGGCGGGTCCGGTGGCAGCGAAAGCAGCAGCGGCAACACTGGGACCAGTATCAGCAGTAGTAATTCCATCAGCAGCGGTGGTGTGAGCAGCACCGCTGGCGTTACTGGTAGCGCTGCAGCTGGTGGCGCCATCAGCAGTAGCCTCAGTAACACAGAGGGCGGCACCGTGAGCGGTGGATTTGGAAGCGCCGGCAGTATCGGGATCAGTAGCGGCCCTGCCAGCATCAGCAGCATCTCCAGCACTGGAGGCAGCAGCATCTCCAGCACCGGAGGCAGCAGCATTTCCAATACTGGGGGCAGCAGCATCTCCAACACTGGGGACAGCAGTATCGCCAGCACCGGCAGCAGCTCAGGCGGCAGCGACGGCCCGGTGGAGATCCTCTCGCAGACGTTCGAGATCGACGAGAACGGCAACTACGAGTACAGCTACGAGCAGTCGAACGGCCAGGCGGCGCAGGAGTCTGGCCAGTTCACCGCCGGTGCCGAGCCGGAGACAGGTACCCTGGCCAGCACCGGATCGTACCGGTACCGCGGACCCGACGGCAGAGAGTACATCGTGGAGTACACGGCCGACGAGCGAGGGTTTCTGCCTACCGGGGACCACCTGCCTAAGCCGCCGGAACAGATCCCTGCCTATGCGGAACTACGGCGGCGATATCCCGCGCTCTTCTGGGCGGAGAAGCTAGGGATCCGAGAACCAGAGGAATGATAGGGAAGATATCTAGTAAACGGGTGGAAAGGGGGCTTACTGGGACCGAGGAGCGAGGTCGCCAAGTCGGGTAGGCAACGGATATTTGCTTGTGATAATGGATTGATCTGTGGCCTTCGTTCCCAATGCGTGTTATTCTCGGGAACGTTTCTTGTGCGTTGTTGTTGTCGTTTGGTACAAGTGGGTAGATTTAGCAGACGATGGCACGTTTGTCCGCACTGTGTTGTTTGACGTCATGATTTTCCTTTGATTTTGTTTAGCGACACACTGTCTCTATGTGATATTGTTCGTGCCATGAGCTGTTGGACGCTACAGTACATTACGTTGTGGGAAATGAAATAAATATAAGTGAGCTTTCAACCGTCTTTGCTCTGTGAGAATGGTGATAATTGGTAGTCATAACACAAATTGATTAATTTCCGTAATGCATTTAATCTTCATGGGCATTAAAACATAGAACAAACAATGGCCCGATGATAGGAGCGCGACTTCCAGTCGTCATCGTGACCAACACCATGATCGTCGTCATTGTCACACAATTAGGTTCGCGGCTGGCGCATAGTTTATTCACAAACGTCTTCTTTAGCACACAAATTAACATACACCACATAACCATCAGTTTTCCTGCTTCAGCCGAGGCTCCCATGTCCCGCGAACTTCACATATCGCGTCAGTGATCTACACTTCTCTGGATTCCGAACTTACCTTGGCCTGAGCCTCCATTTTAGCGTGTTCATACAGCAGAATTTCGGCGGAGCTGGCCGAGTCGCCCAGCTCACACGCGGACAGCAGCTGACGGCGACTCTGTTCAGCGCGACGCTCCACCTCGTCTGAGGACACGCGTCAAATGACGTCACGAAAACGGCACAACGGAATTGGTGTGGAAGATGAAAAATGACGTCAACCGACACACGGTTCGCTGGTATAAATAAGCCCTACTGTTGCTTAGAATAATGGAACAGGTAGCGGCATTTTTAACAGCTCTAGCGGTCTTTCGATGACGTCGATGCTTGGTTAACCGAGACCTGCTGTTGAAATTTACTAGTATAACTACCTAGTCAATGAAAAGATGGACATGAATTACAGTACAAAGTTTGTACTGTTCATCCTTCATAACCCACACATGGATGATACGCGTGAAATCGTTTTATTAGACTGGTGCTGTTATATAACACATTAATTCGGAGACAAACACCATAAAATCACATTAGGTCGGGGACAGCTGCTCCGCATTTATCCGTCGCCTGAGGCGAGTCCGGGAGGGTGCGTGCGTCTCTGACCTAGGTCGGCGTGGAACCCGGCCAGCGCCAGGCACTGCTCCAGGATGTGTCGCCGGTTGGTGAAGAGCACGTCCACCAGCCGGCGCCGGTCGTGTAATGACTCCATCCACCGCTCCACCTGAACACAGGCTGTAACACAAACATATAGTTACAAACAGAGACTCCATCCACCGCTCCACCTGAACACAGGCTGTAATGCAAACATACTCGTAGTCACAAACACAGTCACAACTGGGGACTCATCCATCGCTCCACCTGGACACAGGCTGTAACACAAACACACAAATATGGTCAGAAACAAGTTCTCCGTCCATCGCTCCATCTGGACACAGGCTGTAACACAAACACTGTCACAAACAGGGAGCACCTGGACACAGGATGTAACACAAACACAGTCACAGACAGGGACTCCATCCACCGCCCCACCTGAACACATGTCGTAATACAAACAAACAATCACGACACAAACAGATCAAGCATTCGAGGTAAAAAAGGTTATGCAGCAAGCACAACCGACAGCAGCTACATAGAGTTACTTTGAACACAAGTCACCTTTCCATTTCTAAGACATTCGATAGAACCAATGCTAAATATAGGCTACAAACGTTATTCTAACATTTGCTCATTCATACCGATGTTCTAACTAATAATTTTAAAAACAATCCGACGCATCTTCAACACACTATCACTTGGGAAATAAGAACTCACATGTTTGCAGCGCCGTTCGTATTTGGTTGGGCCGTGAGTCGACCGTGCCCCTGGTGGCCAGAAGGCGAAGCTTCTCCAGCAGAAGATTGCCCTCCTGCAGTGTCAGCATAGAGCCCTCCAGCACACCTTTTCGTACCTGTGGAACAGCAAGAGGTCAGATAGAAGTCCAGCAGTGACGCTGCACTCTATGGTACGAGATCTCTTAGCATAGATCAGAGAAAGTAAATGGTAAGGGACGCTTTTATACATTCCCGAATGTTGGGTCAGTTATTTCCGTCTTTTGAGACTATTTCAGGGCCGTTTGATGAGAGGATGCGGAGAATATCTCCCGCGATTATGGAGAGACATTATTCTGAGTCGGTCACCGACTGGTATGCCCGCAGCGATGGAGTCCATCTCGATGGGACGGGCCAGTGCCGCGTTGGCACAGGCTTACCGTCTACCCGGAGAATTATGACCCTATTGGAGCTGCCCTCCGTCGGCTGTCTGGTGGGGTGACTGACCGTCCCCCGGATCGGAACAAGGTGGCTTGTGGTATTCTAAAGGTGGATTGGTTCCGAAAAGATCTGAGGGTTGCTTGCTTATAGAACGACACTATTTTGGCAGGTAGTTTTCCTATTGAGGATTTCCTGTGTCTACGTCGAGTGGGGAAGGGTCGGGAATAGGATAGAGGGATGATTAGGAGAAGCCATCTAGGAGTTTCTATTTCAAGTACTGAAGCACGAGGACCCAGTTCAGCCCCTGAATTGAATGCTTAACGGTGTCCAGCAGTGGCCACGCTCGTCTCGTTTGTTTCGTTGGGTTAGGCCCTTTCGGTCTTACCAGACCATTTCAGAGCCAGAAGGATGATAGGAATTAGGGGGAGACATTTTTTTTTGTTGGGTTAGGCCCTTTCGGTCAATTGTGACCATTTCAGAGCCGGGAGGATGATAGGATATGGGGGGAGACATTGGTCTGGGCAGGCACCCTAGTGAGTCGCCGGGGCTGAGCCCGTCCAGAGGACAGGCCGACCAGCCCTCCAAGCACTCTCTGCACCCGGCTATGGGGTGCGCTCCCTCGGGAGCAGCGGTGCCGCTCCAAGGAAGCAGCCCGCACGAGATAAAGGTGCCTGTCCAGCCCGGAGTGAGGGTTGCGGCGTGGAGGAGAAGGATTTGACAGCATCCTGAGGATGGAAGCGACGGAACGGAGCCACGGAACGGGTGATCAAATGGCAAATGCGTACCCATGGGTGGAGAACCTACCCCGGCCACCCCGGCCGTGGCCGGGGTGGTTACCCCGGCCGTGGCCGGGGTAACTTTCAGCCAACCCCGGCGCGGCCGGGGTAACTTTTTCACTCTTGTAATTCCTTAAAACTGTCTCCAAACGAGAAAAAGCTGAGTTCTACCTACAAAAGTGTCTCTCTTTACTCTTTTCTACCTCTTTTAAGTTTTTGAAGATCTATTTATTTTGATTTTGGAACTTTTTGACAAAATATTTTCATCGCAGAGCGCGACAAGTTTGATCAAACATGCAAAATAAAACGATATTCAAGGGTCGTTATCGTAAGATCACGTTACAATAACATCACACAAGAAAACAGGTCTAGGGACGGGTCATATCAATGAGACAAAATGGGTAGCATTGAAGAAGTAGAAGAGCTGCGGGAGCTCAAGGCTTGGAACTTGAACCACGCCAGAGTGGTGCCCCTATCGAAAACGCTGAGGCGAGATGTAGAGTAGGCGTTATACGCCCTTTCAAACTCGGCTGCTGGGCTGCGTGGCGAGGAGTGGCAGCGCCGTTTGAAAGAACGCTAAACATAATAAGAAAAATTTCGTCATATTTTAGGCCAGCACAAAATAAATCACCACAGGACATTAAAAGTCAAATTTTCCCTTTCATAGCGTGCTTTCACAACTTTTCTCATAGCTCGTGATCTAGAGGAGCTAGAACACTGCAAACAAAACATTTGATAGCTATTCGCGAGCGACATTTCAGGTGCAAGTGAAATTACCAATCGCTTGGCTTCAAGAGGGCCACAACGGTCAAATTTAACATTTTTGTGTGAAAAAGGAAACTTTCGTCTTTTTAGGAAATACCCAAGCTCTGCAAATGATCCATGAACACAGACTGTTAAAACATGGTTATCTACAGGGTGACACAAAAAAAAAAACGGTCATCACCAAAATTCGAATAACTTCGGAAGTTTTATTCAGATCATCACCAAACTTCGGCCACTTTAGGTCACACCTATGTAGCAGACATCCACCAAGTTTCAAGTCTTCACTACGAATACTTTTAGTACAGTGTGTGTTTTACGGACGCTCCACAATGTGCTCCAGGTGAGCGCCCCGGCGCTGCAGGGCGTAGGCACACCTGCATCCGGCGGGCAAAGCTGTCGATAACCCGATAAGAATAACGTTTCAGGGGTAGCACACCCCCTGAGCACTGTCTCCAGAGGCCATTGCACTCTGTAAAGTGCACAGCCATCGGGTTATCGACAACTTTGCCCGCCGGATGCAAGTGTGCCTACGCCCTGCAGCGCCGTGGCGCTCACCTGGAGCACATTGTGGAGCGTCAGTAAAACACACACTGTACTAAAAGTATTCGTAGTGAAGACTTGAAACTCGGTGGATGTATGCTACATAGGTGTGACCTTAAGTGGCCGAAGTTTGGTGATGATCTGAATAAAACTTCCGAAGTTATTTGAAATTTGGTGATGACCGTTTTTTGTGTCACCCTGTAGCAAAATCGACCTGATGGCCTGACCCTAGGTGACTTGGGAGCGAAATTCAGAACCACGATGCGAAACTGATTTATTATAGCTGAATCTATAATTTATAACTGCCTTAACTGAGTATCACGCAAATGCTTGCCGCGGTTTCACCTACAAACGTAAAAGCAACTGGGGACTAAGGCTAGAAACGCCCCCGGCCCCCGACACCATTATGAAACTTGAGGCGAGGTCACTTGATGTGACCTGTTGGCCTGAACTTGAATAACTGAGAAATAACTGAGAGTTAAAATGTTCATCATTCAGCAATCACAGCATCCATTATTTCATTCAACAGAAAAGGGGTTTGTTGATAACCGTTTACAAATGTTATTTGAGCATGCCGTCTTTTCCATGACTATCGTTCGCCGGCCGGGGTAACTTTTTCAAACATTCTCCACCCATGTGCGTACCTCAAGACTCCCACATAGTTCCCAGAGGTCGATAAAATGCTTGGAGTTGCTCCAACGAACATCTTAGTCCCATCACTGTCTCCAACTTAGCCCTCGCCTGGTGGGGGGGGGGGGGAGCAGCCTCCCTAAGTTTTTTTTCGCGAATAGCGTAAAAGTTGGTGTCGCGTAGCGCCGCAAAATTTGGCACAACGTCTGGGAATGAGCCTTTTGCTACCTATCCTGAAAATTCATTGCCATCCGCCGCGTCGGCACACCGGTATCTCCTCACCTTCTCCCCACACGGCCTTGACTCCCCAACTCACACCATCACACTACTGCATACAGTGACCGGTCGCACGGTGGATCTGAATGCCTACGTTTGCGCGCCAAAGTCTGAAACAAATAACGATTATCATCAGCTTAGAGATGTTGAAATTTAGCATTTTAAAGCTTCTAATTCAAAAGTTTATATCTGTGCTTTAACGCACTTGTCCTTATTGATTGAGAAAAGAGCGGACTTTTTATCGTATTACCTAATGCGAAGTAACGCAATCGAAGTGTGATTTCGGTCCACTGTGCGTTTTCAGGCGCGCTCGATAAAACGCCCAGGCCTGGAGAAAGTTGGAAGGGTGATTTTCTGATCCTCCTTACCACAAAATGACCCTAAGCGAAAAAATGCCCGCAGGGCGCTGCCAACGCGTGCCAGCGGCCCTGCTAGTAAGGGCGAAAATCAATGTATGTGTATGCGGAGCACACCCTTAGCGCTATGATGGCTCCTTGGAGACACCTGGAGAAACCTGTCCCGGCAGAAGGGTCAGGTCCCTCGCAGACGGCGCGGCACGGCGAGAGCTCAGCGGGTGGCCTAGCCGGAAAGAGGATAAAAATAGCCGACTGGCCCGACCCAGCGAGGGGTGACCGAAGGGTGACCAGGAGTGAATGAGGGAACATACGCGGTACTTACCGAGCAGCCGATAACAGCACCGGACGATTAGAAAGTCATAAGTCAATGCTGTATTTTAGGCGTAAGGAAGCATCCATGTAGACGGGCGGACTGTCTCCAGCTCTTCGAAGCATTGCTAATATCTTGCTCCAACGGGCGTTGGCACGTTGGAAGTTTTATCGACCACTGATAGTTCCATTCTTTCACCACAAGCCACATATCCATCTATACAGTTTATCTTCAACTTCATTGACATGCAGTGACAATTGACATACAAACATATGATTACAGTAACATATAATGCAACATCTATATGTATTTCTGAACTTACATCGAGCAGCCGTCGGATGGCCTCCTCGGCCTCGGCTGGCTCGGTCGGAATCGAAACGTCGCCGAACACGCCATCTGCCAGGTCCATGACGTCACTGAAGTTACGCGACCGTCTGCAAGGTGGCAGCACCAGTCAGGGCAGGGTATATCGTGGAACCAGGAGAGCTTGTGGATACGAAACGTGCTATTGCTGGATTCCACACTTATTGCTTATGTCGAACATGGGCTCGTCCCACGTCATAACTCTGTGAAACTGGAAACACGGCTTACGGTCAAACATTATCAGTCTAGCTATGGAGACGTCTTCCTTAGACCATCCCGCAATAAAAACAAATAACGGCGCAATAATTTCCCGAGAGCAGCGGTGAAGCAACACAGAAACGACTTATACCAACAAACAACAATTAAAACGAGGATGGATGGCACTTGACAGCGTGGCCGACCCGCTGTGAGATTCGGGTAAACGAAGGGGGCCTGGGGCGCCGACTCTCTGGACACTGGCTTGGAGTGGTAACGTATAGTTTATGGCAAACGTCAGCAGACATATTGACAATTAAACGTCCTTAGTGATGAAGAAACGTCGGCTCTCGAGACCTGAAAAACAAACACGTTCCTCTGCATCGGGCTGTGATACATTTTATTATAACCATACTGATTTACATGGGAAATGGCTTATAAACTGGGAATGGTTTCTTTTGGCCAGTTACTTCAGTTAGCATTTTTCTACGGGTAGGTAGACTACGAAACCCGAGCCACTAAAATAACGAAGTCTATCCACTTCATCCAAATGAGAGTAGAGTTGTACCTCAGCCTCACTGACCTGTGGAACCGGACGCACCATATATGTGGTCTCTCAACCCAAATTGCCCCGAACTGACCTGTGGGATTCATCATCTCTACTGACCTGTGGAATCGGACGCACTGCGCCAGCACCTGTCTGCGCTGCTCCAGCTGGGCATTGAGCTCGCGCCAGGCCATTGCCAGGCTCTCGGCCATCGCCGAGTAGGTGGAGGCCTTGGTGTCCTGCCGGGCGATCAGCTGGTCGGCCTGGTTCAGCAGCTCCTCCACCGGCGACTCCTTGCTCTGGGGGGAGAGGAGGGAGGAGGTCAGGTACACAGAAGGAGACTCCTTCACTGTGCGTGTTTTTATTTTATTTTTATTTTTAATTAATTTATTTTTTGCTTGACTCTCCCACCTAAGTACCAGCGTAGAGCAGAGTCATCATCACACGCAGAGCTTTGCTGACCTCTAGCTCAACTGTCGTAGGTCAGTAATCACCGCCATGCACTAGTTCAACATCCAGAGGTGGATCCAGCTCAGAGTTTTTTTTGGGGGGGGGGGCAAACCATAACAATTTATCGATTCTTTCCATGCCTCGTCCACAGGCGTAATGTTAAAATCATGCCGTTTGGGGGGGGGGCAAATGCCCATTTTGCCCCCCCCCCCCCTGGATCCGCCACTGTCAACATCAGCGCTGTCCGCTGCCATGCAATGATGCATGATTCACAGTCCACCTCTCCAGAACCTGCGACGCCCCGTCCACGCCTGGTGACGGCTCGTTCACGGCTGTCACCAGCACTTCATGGCTGGTCTCGGTCAGTTTCAGTTCGGCGCGCCTCGCTGCCGATCGTCCATTGCCGACGACTGACGAGGCAGTAGTGGAGGGCGCCTCGGCAGACGACAAGCAGCGGACGGCAGGCACACCGGGCGGCGGTGGACGGTGGACTCAGGCACTGGCACAGGGATGGGCGGTGGACGACAGGCAGCGGACGGCAGGCAGGTGGCGGGCTCCGGGCGGCGGCGGTCGGCGCCGGGTCGGGTCACGGCCCGGCGGACTTTCTCCAGCTCTGCTGGTCGCTCGATAGAGCCGATAGGGACGTGACCGCGACTCACGCCGCCGACTCGACTCAGCTCGGAATGCTGGGGCAGCTGGACTGGCTCAGAATGCTGGGATAGCTGGGAGAGCTGGAGTGGATAGGAGGAACGTTGGACCCGCGCCTGAGGTCGATACGACTCACTGTTGGACACTGTGTGACCTGTTCAGATAAGGTGGAACCGGTTCGGTTACTAGCTTGTTTTGGAAAAGGAACGAACTATAAGAGAAAACGAATTAATTTTATTTTCTGTCGTTTCAAGGAGGGGAAATCCTTATAAAGGTGGCTATGCCTCACGTTTCCAATGGTTTTGTTTGAGGAAGTCTTCAACAACTGAACCGACTTATTCGTTGCTCTCAGATCGTTCCTAGCTTGTCCACAATATCACTTGCTTTGTCGAATTCGAAACTCACAGCAGAGGCCAGTTTTACCAACAGAAAAACAGGAATCCCAACAAACATCGGCCTTATTGCCGGCAGAAGAAGTCATGAAGCGATAGCTAACGTCTTTCTCACCCCTCTCTTACACCAGACGCCTGCAGCACGACAAACAGACACCCCCTGTGGATGTCACGCCGGGTCACCTCCCCAGCTGTTCCTCCCCTCCTTCTCAGACCGGATGCCCCCCCCCCCTCCTCCTGCGGGGGTGGACGCCGCGGTCCCTCCGTCAGCCATACCGTGCACGGGAGGCATGGACCGCCTATAAAACGGTACCGGTTCTGCACCGGCCAGCGCCCAGCCAAGTCGAATCAGACGCAGCTGCCGGCTGCAGCAGCTTGCTGTTTACCGAGTCTATAGACTTTAGGAGGCTCCTGCGCTGCTAGGATAGGGTCAGACGGTCCTGAATATGAATAATTCATACCGCTACTAAGTTGACATTTTGAAATATGACGCATTGACAAAAGGCATGTGCATTGAGCAACGTGCATAGTAGAATGCCTGAACTATCTGACCATTGACCATACCGTGCAGTGTTTAACGCTCATGTTAGCAGTTATAAATGTTAGCAAAATACCGCATCTAAATCCAATGAAAGTGCTGCCCCGCCACATTGTCAAAATTGATCTCGGCTATTGCCGAAATGCACCACGCCCTGCGTTCAGCCATTCCTGGCCCAGTCTCTGCCTGTGTCTGAGCAGAATGCCGCCGGCACAGCTGAACAGAGAGGGCGCGGTCCCGGGTGTAAACTCACGTGCACACAGTAAACACTACCGAGTTTCGTCACACGCGAGCGTACTGCGATGACGAGACGAGGCCAGACCCTCGCGTTGACGCCGTCGGCCAATTCAAGGTCGTCTCGAGACATCCTATGGGGTATGAGTCACTTCAAAACGAGAGCTAGTCAAAGACGGCTGCGCACGTGTTTTGTTCTGGACAGTTACGACAGTCAACAGAGGTCAGCGTATAGGGCAGCCGGCAGGTCATAAAATGTTTGACGACAGTGCTTGGTCGTTAGGAATTCATGTGGTGCATTCAAGCCAAACAAGCAAGTTTAGAGGGTCACTATCAACGTAACTACTTTCGAAAGTGAATTAATGCTGGCCATATTTTACTTCAAGACAAAGTAGTGTCCAGGAATGGTCGTTTGTTTACAGGGACAATTAAGTTTTCATACTGTAAGCATACCGCACCGTAAGACGCAAGAAGATGCCATTTGATAAGTTGGGGCTGGGAGAGAATGCCATTGTCATTTTATGGACATTCCATGGCAATAAGCGCTTGATTTTCAACCTGCCGCCTTCACAAACCAACCTAAGTGCCGCTGACCCCTAAGGTCCCCCTAATCCACCTGAGGTCACCGCCCACGCCCCTTTCTGACGCCGTCAACACCGCTGCTGATTTGAGCACTCACAGACGACGAGACGCCCACTCATCTGAGTCATACACTGATCAGCGTGCAAACTGCAAATGTCATGGTCAGCACCTTTCGCATGTCTATTGTGTATTGTGGCTACACGTGGTAGGTTGATCGATGCTCTAACGAATTTTTCTCAACTATAAACATTGACCGTACGCTTTATATTGTTCAAAAAGTTGTCCATAATGCCTGTTAGGGACCGTTGTGGGATTCAGACGCCAGCAGATGTCATGCCGAAAGTTTCATTCGCCGCTGGTTAGCAATAAAGTGCACAAATTAGACCTAACCAGCGCGGTACCGGTGGTCTCAGCGCAATGACGACCCATAAATGCCGTAATGACATGAAAATTCAGCAATTGTTTGTCATTTTCCCGTCACACTAAAGTTATTGCAATCCTGTTATAGGCCCGGATCTCATCTAAATTGCATGGTCCAATTTTGCTTCGGTCTGTTTGACGCAATCATCCTGGGTGTTCAGTTGTTCACAGCTCAGCTCACCGTGTCCAAGAAAAATGTTTAAAACCACACGCCATACATTTTGTGTGTGAAAAATAGTGTTGTTCATTAAATGTCTTACTGAAAAAATGCATCTAACCGAAATTTTTACTAAAGAAGTAAACCTAACAGTAAGTTATTATAACCATATCGTTTGGTTAGTATAGGACACGGTCACCTAAAACAACTCTTTGCCCCCCCCCCCCCCCCATCGTCGTTAAAACCTTCCTTTCAGACGCAGTGTCTTTCCGCAGCCATGTGAGCGTCTATCGTCCCAGCCACCCCGCTTAGTCTCGGCGCCGCCCGCGGTCGGCCCATCGCCCCAGGTCATGTCGTCGTTTACAGGGTGGGGCAGCATAATCGGGAATAAATATCAAACGGGATTATTTGGTCATGAATCTAAAAATATAGCTCCAAGCACTATTTTAGCAACATCCTATCAATCGGTCACCTTTTACCTATCCCTCATCCTATTTGACCGCCCTCGGCGTCGATGACCTTCTCAAGGCGGGTCCAAAAGCACGCGCATGCACGTGCAACCTCCTGCTTGTCCATGATCGCCCATCAGCTTCGTACCTTGCACTGAAGACTGTTTTTACTGATGATAAGTTGTTCATTAAACTTCTACCAAAAAACGCTCCATGTAAAGAATTTGGTCGGATTTAAATCGGCGGAGTTGAAGGACCAGAAGTTTTTGGTTCATCTCAGGTGGAGGTGCCCTACACAATAACATGTCGTCCTCACTGCAGTACCAGCACGGACAGAGTCCTCGTAAGACGTGATTTGGACCGTCAGTGATCCTCTCTTCCGACGGCTCCACGTGAGTCTGCCAGAGTGCGGTTGTATTTACCAGAGGTGCTCATTTTATCCGGGCTCGATGAAGTAGGGTGCACCACGTGCACCTCCCTTGAAGACCACCCATAGGTCCATCACCCCAACAGGATGTTTACTTTGCATGACCGCTGGAATATTCTCGATACAATCCCCTATATGGCATGCCATTCTTTTTTATCGTATTCCAGTCGGTGATAAGATTTTTTGTCGCTGAAGTTTTGAACATTGTTTCTTTTTAATATGCTCAAGTGCTTCTTCCTTATATTCAAGTGAGTCATCTTGTATGTCCTCTGCTAAGAGTTATTTTACGACGATTACGTTAACCTGTTGTCCTAAGTATCCCCACACAATCCTTATCGTCCGTGATAACACGTTGACCTGCCCAGCAACCTTTACGTGGAATTGCAGGGTTTTAAACAAAATGTTCTTGTTTTACTTGTTTAACATTAGTGTCTATGGGCGCGCGCAAAGCACTTGGAGCACCGTCGAACTATTTTGCTGCTCTTTTCCAGGAAGTTGCATGCTCATGGATGTAGTCATGTCAGATGATGCACAACTTTTGGGCGTTTCATTGCCATAATATAATTTATAAAAATAATGCCGTGCCTACTCATGATCAGAGCCCAAAAAGCATTCCCGATTATGCTGCCCCACCCTGTACAGTGCGGTCGGCGGCCACAAGAACGGTCCCACCGAGCTGACCACAGGCTGGGTGTGCCGGCCGCCCATCGCACCCTTCTGCAGGAATGCGACCGCGTCTGCCCACGGTCAGAAGTCGCTGTGGTTGAGCGAACGGTCACTGACGGCTCGCCCTCGCCCTCGCCCGTGGAACCGGACACCGGGCGAGCGGGAGCAGAAGGCTAGCGGAGGCGGCCCGGTTTGTTTTGGCCACAGACTGGCGTGATCCCCAGGGAGGAGCGGTCATGATATCGATACCGCCGGACGGGCCCAAAGGTCACCGTGCACCGGACAAAGGCAGGCAGCGGTCGGCGGCCGGAGCGACCCGAAAACCGGGTCTGCATAACGTCAGACCGATGTGCATGGTGTGGTTTGGGATGCATGTGGTTTACCGTACAGTTCGACCGTAAACATTCCATTCCACTGAGGGAACTGCAGTATCTAGCCGGAAGAGAGCATAGATACCTAATAAAAGTCACTGACACCGTTATCAACAAAGCACTGAAATTAAAATTACTCCTGACAAATACACAATGCACATGCCTTACTATTCATCAGCCACCCCAATGGTACCAATAGCATAGCGTCCGCGATTACATTCGATAAACCAACCCAAACACGCACCCCGCTGTCCATCAGCTGCAGCCCAGCTCCAGCAGGTCCGGCCTACTACAGCGGTATTAATAGCCCCACTGCGCATGAGAAATGCCCTACCCAGTACCCACCCCACTGCACTGGACGGACGGGCCGGCCCGCTGCCCTTTGTTTGCGAGTGAAGGAGGTCAGAACGGCCGACGCCACCTGTTGTTCTGGTCAAGTGGACGCTGTGAGCTACTTTCCGTTGTATTATCCACCGCCTTTGCACTGCAGCATTCCTTAGCAGCAGCTGCCATGAAATTTGTATTGTGTATGTAACTACTTAGGAATCCCATGTGGTCTTTAAACGTGCACTGCTTGTTCGGGCTTCCCCTCCTGTCGGCATCCACGACAGCCGCTGCGTCTGCATTTACTGCAATCGTCACTCCTCCGGCTGAAATGCGTTCATCGCTGCGGCTTCCACAATGTCTCCTCCTACATCGACACTTCAATCCCTAGCGTCACTCTCATCAGCCGCGCCTCTAGCTTAGTGTCTTCCGAGCCACACCTCGTCAGTCTGCCTAGCAGAGACGTCGTCGTCACGTCGAGGCCGGCTTCCAAGGCGCGGCGACCCGACCGCTGCAGTGCCGGCCGCGTGGGGCGCACGTGCACTGCATGCAGGTCACGTAAGAGGTCGGCAGGCCCAGTTGCAACACCCCGCCGCCGCCGTCTCGAAGAGAAGCCAGGGGCAAGGAGTGCTGAACCCATGTCCCGCGACCTTGTGGAGGTGTGGCAAGGGAGGCGCCGACACGGCGCGTGAGCTAGTCAGGATGAAATGAATAGTCGACATCAGAAGAACCCTTTACTTTTGAGCCGAGCGCCCGTGTGATAGATAAAGATGTTCCCCACTGGATTTGTCATGTTCTGAATATCATCATTGTCACAGAGATGGGGTTGGGGCAAGTAATGTAAACATAACTGCTGATGTATGTATGTATCTGATGTATGAGTTGAATTTATGCAGGATGCAAAAGTTCAAGGTCAGAAGCTATCACCATGTAATAGTTATCTACGATAGCTTGTTGATTGCTTTCCAGCATGGCCCGATAATTTACATTATCACAATTAGGCATTGACGTCGAACATGCATCAGAAGCGTCGCTAGTGACTGATTTATCGGATACGGCTGTCCTATACGGGCTTCTGTCTGATAGCAGGCAACATCAAAGTATGCCGCCCACGAGATTCCTCAGCTGCAGACAACTGCGACGAGCATACGATTAGCATGACAGATCAAAGAGGCAGGAATAAGCTGCAACACAAATAGACAACATTTATGTCCTATTTCTGGTTTACAGGGTCGCAGGTGAATGGCGATAGAGCCGTGACACAGGCACGTGCGGTTGATTGCTTTGTCCAGCGTTGCAGTCTCCCACTATCATTGACTTGGGAAGCTTTAGCTTCGAGTTACCTGTGGATTTGACACACGCGCTGCATAGACAGAGCTATGGTATGAAAGCAGCGCTTGGCTGCTCCCCCCGCGCCTCCCAGTAAGTTCCGTCGTTCCAGTCTCAGATGAGTGCCTGGCGCCTTGCCGCGGTCGGGGGTACCGATTAGCACCGGCCGGATCCCGGGGCAGGTGATGGATCGCACCGCTCACACGGAGGCCAGGGCACTGCTGCGGCGATTGTGGCGCACTACGGAACGTTAGCGATGCAGCATATAGGGAGCAGTTGCGAAAAAATCAGTGATTGTATAAATGTAAGCATTGTTACGCAGTGATTTTGACGACAGTTGATGACGAGAAGCAGGAAGTGCTTAGTGCTTACCTAACACTTTCAAATGTCAGTGTCCGCTGTTGTTATTTACAACGCAGTTGAATAACATGAATAACACCCATAGAATTATAGTCCCCCACTGCCGTGAGCTGTGCCTACATTAATAAATATTGATTCCTGCACATTTGTAAGTCCTAATCTGCAACAGTGCAATATCTCATGAGATGAACGATGAAATGGGAGGGAGGAATGTTCATTATATATGGATACGATGACCTTCTCGTCACACCAAGTCTATCTGCTATCAAGTCTATCTATGTATCTGCTCTGTTCCCTTGACTACATATCCGATAATTTCATCTGACTGGTAGATGGGATTAGAGGGAGTTGAACAGAGCCGCTCTGTCAGCCGTGGTTGGGGCACGTTCACTCGACTGATCAGCACTGCTGGCAGATGGCCAGTTCGATGCGGCTCCGGCTCTCTGTGCCCGAGCGGTACTCGATATGCTGATCTGCAGCATGCTAACGGCACTCGGCAGTGCGAAAATATCGATCTCAGGGAGCCGATACTACAACCACAAAGTCCTTGTCGACCATGACTTAGAAGACACAATTATTTAAAATGCCTTAGCGGGCTATGGTTTTCAGTCATCTCATCACAATGCACCACAATCACCATTTCAAAGAAACTGCTGACCTCACTTCGTTCCAAAAACGCATTCAGAAGCACTCAAGACATGACGGATGCCCGTGCTTATCTGGCGCATTCATAAAACTCGTGTATGTGAAGTCAGACGCCCGCACCTCCCCCGCCAAACAGAAGACGTGAATGTCCAATCTGGCCCATTCTATGGTTGGCCAGGGACGTAGTTATGGCGGCATAGGTATGGTGCATCCCACCTTATAAGAATGCTGCCTGTGCGTAATGTTTGCATAAGTTAAAACATAAATGTCGAATTGAATGATACTTTTAATGAGCATTCCTGCAAAACAAATTCGTCCTACTTAATTGATGATAGTTTATCATAAACCAAGAAATGTATTACTCGGGTACATCTGTATGAAATGCTATGTCGCTAGTGGCGCTATTCCTCCAAAGGTCGAGCCCAGTCCATCGGTTCGAAAATTTGTCCGTCTCCAATCGAGGCTCACTCCTGGAGAGCACACTCACCGCCAGTTTCTGGAGGACTTCCTCGTGCTGTTGCTGAAGTTGTTGTGCCTCCTCCAGAGAGGGCGCCAGATGACTGAGCTCGGGAGTCATCTCCAGACACTTGAGCTCCACCCACTCCTTGTTCTGGAACACAAGACAACGGGAAGTTAGAAATACTGGCAAAGAGTGGAGACATCTCTAACAACACATGAAACTGAGTGTTGGGCGTAACAGTCGCGCAGCACACTTAACGATTCAATCAACATCGTCATTGGCATTGCATCTAAGGAGGGAGGGCGCGTTGGGAGTCGGGAGACATGGGCGACAGCTTCTAAGAACGGACGTGTAAAGGGTTGGACACATACATAAGGAATTGCAATGCAGCATGCAACAGTGGATCAAACTGAATCTTGATCAGTGGCGATGCCGGACGAATACTGTCTTAGTTGTTTCAGTTGACACAGTGGATTGTGTCCCTTATCACAACCAAGCATCTTCATCATTCCTCACTTTTGGCCACATGTCAGGAGACCCGTCCAAGCCAGGACGTTTTTGTCATCATCCAGCGGAAGCTTCGCTGTAAAAGTACCAGTGTCCCAAAACTCGCCAGTTTGGGTGGGAAGTGACATCCAAATAAAAATAATATTCCACTCTCACCTCCAATTTCTACAGAGCAATTTTGCACTCCCTGTTTTACCAATAAAGAGCATCTGCGTATGGCTGTACGTATCTTTTATATTCGATTTAGTTATCTTATAAGGCAGCTCTGACATCCTATAACATTCACAAATAAATTGTTGACCCCTGTTTTCCCCTCTTTTTGTGCCTTTCTGACTAGCATTTTTCCACTCTCAACCCTCTTTGTAGTGACGGATATTCCCCTCCGACACCCAAGCCAAAATATAATTTTGGCACACTGAAAAGTACCCAAACACTTGCACCACTCATGTTATCAGCGACACGCGCCGTCCAACTCCGAATGACTGGCGATTTTATCCCGTCCATGTCCCCGTCTCAGGCACGCTTATGGACGTGAGGAACAAGAAGCTCGTTGTCTCACTCGACCTCGTTGGAGCCATGAGTCATGGCTTTAGTCTGACTCGACAACAGTGTGATTGTGGGACCTTGGTGCAGACGTAGAGGTCATGAACCATATAAGAGCCTGCGTCTGTCATTACTCATTTACAGGGATCAGATGGGACGGATTAATGTGTAAGGATGATGAATGTCTGGGTTTTCTAGTGCATTGTTTGTGTGGTATCACATATTCTTATGGCGTGTTAACTGTCATGACACCTACTGTTCGAAGTTAAAATTTCTAAACTGCTAACCGAAATTCTTAGCACCTACACCAACGGTTAACAAAACCAGTTTCTTATTCATATTTCCAACCAGTCTTGAAATATGATGGAACGTTCATTGCAATGCCGGATCAGAGCGAAGACAGACATTTCAATAGCGGTCAGCCAACTTATGTCGAATGCAGCAGGGGTCCTAAGGGTTACCACCATTGAGGCCGCGCGTGGTGGTGCAGGTCGTGGATGTCTGAATGACTCCTGACCTGACAGTCCGTCCCAAGGTGGACTAAGGGAGGTCAACCTACCTTATCTGAAGGCTTATTCTTTTCCTTATATGTAAGACCACAGGAACAAGCAGTACTAAAGAGCTGCAAAAGTCCATGTGTAAAACAGTCTTCAACCTACACCCACGCACTCAAGATGAAAGATTGTCGACTTAAAAAAGCCCCCAGTGCAATACCAAATCCGCCCTATCAGCCCACGTTTCTGAGCTGGCAAGAAGGCTGTCAACGACCCAGCTCCTCTGCAGTCGCTGACAACCTTCAGACGAGAACGGGCCGCGCTGAATCGTGTCCGTCGTCACGGCGGCCACGTCTGAGCCGCCGACGTCTGTTCCCCGTCCTGTCCTGCACGGTTTGGTGGGGAGCATTTCCATACAATGGTGACCGCTGTGACCGCCCGGCGACACACTGTGCTGGGGGTGAGGGGAGGCGGGGGGGGGGAGGGGCGAGCGGACCAAACCTGACAGCCGGGCAGGGCGGCTCGGCGGTGAGTCATTCGCTGATTTGAGGATAAGGAATGATTGACCCATACATGGGATTACACGAGCCATTGATCCAGTTGCTGGCCAAATTTGGGTAATTCAACAAGCTCGTGCGTAGTCTTAGGCAATCACAAGGCCTAGTAGGTAAGAGTGCCTGACTGGCAGCGGCACAGTGTAAGAGAGCCGTCTAACCATAATGATAGGTAGGGATCGAAAAAGCGCAAATATGTATCTAAGTGAAATGAGGAGACGGCGTTCCAATGTCCCGTGTTTAAACAATTAGTTTAGTAAATAGAATGCATACAATTGTGCTTATTAGTGAAATCATGGTCGCAACTGGATTATGAATAACATTAGCCATATCTTAGCCTAGCTACTTCGTTAAAGGGACCCTCCCACCTTCAAAAAAGTTAATGAATTGGCATGAAAGTGATGTCCCTTGGTTCAGAAAGAGCGAAAACGAATATCTACCAAATTTCACCGAAAAATATTCACTGGTTTTCAAGATATTAGGCTTTTACTTTTGTTTACTTTTTGGGATCTCCCCTGTTACTAGCGACTTTATTTGGAAGCAATAATTTGACAGCCTTAAAGTGCGGCAGACGTTGCGCGCAAAGCAGCGTATACCACCACGTGTTAACGATGGTTTTAGTCTAAGATTTAAAAATCGTTAGATCTCCGCTGACGTCACAAATTCTAAGGGGGCATTCCAATGCATTAGCCCCTTAGAATCCGAAAACTGCAAGTTTGAAATTCCATATCTTCGAATTAAAGCATTTTTCGATGTTGTGAGTGCCCAAACCGGTATTTGCAGGCCATGGCCACCAATTTGGCTATCTCAACTCAAAACTAATGTTAAGGTGGGAGTGTCCCTTTAAATCGACCCTCGCGCGCCCCCGGTGCAAAATGTTCCGCGGACCGGTTCCAATGTGGGTCGTGATCGGGGTCAAGTGCTCGACCAGGCCGTCCAGTTTGTCATGCACGGCCCAGCGACGACTGACCTCTCTCCCCCGGCGGGTCAAGGCCAGAGCGCTGTAAAAAGCTGCTCAGTTTAGCGAGGTGAGCGCCTCACTGACCCACCGGTCTCGGTCCAATGCCGCGGGTGTCTCTGATTCAACATCAGATTAGCGTAGTGTGTTGTTTATGTCCGAAGCTATTATCTTAGGTTCGTTAATGACATGTGGCTGGTGTGAGGACATGACACCGGAATGAAGATAGATTGACGTGGACATGTAGGCGATAGACTCAGACTCGGGATATCAGTGCACCCTGGCCGGTCAACAATGGAAGGCTCCCGTGTCTGGCGCTGTTGTCAGCATTGTAATTTGCACTCTCGTAGCGTTAAATCCAACCATCTTAGTGTCGATGGTTTTGCTGTGATTCTATTTCCATTAATTGTAGTGCCCTTCATGTTTTCGAAGATCACACAGTAACGCATCCCTTTCAGCTTTGCGTGCTTGTATTAGGTAATGATGGCCCATCGTTTGCTAATTTGGAGGGCGTGCTGATATTAGCCCCGGGCATTACTGGGTGTGAATAGCGTCTGGGTCATCCAGACTCCCCCATAACAATTGGCAGCCGGGCCACGGGGCCGGGTCACGATCAGCCAATCACTGCGGCGCCCCCGCTGCGCCGCAACCGCCGCAGTCGGCGCGCCGCAAACGCCGCAAAAGGCCGGCCGCGCCACTTTCGCACCGTCGGCTATTAGCATGGATGGTGCGGTGCGTGCCTGTCAGAGTCAGAAGTGAAATCGGCGACCCCGCGGCGTGGGGTCAGCCAGCCGGCCCACCCTGACCTTCCCCTCCCCTCCCCTCCAGAGAGCCCCTCCCCTCCATCAGCTGACGGTCATCGCCCCGTAGCCGCAGGGCAAAGACGGCGGCTGCTGAGGCACACTATCAACCGCTTGTAATTCAGCCATTCGCCGGGGAAAGAAAATCACCCTCTTCTAAACCGACCACCCGACAGGAACATGAAAGACGTGCCGAGAGGAGTTTGTAATTAGAAGCAGACTGGGCGTGGAATGTGAATGACAGGGAGTGTCTCCGCTGTAATCGTGATGGACCACCGGGTGAGGCGGGACGAGAGTTTCCCCATCGGACGCAACGCGACTTTGGAACGACATGGCTCTCGTGACGATGGATTTAACAGCGGGGCTTGGTCTGCACGTGGATGAGGGTGTGCAGTTGTCGAGGTTTGGAAATAATTTCTAGCCTCAAAAGGATCATGGGCGGTTCTAAAGCCACTTTATCTTAATCGTCGACCGGTTCAATCGAAGATTGGTGTTCTTAACTCAGATGCACAGAAGACACCAGACGACCTCAATCATGCAGAGAAACAACAGACGATGAACTGAGGGGAAGGGGTTATGAATTATCATAATTGTTACCGGATCCGTTGTGCAACAGTGTCACTCTCTCCAGCACCCATCACAACACTTCTGCTGCGTTTCTCGATTGTAGCTAGGAGCTCACACAGCAGTCAGTCCCGCTTTCATGTCGATGTGTCCAGCCCGGCAGCTGGTTGAAGGCGGCTACTCTGGGTCTGACAGATATACGCTCTTTAGGACGGTGATGGTGCGGAAGTCTCCTAGGAATGGATGTATTGACGATGCGTTAGTGGCGTAACAGGAAAAGTCACAGGTCACCCCGGAATGAATCTAAAGAAATGAGGAATGACTCGAGCGAAAGTCGAGCCTTTTTAGCGAGATAAAAGCTATCGTACAGTTCAATCCTTGCTAATGGAATGTGGGCGTATCTGGGGGTTAAATAATGAAAAGGAAATGCTCTTTCGGGTGTCTGTGAAATACATCACAAAAATACTGCCGAGGCACCATTCTATAGCGTTAGCCTATTTATGATTTATGCTCTGAGGAGAGATAAGAGCTCCGGATTCCGCGCTATTTTCGGCCGCTGGGCAGATGGCCGATAGACTGCAGACAGGGCGCGCCTATGAAACACGAGCCAGCCCGCTCCGGTTCGTGAAAACAAAGCACACGAGGTGCCAGGGGGTCATAGACGAACCTTCGGCGGGCCGGTATGCCGGCTGGCACAGACCCTCAGACAGAAGCTGTTTTCATAGATCGT